AAGGTCCAGTAACCCCGCATCCTCTTCCATGAATGAACCTATTAATAGAATTCATAAAAGATGATTCAGCGGGAGCCATGTGCTCTCTGAGATGGGACTCGCTTTTACTTGTTTTAGTAAAAGAATAACACTTTGTCCAACATAATCACACATTAGTTTACCAACAAAGTCATTTTTCAATACAGAAAGACAAAGTTACAATAAACAACTGGTTCGAGGTAATAACGCAGACCAACACCAACCTTAAACAGGCCTGTGTGGATCACAGGGAACAATGAGCTTTCCTTCTACAACGTCCAACTAAAATCAGGCAAAGCACAGAGTCCCGACTAAACGATTAGGAAAATGACGACGCCAGTGTTGCTATATTTAACTCTTCTCCGAAAAGGATGTGAAATGGGGCTGCCGGAGTCAGCCCAACTACAATAAGGGCGGACAAACATTCCCTCCCCGTTGCCAGCCCCTCGCCACCACCCAGGACACAAAGGGGGAGTGAAAACAGAAGAGGGGTAAAGTACATGGAGCAAGGGCACAGATGGCGGGCGACAAATGGGAGACAAATCCCTGGTGCCACAGAAGAATAGAGCGCCTGTGACCACCGCCGCCACAAACAGCGGCAATAAATCCCGCGCAGCACGAGAAAACGAGCTCAGAGCGCCAGGCTCCGAAGACAGTTGCCGTCTTTGACAGCTGGACTGTGAGCTGGGGGAAAACACGAGAGTTCCCCCCGCGCCTGTCGGACACAGCGGTGGGCCCCCAAACGGAGTGGCTAACCCACATCAACGCCACGGATGGAGTTCAGACACACTAACGACCCCAAAAAAAGCCGTCACGTGAGGTCTAGCAGGAGAAAAACAAGAGTAACTGGATGCGTGTTTCAGACATTTCCCCGCTCGCTCAAGAAGCTCTTGTTCCCACACAAGTATTTCCCTCCGAGCACCAGCTATTAATCGTCGAGCCCGAACAAAAACCAGCACATTGCCACCGTTTCTGATCGCCTCTGCGGGGCCTCGCGGGGCCATTGAGAGCGAAGGGCTGTTCCCAGATGGCAGAGTTAAATCCTTAGAGCCGACACACCCCGCCTGGCTAGTGCCTCATGCACACAGTTACTTGGTGAAATGCGTGGCACACAAATAGATTGGCCACCCCCCCCCACCCAGTCTGTGGTCGGGCTCATAAGCACACACACCCAACATAGTTTGCAGGAACATTTTCTTTATTTTTTTACTCAAGTCACAAACACCCGCAGATGTGAGTCAAGCTGACTCACAAACACCAGACAGTCTACGACAGCGGCCCTTTATTGCCCTATTTGGCCGGCGCGGATAAGAGAATCGCAGCTACGCTGACAGGTGAGGAGGTGGTGACAACAAATGCTGGACGTTTGCTGGCGGAATCGGGTGCAGCTGCAAGCCTACCCCCTTTGGACTGGGTCTTGCGGGATTCTAAAAGGGCCTACCAAGCCAAAGTAAAAGTGAATCATCGTGGAAATATTCAAAATGAAATCGGCCCCTCGAACCACATCCTTGACCGTGAGCAGATGATATTTACAACTTACCCAACGTGAAAGGATATCGCTGTAGAGGAGGATGCAGCAGGAATCAGAGGGCTGTGCAGGTAAACGTTTAAAAAACAGGAAACCTCAATACCCATCGCCTGGGAATGCTATTAGACAGGTTAGTGGGGTGTTGCCGAATCGGTTTGGTTAGCCTGGTAATGTTGTAGGTAATCGGCCACACCTACAAAAAGGTTTGAAATTACTCAACAGAAGCCCAGTAAAGTATTATCCTTTAAAGTCCCTGTGGAATTACACGCCATCCTCACGCGAACATGACGTGTACCCACCGAGCAAGATACTTAAACCCTAATTGCTGCAAGGCCATTGTCATGAAGCACATACACAACTATTATTTTACGCTGTAGGGAGTGTACGCTAAAATTTTTTTTAAAAGAGAGGCGTTGCAGACCAGAAATCCGTCCTCTATGCAGTACTTCCATTCAAGAGTTTCACCTTTGATACAACGCTGCCGTGATCTATCAATTTTGTTTTTTAACGCCGATTTAGAGAAGACTTCATTTTTTTCATCCACAAAAGTAACACATTTAAGGGAATCGGAACAGGCTGGAAAAAAAGAAAAAAAAACTTAAATATTTCAGAAAACAAACTAGATTGGTGATAAGTAACTGGATCGCCTGCACGGTGTTCGGAAAAACAAGCAGCAGCACCTGTTTGAAGTCCTGACAGTGCAGAAAGTGGAGCAACCTGTTCAATGCGCACAGGTGTCTGCATGTTTAAGGGCGGAAGCAACATCCAACACTCCCTCCTCCTTGTCGGTCTGGTTTGTCCCTACAGATAACATCAGAGACGTAGCGACTGCATTGAAAACCCCTACAGTAGGATCTCTAATGGCATTCTGCAGCATGACGAGGGGAAACTCATGTTTGACTCAAATGTTGTAAAGCATAGCACGCATACCTCGAACGCACATTCACGGCAGTTTCACAACACCAATCAGGTTCTGTGAGGGGCACACTTATAATAATTAACTGAATTTGTTTTCCTTTTCCCTCAGAAGATGAGCAGAAAAACGTCTATGAACACTTTTTCAGTCTCAAATAATTTTGTATGAACATTATTTTATCTGTCAAAGTATGCCGGCAGTGATCCAGGGAACTGATGAGGGCCTGTACTCACAACATGGTGCTTGTTCCAAGTCACAATATTTGTCAAGTTCAAATGTGGGTCTCTCTTTGTTGTTCCAGGCAGTTTGAACAGCTGTCCACAATCCGGCATCCCAGATGTGCATAAGCTGCAGCCCCAGATGGCTCAAAAGGAAGAATCTGGAGAATCACTAAGAGCAGTAAACCAGTTTGCATAGACCATTGTTTGGCATGAGCACAAAAGCCCACTTAAATAAAGACCACATAAAAAGAATGCATTTTAAGGGCTCTACTGTACCAACTGTGCCACTGACATAAAAAGGACCAGATTTACATATGTAAAAACATAGTCCGGACTCTGGAGCATCATACAGCGAGTCTCATAAGTTTCAGCCGGACAAAAGGTGCTCTGTAGTCGGAGGAACAGGGAGGTTACACACACAGAGCCCTGAACGGGACCACGCTCTACGGTGACGCCGCTAGCCACCTTCAGTCACCCGGGTTGTGTCTTGGAGAAGTAGCAGTTACTTCCACTAAAAGTTATCTGGGCACAGGTTCAGAAAGGACGTTACTTTATCTGTGTTCCCAGAGGCGATGCGGGTGCCCGGAGGATGGATCGGGGGTGAATAGGGTTTTAGTGAAGGTGTAGCTAAAGCTACCCGGCTAACGGCAGATAAGCAAGTTCCTCGGGCAGGAAACTATCCCCGTTGACTCCGGCTGTTCCATCCCTCTAACGCGGAGGATAACGGGTATCACCAAGACGCCCTAGCCAGACGAGGAGGGTCATTCTTAACAAACGCCGCCGACACAAATGCGACCGGTAAAGTAGTTTAGTTGTCGGGGGGCAGAAGGTTGAGAGGAAATCGGTACTCACTGTCGGTGCGCCCGAAATTTCCAGACAGCGTCCAGCTCGCAGTCCTGCCTCCTCCACGTAGAGACAAAAGTAGACAGCAGTTGGAATGCTGGCCCCGCCCAGTCGCTGACGTCACCGCCAGACGTTTACATCCGGCCCGAGGGGCGTTAAATGCGCGGAGAGCAAAAAACTCAATAGCACACACGTTTAGGAGAGTAAAACGTCTTCATAGCCAAGTTCGTTCAGTTTTAAATGAGTTCTGTTCGTTTTGTCCAAGTAATGTGAACTGAGGTGGGTTTGAAATAATAATAATTGGATATTACTGGATATTAATGGTTTGAATGTAGTGCAGTAATGCAGTTGAAAGTAGTAGTGTGCAACTGCAAAATAGCGTACTAATACATAATTAATAAATATTCAAGATTCAAGAAATGTATTGTAAATATATACATGCATTAGGCATACGGCTAAAGTGCACATATTGTTGATGCAAATATTGCATGCAGAATTGATGACATGAAGTCACAGCAGCATTCAGCCACAGATAAAGATGTGTATGTCTGTGTGTGCTTGTGTGTAGTGGGGCTTTATCGCACGCTCGAGTACCTTCCTGTCCTGGGCAGTGGAGTATCCATAGCAAACTGTAATTGATGTGGTAAGGACACTCTCGACCATGCCTTTGTTAAAAGTTGTTTTGGTTTGCATACCAAATTTCCTCAGCCTGCGTAGATACAAAGTACGGCCTCTGCTGAGCGTTTCATGATTTGGAGTGTGTCGTGAGACCAGGTGAGGGCCTCGTTGATGTGAGTTCCAAGGAATTTAAAGGTTCTCACCCTTTCCACCCAGGTCTCACCAGTGTACAGTGGAAAAACGTTTGGACACGAATGACAAAATGTGTCCAAACATTTGAATGGTACTGTACCTACTTTTGAATATATAAATTATTTATATTTATACAGTGCAGTTATTCAATATTCTTCTTGTTTTATTTTGTTTATTCTCATATATTCATTTTTGTTATAATTATAATTTATTTAGTATATTCTTGTATTGTATGTTTTGTGAATGAAGAGCACATGAAGCATGCACATACATGGCAAAAAAACTGATTCTGATTAAGAGCGACAATTAGGTGACAGATCAGTACACAAATCATGGTGTACACAAGGGGATGCTGACACTGTTGATGATACTAACATGGATGGAATCAGCAAAGTATACAAGCAGGCAAGGATATGCTGGCTTCTGCTTGTAAAACAGTATGTTCAAAGGGGAAATGAGACTGGCTTAGGAGCTCAGTGAACTTTACTGGAATCAATAAATACACATTAGTTATTTGTAATAAATGGGAAAATGTAGCCAAAAATTGAGGAGGGTTTGAAGAACTCTCAATGACAAGAGCAGTCAGTGAACTATTTTCCTCGAAATATGAAGCATAGAGTAAGATGATGTAAGCAGAATTTAGGAATACAAATAATACCCCATATAGAGAACCCGTGTGGATTTAGGGACTTTATTGGAAGAAATAAAATAAACAATCCATTATTATGTTTTCGCTGGAAATAAAAGGGACAGATTGGTTTGAAATTAGCCTACCAATCAAGGCCGCTGTAAACTCTCGCAGTGTTTGGTTAGTTGCAATCTTCAACCTCACCGCTAGAGGCCAGTAAATCCTGCACACCGATCCTTCGCTGACACAGGTGTTGTTTACCTTTTTGTAAGTAGGAGAGGAACAGTGATAGTTTTTGTGAAAGCACATTAGGTTTTGTGTAAAACTGTAAGCACGAATGAAAAGGATCACGCAAAATAAAATAATAAAATAATAAAATAATAAAAAAAACAAATACATCCTACCTCCGGTGCAGCAGGTGGCGGTCATGAACATTATGTTGACGCAGTGGACCACGCACTCGAGAAACAAACTAGAAGAAGAGAAAGCGCCCATTATTCCGGCTCTTTACAGCTATGCTTTTTTATTGGTTGGGACTGTGTCCGTATAATTAGGGCCGACTTGTTGCCAGATTCAATTGGTATCATGAAAGAATAGGGACTTGAACTACGTTGGTTGTTCACTCCTTCACGATATGTCTGCAGCGACGCTGAGGTAAAAACCTGCGGTTGTCTAAGCGAACGAAACTCGAGTGTGTAAAAACCGAGCTAGCATAGCAGCTAACTAGCTGTCGCACCCAACAGCTATCTGCGTTAATGCCGCTGACAACGGTAGTTCTAAGTAAGCTAACCTAGCCGCTTACCCCTAACACACATTTAGAGTCGTTACGGTCGGGGGGATTTAGACAAATGCGTTTGCCGGGAGCCTTGGATGTGACGTTCACCTGAATAATAACAATTTATCTTTCGTAGCCATTGCTGCAGTAAACCCTACTGCTTGGTTCCTACGTAGCTAGCCCGGGACAACATTGATTTACGCACCCAGTTGTCAGCTAGGTACACAACTTAACTAAATCTATGCGGTCTAATACAACATGCATGCATTACATCTGCTCGAAGGTTATGAAGTCTAACTTCTAGGTTGTGGGCTGTTGAATTTCAATTGTGTCGTTTAGGTTTGTGGAGAGCCCAGGCGACCCAGTTTGTTTACGCGAGTTATGCTTGTGTCCTGCAATGTGGGTCACCGGCTGAATCATTGTTTTGTTAGTCCAATTGCATTTTCCACTGCTATTGTATGTATTGGACTGTAAAAGTAGTATGGCGGCAAATCACTGTCGCGCGCGTAAATCAAACATCCGCGAGCAAATCTCCGTCTCGCGCGAGATATTTGCTCACTCGCGAGGTTAATCTCTGCTCGCGCTCGAAGGTGTTTTCTACGCGCTCGCTGTTTTTCTTTTTGACAGTAAGGGGGCGGAGCCAGTCACCATGGTATCTACATCTGATTGGTTACAAACCCCATCTTTGGATTGGCTGGAGTGATGCATTCACACAACCACAGAAGCCCATTTCCGCACCGAAGAAAGGGGATAGAAAGTCGAAATTATGAAATAAAACGTTGTCAAACCACAAACGCCCCCCTTCTGTAATCCTAGTGGACCGTAGATGACAACCAGCTATAACCATCATTTATCATCATTACCTGCACATCCAGCTCTCAGACCGGTCTGTATTTGTAAAATACCGGAAAAAAACCCGAATTTATGAATATCTTGCGAACTTTCAATACACATCGACGTTTTGGAAAATTTAAATAATGAGAAGATATGTGCAGGGTCCCCCATACTTCGATAAAGTTGGCAAGATATTCAGATTCAAACTGGCGAGCTGGAGCATTGCTCTTAATGTGCAGGTAATGATGGTAAATGATGGTTGTAGCTGGTTGTCATCTACGGTCCACTACGATTACAGAAGGGGGCGTTTGTGTTTTGACAATGTTTTATCTCATAATTTCGACTGTCTATCCCCTTTCATTAGTGCGGAAATCGGCTTCTATAGTTGTGTGTATGCATCACTCCAGCCAATCCAAAGACGGGGTTTGTAACCAATCAGGTGTAGAGACCATGGTGACTGGCTCCGCCCCCTTACTGTCAAAAAGAAAAACAGCGAGCGCGTAGAAAACACCTACGAGCCCGAGCAGAGACTAACCTCGCGAGCAAAGAAGTTCACGTTTCGCGAGCGAGCAAATATCTCACGCGAGATGAACTTTTCCTCGCGCAAGACGGAGATTTGCTCGCGGATGTTTGATTTCACCAAAACCGCTTCATGTTACCTAATACTAACAAAGTATTACTCTGATTTTGATTAACAAGTTAGCAACTTCCACCTGACTTGACAAGTTTACCATGGTTTTCTTTTTTTTCCTCGACTGTAGCACCACTACAAGCAAGCTGAATGTTTTGGTCAACAAACTGCACGAGTACTTGGCTCATTCCACTGTCGAGGACGACAACGGAGCACCATCCTCAGAGGAGGCCGATGGTACGGTTTCTCATAATGAGGAATCCAAAATCATCATATTTCTATAATCTGCATATTTATATGCTTTATTAACAATGTTATTCTCGTTACAGGCCTGATAAACAGGAGCTTCTCTGGGGAGAACTCGACATGTCGTGCTGCGCCAGTGGTAACTGACCCGTCTGTGTTTTGTCATGTAGCTCAGGTTTGAACTAAAGGTGGTGACAACTTTGTAGCAGTAACTTTTAAATATTATTGTTATTTTTCTTCTGCACAGTAAATTGCCTCTTACTGGCAATATAATATCCCAAAACACCAAATTGTATGTATACTGGCAAATCTGAAACCTCCTGATATTTTAAGGGTAGTTTGAAGTTAAAAAGGTAATCCCGTCACCCTGTATGTTGAATTTAGTGGAAGTTGGACAATTTATGAAAAATCCTCTAGTCCTAAACTCTGGCAACCAAAATGTTGTTTATTTAATTTATTTACCACAAACCAATCCCACGACTTAGTAAGACATTTTCCCAGATGCAATTGGTTTCGATCAGGTTGCATTTTCTTCTGACACTCCATTAAGGGGGAAAGTTTTTTTTTTTTTTTCTGAAATATCCATCTATAAATACTGCATTTTTTAAAAAAGAAATTAAGATGGAAGTGCACTGCTGAAGGTGCAGCCGTTAGCTCCACAATCTTACTCTCACTTATTTGTTGTTTATATTTGTAGTGACCGTTTTATCAATCTCCCATGATTCCTCCCTAGATTAATTGTTTCAGCTCGCCAAGCTGCTGTCTTAACTCCCTCGAGTACACCTTATCTGTAATAATTCATTTTTGTATCCGATCGCTTTAATTGTGACATTCAGTCTCATAGAATGAAATTGTTTGCATGAACCAACTACATGCTGCTGAGTGAGCATTCCCCAACATTACGTGGACAATCACAATTGACGTTGAGTACTTGCAGTAAAGCTAAACTAATGATATTCTTTGTTTTGTAGACTGGAGGGCATACCAAATACTCAAGGAGGTGAGTCAATATTTTCTACCGGCAAGCATAGCTATTGGGTAGTGTGAAAGTCAAGATTTAATGCCCAAATATTCAATACAACTCATTGCTGAAAATACTGTATGTTGAAATAAGGTAAATGCATTGCAATTAGGATGCGCCGTGTGTGCTCAAACCAATGTAAAGTTGACTCGTGTGGTACACTGTTAACCTGACAGGGAGGACTATTGGTTGTGGCTGAGACTTACTTTTTTCTGTTTTGATGTACAAGAAAACCATCCGTTGTCATAAAGCACTCTGGGCTGGATGAATCTGGGGACTCGAATGCAAGTGAGGATGTGGATCTACCAGTCAGCGTAAATGGTCGGCTTGACATCACGAGATTACCAAAAGGTAGGTCTTAGCTGTTTCCTCACTAATTTCCTAATTTACTCCTCCTTATAACTATTTTGTTATGCTAATAATAATAATAACAATAATTCCCTTTTTGATAACAATGGAATATAATTGATTTATTGGTGATATCGTTTGTTGACACAGGCACTGTTCTGGTCCGGCCTGAACCTGTTGATAGTGGAAGAGATGACTTTAGGGGTCCTGAGTTCCGCAGCCGGAAATCCGGCGTTCTGCGTAAAGAGTTTTCCAGAAGACGAGTGGGTCAGTCACTGCCAATTGGTATTATTATAACGTATTATTGCTCATCACTTTATGATTACTAAAACTCAAAATGTAGCTTGTTCCTTATTTGGATGTGAGCGAGATCACTGGTTTGGCTTTGAAGTTCTCATTGTGAAGTTCTCATTCCACTAATGAGTTGTGTCTGTTTTTAGGAGTTGATCACATGGAAATTGTCAGTTGCACTGCATGTGGCCGACAGGTTAACCATTTCCAGAAAGACTCCTTCTTTCGACATCCAGTTCTGAAAGTACTTATTTGCAAGGTGAGTCGTCTTATAGATTTTGGAAACAAATCCTTAATATCCTGTAACCTCTGAATGGTCAGAAGTTTTTTTTATTTGAAACGCATCAGCTCGAGGTGAATGTTGATTGCACTGCTATACAGTATTGACTCCAGAGATTCTGCGATTGAATGTTACATTTAACATTCAACCCTAACCCTACGGGTGGATCACTATGCATCTATTATTCATAATCCGATATTGCATCAATTGAAGCAGTAAAACATGGAACACCCATCAGTTTCTTAAGCGCCAAATAAACAGAAGTTTGCAATCAGCACGGCATGCAGCAGGTTTCCTCATGTTCTTCTTATCGCAACACTGAATGAATCTAATATCGTTCCTTCATCAATGAGGTAGAAATCTGCCCTTTTTTCGTGGGGCAGTGGCAATTTATCCGTGATCTGAGCTATAGTCATTTTGCTAGAGTTGCTTGGTGGAACCGAAAAGTCCGCAAGATGTAACCCCCTCCTGAAAACGATCCGGCTAACTCCGTTAGCCATGTACGAAGAACTCTGTCAGGTTGTTTTATGTTAGTGTGGTTAATACATACGTATTCTGAGCTAAGTCTGTCAATGGATGGATGGCTCAGATATTATGGTACTATGAAAATAACCACATTTTAAAAGAATAATTTTAAAAGTTTCTGTATTTGAAGGTAATAATTAAAAAGGGCCATCAGAATTGCAATTAATGTAAGTTCCAATGGTTTTTTTTCATCTATCTTACCTGCTTTTGTAAAGCTAACTTTCTTTTTAACGTTTTTATCTTTGTCAGTCCTGCTACAAGTATTACTCAAGTGATGACATTAGTAAGGATGGGGATGGAATGGATGAGCAATGCAGGTACGATTTGTTCCATTTGATAATTGAACACTGTCCCTACCTGCTGAGCTTGTTTTTTACTACTTTTTTTTTGTTTACATCATGCAGATGGTGTGCTGAAGGAGGCAACCTGATCTGTTGTGACTTCTGTAGTAATGCCTTCTGCAAGAAGTGTATCCTAAGAAATCTGGGAAGGAAGGAGCTCTCTGGCATCCTGGAAAGCAAATGGTACTGCTATGTGTGCAGCCCAGAGACCCTTTTCGACCTGGTGGTGGCCTGTGACAATGTGCTGGAGAACATGGAGCACCTGTGGTACCAGCAGCCCAGGAAGAACCGAGTGGAGCCGGAGAAGTCCGAACTTTACACCATGTTGCCCCACTCGCCACAAAACATCCCTCTGGATAAGTGGGATCACACTGGAATGGATGGTAATGTGGTGTTCAACTATAACACGCTGCAGATTTCAAAGGATGTTACCAAAAAGGCCAAGCATTTAGTGGACTCGACAAACATCCTCAATCGGACGTTTGTCAACTTCATTCATACTGTGACGGCAGACCAACAAGCACCTACTGTTCGCAATCTGTACCTGAACTCTTTCTTGACGGTAGTTAAAGGCCTGCGAAAATCCCTCACGGCACTGGAGGACAGCCTGAAGGAAGAATTCAGTGACTTGGATGTCATGAGCTGTTGGGAAAAGTTCTTTAGCGATGACTTTGACGCGCAACCTGTAACAAATGCAGACACGGAGCCAGAGATCCCTGATAAACGGTGCTTGAGTGACTTGCAGAAATTAGCAGCTGAACATTTGGAAGATTATGACTCCGGTGACTCCAAAGGTTTAAAGCATCAAAGCGGGAAAGAAATGGATACAGAGTTGCATGTAGCGAGACCGAGTGCGCAAAAGATTGGCCTGCAGCCTTCTCAAAGTGCGCTCAACTTGACTAAAAAGCTAGTAGTGAAACTTACCCCTGTACCAATGGCACGAGGTCCTTCCTCCGACGCCCCAGAGAAGGACGTCCACGTGAACGATAAGGTGTCAGATGGAAAGGATGCATCCGAGGCCCGACAGCCGGGCCTTGTGGGTGCCAGGGCTGACGGCAAGGTGACGAATGACAACGGCAATACACCGCAACCGCACCCGGAAAAGGAACAAGGCAATCGACGCAGTCCGCGTTTGAAGACCACACCTCTGCGGCGGCCTAGCGACGTCCTGGCCAAAACGGCGTCTTCAGCGGCAGACAGTGATTCCGACCCCGAGGAAACCGCCGTCTCTGCGGCAACCAAGAATGCCGAGGATCAAAGCGGGGACGGAACAAGAGACGACTCCGACTCTGATGAAGTCCCCGCAGCTCTGCTCGAGCGAGCGGCAGCAACGCTGAGCTCCGATGAACCCCAGAGCGACGAGAACGGCGGAAAAGCCTCAACTAAGGTGGCCAAGAAGTGTCTCTTTTGGCTCACCAAGAACACCCCGATTTCCCCGGAGAACATGCGGCGCAAGCGCAAAATATTGGACCGCTCCCCCGAGTCTGACTCGGGTGGCAGACGGGTAAAACCCCGAAGGGGCAGCGGGACGGATTCCTCTAGTGACGACCAGGACTCGCAGAAGAAAGTACAGCACCTGAATACGCTGAGGCCAATAGGGAAGCCTCACCTCGTCAAACGAGAAGAAGAGGCTGTGGCGAGAAAACAGGGTAGGATACAGGCCCGGAAGTCCAAGGCTAAAACTAATCGGAAAGAGATGGAGTCGTCATCCTCGTCAAGTGATGATGAAGAGGACGACGACGAGGATGATGACGACAACGACTCTGGAAGTGAAGCAAGTGTTCAGAAGATGAAGCCAATCACTGAAGATGTGGCCTTACAGGGAGGAGCAGGATTCCACCAATCCTCGGGTGAGTCGTAACAATAATTATATGTCTAGATCCACGGTGTATCTTGTATCAATGGACACTGCCTGTCGGAAAGCTAAACGGCTAATGCTAGCCATCATTAGGCTGTGCTTTGGAGTGCTAGCTGCAAGTTGACTAATAAAGATGAAAGTCAACACACACACACACACACACACACATTAAATGGCTTTTAAAGCTTGACATTTTTTGTTAAGGGGCAGTAATTAATATTAAGTTTCCCCTTAGCTTTTCATGCTGCAATGAGTCACAATGTCCCTTGGCATGTTGGTGTAATGCTGCCGAATTCACCCATTCTGTGTTGTTCAAGTTGACCTCTATGATCAACCAGTTAATCTTCCAACTTCTCGTTTTTGTAGGAGATGATGAGCAGTCTGGGCCCTCGTGGGCAGCCGCAGCAGATGATGGTGATGATGATCCAGAAAATAGGTACGGTTTAAAGAGACCGGATGTACATTTAGTTAAAAACCCTAAATGTAACAAAAAGGCAACTTCCAAACCTTGTGCAAAATCTAGCAACACCCTGGCCATTATGACTCGGTTGCGCTCTAATCAATCAAGACCAAAACGTAGCTGCACCAGAGGCCCGGCAATCAAATACACATCTTAATGGTACACTGCTGAGCAGATGGCCCATGATATGATGCACTGAGACTGACAGAACAGGCTTCTGAATGATGAGCATTATATACGTCTTGTGTGTGGTGGTTCTAACCAAAATTGTATTGGTTTCCTATACTCAACACACATAGAATGCTTGTTTTATTTAATGTGCAATACAGTATTAAAATACATGCTACATGTGTTTTACTAATATCCGTTGATATTGGCTATTATACCATACTTAATATGCAGAGAAAAGGGAAACGTCACAGTTGACCCACTTTTCCCTTAAAGAGGTCAGAGCCCACTTTTAATCAATGAATGAAACTTTATTTTACTGCACAATCTGTTTTCAATGACGGTATGTGGACATATGTATAACATGTTAAACTTCCCCTTATGATATTAGATAATGAACAAATACATGTTGTCCTCCATTGAGCAGCACGTACCTGTTATTTAGAGGTGAAGTACAAAGTTTGAAACATGCCTGTCAGATTCTCTGCCCACATCTACATTTCGAGAATGAAATTCTGAAAGATCATCTTCAATCACCCAAAATTTGGCAGCATGTATGCCCCTTTATGCTTCACCTTAAAAGCTATACTTTTGATGTTATGCTTTAAAATGAACCATACATCAGTTATTGGGATAATTAAATTTTGCCCTTATTATAATAACATGACAAACTTATTGAATGTAAAGATATCTGACCCAATGTGCTCTGTAAATGCTACTCAACGTTTTCGTCCTGTTCCCTTTTTTAAATTCTGGACACACAACATATTGAATAATTATTTTGCCTCAAATGGCTTGAGCTTTATCTACGGCTGCCTTTCCATGATTGAAGTGTTGATTCATTTATTCTGTCTGTATGATTTATTATTCATCGCTTTTGTAATACAAAATTGATAAATTTGTAAGCACAGAAATTGTTTCTGGTAATAAACACCCAAAGCCTCATCCTAACACCACCGACATTTGTTACATTTTCTTCCAAGTTAAAAAAAAAATACAAATCCCAGAAGAGGCAACGTCAACGGCCAGTTGCAGTTAAAATATTTTAAAAGCCATTTCGACAAGCTTTCCTCATTCTATTGTTAAATTGTGCGCTTATGTAAGGCGCCAATATCACGGCGCTGCTATTTAAACAATGTTGCCACCAATTTGTTATGACGTAACCATCCTGGAATGAAGTCTCTTCTTTTGGAACCATTTCATATGTAAGCTACAACCTCGGGGAGGTAAATTAACTGCGGCCCCATCAACTTCAAAATAACAATGGTCCTTCTGTGATACCGGCACTCCCACAATCCCACCTGATGTAGTTCAGAGCCAGCTTCTTCACTCTCACTAGCGGTGTTGAGTACTCACTTGGACCAATCAATTAATTCGGACACATCCGGTGTACAACTGGCTAAAGGTCTCAGGTGAAAGCTAATAACATGAGAACCAGGAAGTGTTTCCTAAATTCTCAATGACCAGATATTGGTCTTATTCTAACTATTTGGTGTCTGATGGTTGGACTTGTTGAGTGGTTCATAAAGCTACTACTGGCTTTAGACCTTATCTGTATCTGTCAGTGTTATTTATTTAGGCGTATATATTTGATATAGACCTGGTAAAGGTGGTGTGAGCTTGGGAAGGTTTTCTTCTGCATATTTTGAAATACGCTATAGTTGTATAATCAGCTTTCTACTTGTAGATTTTAGAGACCGTGACGTTTTATTTCTCTGACATGCTCTTGCAGAGGTTCTCGTAAAGGGTTCACTCTCAAATTACACGTCAGCTGCTCACCTCAAGTCCGGAGGATCAGCACAGGATATGTGTGGAGATTTTGCTGTCATAATTGAAGGCAAAAAGTTACAAAAGATGGAGCCCTTAAAAACAACTGAGATGATCTATCCTTGTATCCACTCAGTGGCCTTGAAGCAAACCTTCTTTGCCATTTATGTGTGGCGTGGTGGTCCTGGGGAAGCCTCAGTCGATGTTTTAAGCGCTGAAATACTTCCGAGCGCGCATCGGACACATTCAGAGCTCACAAGCTTCATTATTTGTTGATGGTCTTAAGTAAAATGTAAAATACATAATTATCAGTTGGTTTAAATCCCATCACAAATATTATGGCTGTGATGGAGCTGCTGTTCGTCTTTCCTGCTGTTCAATGTTTTCTTCATTGAAAACGTTCATGTAAACCAGAAGTAGTGTTTTTGTTTTACCCCACTTTCTATACACAGAATATACATTACTGCTGACCATTTTCTAACTCGTACTGCTCGTAGACCCGCCGAGACTGGAGCCCTGCTTGACCGGTGAACCAGCTGTTGCGTCTTTGTCTAAACTCTCTAAAAAAATTAAAAAAAAAAAATTGTTTAAAAAGATGAATAGTCTTCCGGGTCAGAGCTCTCAAATGTCACAGGAAACGTTGTATATCTGCGAATTGAGAGTGGGTTGTGAAATGACTATCATACAAAAAGCAACCAAATTCACATTGTGTGTGTTTTTTTTTTTTAATGATACCCGTTTTTGTCTCATGTTTTTTCCAGGTCGGATTTCCTGACAGCACAGCCGTGAATGCGGTGCTGTTAGGCGACAATCACTTAAATCTGGGATATTGTAGCGTCCTTCTGGCACCAATGTGTTTTTTCTCTTTTTCTTCAAAAGACAGCTGGACTTTATCGTCAGAAAAATGGTCAGCAGAAATGTAAAGTGTACCCTGTTAATAGTTAGTGGGCTGAAACCTCAAAAAAATACTGTTTATCCTATTGAATTCCACACCGCATGCTATCCAATGGCAATGATGCCAAATTCACAGGTGGCCGTATTTTAATTTTCTTCAGTGTTTTCCCGTTTCGTCCTACTTCCCAGTTGAGGTTGTCGATGAGATCTCCCGCGCCGTCCTCTCTCTGATGCTTTGTCCGTCTTTGCGATTCTGCAACACGACCTTTACTATAAACTCTGTAGACGTTGGATTTAAGGTCGGTGACGGAGTCTCCAGTGACCTGCAGAGGCAACCGCAGGTTGAGAAGATGTTTCACTCTGCCTGTAATTACACGTCCACGCCATGTTGTGAAATGCGTGTTGAACACGGGTGGACGTAGAAGGGTTTTGAGAGGATTACTAAGTGAATGTACTAATGAATAATCAAAACACAATATGGTATTGAAACCATAAACTTCTTCAATATAAAAACATAAACTGTATCAGATTATGTGGATGCTTTATGTTCAAAACACTGTTCTCCACTGGAGTCAAAGAGTTAAGAACAGTTGTAAATAGTTTAGTGAGTAAATATTTATGTGTAGTCTTAGTAATTCAGTGTTTGTGTTGCACTTGTTTTTGTTAAGTTTCCTTCCATTTTGGATCAAAAAGCTTGTGGCCCTTTAATGGCAAAAGTCACGATTGGAGAGCGATCAATGCAACGGTTATGTTCACACGGGGGAAAAAATGAGTGTCTTATGTTGGACTCGAGCAAGTGAAAACATTGTAAGGAATAAAACTGCTCTTTCCCTAAAAAATAATACAATCATATGTTGTATTTTTTTTTTTTTTGTAATAAATTCTCTGAAAAAATGTGTCCTTTTTTCCTGGTATTGAATTATGCATGTATCTCTTTGTGGATGTTATGTCTTAGGATATCTGGTTGGATTAATAATGAATTTATCAGGACTATTGGCGTATAACCAACACTATAGAACACTTATTTTAAGTACACCTGTAATTAATTTCGCTGTAAAGTATAAGAATACCCAGCTGCAGACGTTATTACTGATCATGAAATGAACTTCAGGTGCCTTTTTTCCTTCTCCACTTTTGAAAGAATCGCTAAGAAAATGCTATTGGCCCAAATCAAGGCCAACTACTCCTCGGGCGACGACGTCTCTTCGGAGGAGGAGACGCAGGGTGATGACTCAGAGGATGAGAAGGTCAAGCAGGGAAATGAAGATATGGAAATCGATGAAAATGGTAAGTATTATTTTTGTTTTTTAAAGAAGCAAATATCTAGCTTCCCACTTGTGTATTTAAAAAATAAATAAGCACAGGTATTGTTTTTTTCCCTTTTTCCTTCCTATTGACTTTTTGATTCTGATACTGTCAATGGTGAAGATTTGTAATGGTACGACCCCCTCCCTTCTGCAGGGGACGAAGAAGTTACTTCAGACTCGTCCGACTATTCGTCCAAAGAGGCCAACTCCAGGCACCACCTTCTCCGCCACAAGCTGACCTTTGATGAGGGAGCGCAGAGCGCCGAGGCTTCGCCACGCAATGTTGTAGCGAAGCGCGAGGGCAAGCAAAGATGCGGCAGCAGACCCCTCAGCTGTAAGGCCGCGTCTAACCGTTGAAACTGAACCGTCAACCTGCTCTGCTTTAATGTCCCACCTCAATGTCTTTCAAGCCGATGGTGAGAGTGAGGAGGAAGGGAAGGAGTCTGAGCCGGAGGATGTCGGCATGAGCGAGGAGCTGAGTCAGTCGGAGGACGAGGCCGGGGGAAAGGGACCCGAAAGGTACGTTCGTTTCAGGGGGTCCATCGATGAAATCCAAAACAAAAGAAGTATAACGGAAGGACCAGATAATAAAATAATGGATTCGTCTGCCACCGGGGAACCAACACACACAAATGAATTTCCCTCTTCTCTCTTTTCTTGCTGCAGATTATCAAGCCAAGTGAAAGAGGCCCCTCGCAGTAACGAGCCGAAGAAACCAGTGCCCTGCATTTTGTTGTCTGACTCCAGCAGTGAAAAGGTGTGTTATGTAATTTCTTTGTCCGTAGCCGTTACCGAGCTTGGGAGTTTGCCCTGATGTCTAATTGTCGTACCGCTTGGTGGATCCTGCTACGTTTGAGCAGAGTGATGAAGAGAACATCGATGAGAGCAGCGACAGTAAATGCACCCCTAAAGGACGCAAAAAGATCCGTGGAATCATCGGCGTTGAGAGCCTCCGTGCGGAGACCCAGGAAGCGCTCCGAGAGGAGCAGGAGAGAGTCCGACGTCTGGCCAGCAGGGAACAGCAGATGGAGGCCAGGAGAGAGGTACGCCACAATGAATGCATGTTAACATAACTACACAATAAATCACCATAATTGTTCTTTTGTTTTTTTTGTCAAGAGGAGGATAAATCTGTCAAAATGGTTCCTTTGGTTTCCAGATTATTGTTATAGAGGACGAGCTGTCTCAAGTGGCGTGCCCCATCACCACCAAGCTGGTCCTGGATGAGGACGAGGAGACCAAGAAGCCTCTGGTTCAGGTGCACAGGAACTTGGTGACGAGACTGAAGCCCCACCAGGTGGACGGTTAGTTTCCGCCGTCTTTTCAACCCCACGCAGGAGGACACCGCTATTAATGCTGATACGTTTTGCTGTCTACACAAGTTGGACTTGCCGTGTTTTTGTTCCCCAACAGGAGTCCAGTTTATTTGGGACAGCTGTTGTGAGTCTGTGAAGAAGGCCAACTCCTCTCCTGGGACAGGCTGTATTTTGGCACACTGCATGGGCCTGGGGAAGACTCTGCAGGTGAAGGCATATCCACTTTAGATAGACTTGTTTGCATTAAATGATGCAAAGAAAATGAGTACAGCCAACATTGTATACTGAAATGCATTATGATTTTAGTGCTTGCAGTATTTTCATCACCCATCTTCAATTATTCCTCCTTTTCATGTCTGTGATATTTTGTAGGTGGTAACGTTCCTCCACACGGTGCTGCTGTCAGAGAACCTCAAATTCAGAACAGCCCTGGTCGTATGTCCGCTGAACACCATCCTCAACTGGGTCAGCGAATTTAAGAAATGGCAAAGCAGCATGCAACAGGATAAAGTTAAAGTACGCAAAATCACAGATGGCCAATACTTATTTTATGTGCCACCGATGCTTTATCGGTGGTTAACGTTCAGGCGCACACGTATGTTTCAGGTCACAGAGCTGGCCACAGTGAAGTCTCTTCTAGAACGAATCAGGGCCCTGCAGAGGTGGCATGACGACGGAGGGGTTATGATAATGGGCTACGAGATGTACCGCATCCTGTCACTAGCCAAGAAAATCCAGGATGAGGAGTTGAAGAAAGAGTTAAAGCGCATTCTGGTGAATCCAGGTACAGTCACTGTGTCGCGGCACGATGATGTAAAAATGTCTTCAGTGACCATGGCGTTGCTCATTAAAACTCATTCGAGGGGTTTTCTCCTGTGTTCTTCGGTTTTTCAGGTCCAGACTTTGTTGTTTGCGACGAGGGACACATTCTGCGCAACGAAGTATCCAACATCTCCAAATGTATGAATACCATCCGGACCCAGCGGAGAGTGGTGCTAACTGGCACCCCGCTACAAAACAACCTGAATGAGTGTGAGTTTGCACCACTATTTTATGTTCTATTTTAGCATTGAATCACCCTGCATTTGAAAGGATGTGGGATACTTGTATATTTACGTCTCAAAAAACAAAATCCAAATGATTTGTTTGGGTGTCGGGAAGGACGCTTATCCTAGTGGATGACACATTGATTCACTTCTTACAAATAATTACAAAACAAATGTTTTTACAAAGGAAATATTTCTACTGATGGACAGTAAACCTTTATATTATGACCAGGTCAAAGTTTGGTCAAGAATGTTTGAAATTGGCAGCCTAAGCCTACCAAGTTAATTTATGTAATAATATCCTTGTTTATTTTTTTTATAAGTTGATCTTGTTACTCTTGAAGATACTGATAATTGGGAAAAAGTCCTAGCTTTGTATAAATAGTACTTACTGTATTTAATGATATCATAATGGTTGTATTCCTGCTAGCTCAGCAGGAATGTTAGTTTTCCTTTGTATGTTAAGATTATTGAAATCGGTTGACATGACTTTTTTTTTAAATCCAGAAACTCCATAATCTTATACACACTTTAATCCGCTTCAAATCTGTCATTTTCCACTCGTCTTTTAACGCATTTGAGTAAATCTGGAAATTAGGGACCCAAGTGAATCATTTATTTTCCATGGAAATGCGACCCCAAGAATTGAAGAGAAATCTTGAGATATTGAAATTTCAAACCCTTCATGTCGACACATTTGTTTGTGCTCCCACAGACCACTGCATGGTCAACTTCATCAAGAGGAATCTGCTGGGCTCTCTGGGCGAATTCCGCAACCGCTTCATCAACCCCATCCAGAACGGCCAGTGTGCTGACTCCACCTCCAAAGACGTGCGAATCATGAAGAAGCGAGCGCATGTACTTCATGCAATGCTGGTTGGGTGTGTGCAGGTAAAAATGACACTGTAAACGTACACACACACTGTTTGCTTTCATCCTTCTCATCTCCGTGTCCATGGGTTTCTCAGAGAAGAGATTACTCCGAGTTGACGCAGTTTCTGCCTCCCAAACACGAGTACGTGCTGGCAGTGAGGATCTCCCCGAATCAGTACAAGTTGTACCGCCACTACCTCGACCACGTCACCGGTAAGCGTCTGTCTTCACAAATTTACTCTAAGAGAAGTACATGTACTCATTGTAGGCTGGTCTTTTTTTTTTTAAATGATGTCATTAAAGTATCTACATGTATTGTTCAATAGATTTGTCATTATGTAGTATTGATTTACTTGTACGTAGCTCTAGTTTAGCCTTTACTGTTCTCAGAATGATCATTGATGGTGTTTGGCCTCAAGAGAAAATGGTGACCTTTTTTCCACATTATTGTTATATTGGGTAGTGTGCCTCCAAACCATCCCACCCAAGTGTATATAAATGTGTGTTTTTCCAGGTATGGGCTCCATGACTAACCCAGGTAAGGCGAGAACTGGAGCCAACCTGTTCAAGGACTTCCAGGTGCTCAGCCGCATTTGGACTCATCCCTGGTGCCTTCAGCTCAGCTACAGCAGCAAAGAAAAAAAGGTTAAAAAATAAACCCCATAATTGAACGCACATTTATTTCCTATTAGTTGATGTTGGGCGTTTTTAATATTTGAATCTGATTTTTAACTCAGAGCCATTATGAAAAGAAGGACAAAATGAAAGCTGCAGCTCTGCAGAGGAATGAAAAAACCACTGTGGCTGCAAGGTGAGACTCACTGCGCAAACTGCAGCGCTCGGCCTTATTTCACATTTTATTAATAAACTTTATCCACTTCCTCTGCGCGCTGTAGTGGACTGAGAACGGACGAGGCTAACAGAGGGAATAACAATGACGGCGGTGCAGCAGTAGAAGGTATTAAAACTCCCGCTCCTCACTGATGATACAGCCCCGGGGGCCTTGCACGCACTAATAGTTTCTGTCCTCTGTCTCATTTCCTGTGTCTTAGGAGAGCAAGCAACCATGAGCTCCACGTCTCAGGGCCCGGGCGAGCGCTGGTTCAAGGATCTGCTGTCTGAGGAGGACGCCAAAATCATGGAGCACTCGGGGAAGATGATGCTCTTGTTTGAGATCCTCCGAATGGCTGAAGACTTGGACGATAAAGTGTATGTTTCTTATCTCATCAGAAGCAAATCCAAACACAGAAAGACTTCCAGCGGTCTGTGAAGACACTGACTTCCTCGTATCTAACCAGAACATTTTTTTTTTTTTGTTGCATTTTTAGGCTTGTGTTCAGTCAGTCATTGATCTCATTAGACCTGATTGAGGATTTTCTCAAGGCTTCTCACGATGCCAGAGACCCATCGTTATTCAAAGGTAATGTTTTGATGGCAAAGAAAGTAATTTCATACATGCAGGAAATGTCCTCCTTGGTGGTTAGATGTGTGCATTGTTCTTCATTGTTCTGACAGCCCGCAGCTGGATTAAAAACGTTGATTACTATCGTCTCGATGGCTCCACCAACGCCGTGTTGAGGAAGAAATGGGCCGACCAGTTCAATAACGTCACCAATGTTCGGTACAGATTCTCCGACCTTTATTTCTGACTTATAAGATTCAGACCGTCAAATTGCAACGTTTGCCTTCTGATTGTAATGTTCTTTGTTTTAGCGGCCGACTATTTCTCATCTCGACGAGAGCCGGCTCCCTCGGCATCAACCTCGTCGCGGCCAACAGGGTGATCATCTTCGATGCCTCGTGGAACCCCTCGTACGACATCCAGAGCATTTACAGAGTGTACCGCTTCGGCCAGCTCAAACCCGTGTTTGTCTACCGCTTCTTGGCTCAGGTGAGCTCACCGCTCTTCATTGAAATCTGTCTCTTTACAGCTGGTAGTGCGCAGAAATAGTTGGTTGGATAATTTTTAGTTTTTAAACGTCCTGCAATGAATTGTCAATTTCAATTAAAGAATACTAATTGAACAGATTTTGGTAGTTTCTTGATCTGCCCGACACGGTGTTTACCTACAGTCCAAAAAACCTGCCCTGTTACTAAAATGTTTCATTTATCGAATTGAAGCTCCTGTGTCTTTTCTGTCGTTATTTGGAAATACTGGATACTTCTATTGAGCGCACTAAAACATTAGTGTATTGGCAATAGATCTCCTGTGTTCTCGTTCTGGACCCATAAACCCTTTTGTTGTCCCGTTTGTCACTGCGATCATTTCCATCTTCAGGGCACCATGGAGGAGAAGATCTATGATCGCCAGGTGACCAAGCAGTCTTTGTCCTATCGAGTGGTGGATCAGCAACAGATTGAGAGGCACTTCACCCTTTTTGAACTGACTGAACTTTACTTATTTGAGCCGGACCTGCTGGACGACCCGAACTCTAAGAAAAGCAAGAGAACCACCTCTGTTTTGCCAAAGGTGACTTTATTTACAGGTTCCTTGAGCCCATGTGACCATTTTAGCAGCCGTGTGTCAGATGAATACAAGCTTTGCCGTGTAAAAAACTTTTTGTGCCTGTTTCTCAGGATAAGATCCTGGCACAGCTGTTACAGACATGTAAAGACCAGATAGTGTCTTTTCATGAGCATGAATCTCTGTTGGACCATAAACAAGAGGAGGAGCTCAGTGAGGCAGAACGCAAAGACGCCTGGGACGAGTACAAGGCCGAGGTAAAGAGTTGCTCACTGCAAAGCACGGATGCTAACGAGCTCCGTCTGGTGAAACTGCGCGAGCTACATTCTGAAGGGTTTCACGTCACACTTGTATGTTTTCACTGGATGGAAATGTGTGTCTTTCAGTCTTCCAAACCTCCAGCCAGCTTGAACCAGAACCCATTGGAAACGAAGACCAATGAGGAGCTAGTGGTATACATTTTATATATCAACAAAAAAAGATCCTTGAACTGCTTCCGGTGATGTTTGTGCTTCATACATGGATTACATAAAAATGTCTTTGCAGGAAATGCTGAACAGGAGCAGAGCAGATGTGTCGCTGGCTTTCCTGTCAATGCAGAAGACGATGTCGCACACTATCGACGACTACATCTTGCGAGTGGTGAGTGACTAACTTTAGGCTTCATGGGAATGAGGTAAATGGGAGATTTAAAACGAGGGTATAGTTTTAGCAGTAACAAAAAATCACTAAAGCAAATTGGCTGGAATATGTCCAACTATACGTGATGTTGTTCCTAGATTGATTGTTCTTATTTGCAGGAGTTGGTTATCTTGCATCGAGGTGCACTCTGCATAAGGCTCCGTTTGTAGCTTGGTGCAGAACATTGGCTGCAATGTGAATTGAGTCTGGGCTTTGACACGATGAATCTATTTTTGTCTTAGTGGTACTTGAGTTGCTATTCAAACAAAAAATCAAAGGGGAAAGTCAGCCAGATTGTGGATGAAGCAGCTAATCTGTTCGCTTCTGTTGTTCCCGATCAGATCACCAGCTTTTCTCTGAACTGCTGTGTAGTGTTGACACAATCAATTTGAACACCTCCCATAGTTACTCAGCTCTCTAGTCGGTAGACTGAAAATAGCCAATTGCAAAGATTTGGTTAGTTGATCACCCTTTTCATTTTTTGATAAATATATTTCCACGTCCAACATTTCAACAGTTACCACCTGCTTCGGTTTGACTTTTCCCCAACTGTAATGGTTTACTATTTTATAGGCAAATCATTATTCTGCCCTTCTGTCTCCAATTCTTGTTTATTACTGATGAACAAAATCAGTGGACGGTTTGTAGTGTATAATTTCAAATCAGATTAGGTTAACTTGAAGAATTGAACCGTATGTCACAGTTGAGACCTGTGTTTTCTTAATGACTACGTATTGTTTCAAGTTGCCGGCAGATTCTAACTAACCATTTATTTATTGCAGCGGCAACAGTATCCTGTGCTGCCTGAGGCGGAGGTTGTGGCTAAAGCCATGACCTGGAAGGTGTTTGATGAGAAGGCGCAGGAGCGAGGACAGGCCTTTTATCGAGATATTTTTACACAGCAGCAAAGGGTTAGTAAATATCTCGTGTGAGAGAATGTGTGTGTGTACAAATAATCATCCTCAGGTTTCAATCACATCCCTCCACAGCTCATGAACAGCATTCAAGTGATACTCAACAGTCGCAGGATGCAGGCGGTGACCTTGAGCACCGCAATCCAGCCCGGACCAAGAGACGCCCCCAACCCGGATGTACGTTTGTCCACTTTGACTTGATACTTTTGAACCAATGAATAGCAACACTGTCAGCTGGTAGGATTGTTTCAATAATGTTACTTTTAACTTGCACACAAGTGTCTTTCTATGAAGAGTTAGCTGCTTCATACCAAACATAATTTCAATCCCTTTAAACAGCAACTATTGTATATGATTTTGATGTGGCTGTTCCCAAGTCTTGCAATTCTAAAATAAATAAACAAAGCAATTGGTTCTTTGAAAATGTCCATGTTTGTCTTCAAGCTGCACTTCACCAGACATGCATGTAAAAACAGAACGGGATCATTTGTTATTAATTCTTTAAAAGGCATCAGACGGAGGAGCCACGATTAACAGTCTCTGCATGTACACATACAACAATTCCTAGAAATGTGGCAGTTTCACTACCAACAGAAGGGTTGTGTTCATAAACTTGCATGCACGATGCAATGACAATAGTATGGATTTGTGTATCTAAGTATTCCCTTACACAAAACATTATCAGAGATTAATACCGCTTTCGGGATAATGGGTCGAAGGGTTCAAGCTGGAATGACATTTAACCACCAAATCTTGACATGATGACGTGCATGCGGTCGGGATCAGGATTAACAAATCACATTCACATCTGGCAACACTCTTCCAAAACACATTTACGTAGAGTGAGATGATGCGCACTCACAGGGAAGAAAACATCAAGCGTGTAAACAATGAAAGAATATTTACTGACTTCCCAAAACAGTCCATGCAAAGTTGATTTTGATGAGTTGTAAAAAAATAAAAACACTCCGTCATCTTTTTAAGTTAAAAGAAATGATATTTCAGTGCAGAAAAAAGGTGCCCTTCACAGTAATGGCTGTAGTTTCCTGAAGTTCAACGGGAACCCGTTGCTTATGTTTGAAGTTCAACATCCCTCCAGTCTGCGGAGTCCTAGCTGGAGGTGTTAATGTCCTGTATCCAGGTCCCTCATGTACTCCTGAAGGGCCAATAGCCTGGCGTCGATCTCTGACAGCTCGGCCCCCGTATCTACGGAGCTCTCTGGGGTCGGAGACATGACATTATATTGACATGCTGCGTGGGGGCTCGCTGGTTTTTCAACCCGGATAATTTTTTGCAGCAATTAATTGGATTAGTTACCTTTGTCATTCACTCTGTGGGTTGGAGTACTGCAAAATGGTTTCCTGGTCAAAAGGCCTCCTCTAGACTACAGATAGTGAACGTTAAAAAAAGACAGAAAATTACATAAACACACAACCATTATGAATGGCTGTTACGAGAGAAATAGAATGAGAATGGACTATTCAAACAGTCAATGCACATCAATGAGCACCATTCTTTCTATTGAGTCACTCCCAATAAGTATATACATGAAAGCAGCAACTAACAGAGTTAAATTAATTAGTCACTCACCGCATTGGGTCCGTTATGAGTTGCTTTCCTTCCTCTATAATCACAGAAAACCAGACATTACTATAACCAGCTAAAGCAACGGAGACATGACACAAAACTATTGAGACGTAATGTCGTCACCTGAAAAGATTTTGGGGCATTTCGTCCATATCTGCCAACGAGCTGGCGGAGGAGTTCCTACTCGCTCGCCGCTCCACCGATAAACTCCTGCCTCTGCTGCTGGGCCGGGCCGTCTGAGGGTAGGCCTCTCTGGAGCGAGAACGCCCCCTCTCAGGCAACGTGGGTGACGTCAGGCCCCTCCGTACCTTCCTCTGTCTGACACAGAAAACAGGCCTAAAGCAGTCGTTCCCGGCAGCGACGAAAACAAACAAACAGGTGGCGAAGGAAAAATATTGGCGACCAACTTTTTGAGATCGGCCTCTTTCAGTCTGCGCTGCCTTTCTTGGATGTAGGCTGTCGGGTCAAAGCGCTGCACCTGGGACCCTGTTAGACAGGCGAGGACATTCGGATTCAAACACCTAATCGGCTGCGGAAAGGGGTCAAACTATTGCGACGCCGGGATCAGTGGCGGTACCGGTGGGGGAAGGCGACGGCCGGGGTATGCGAGCGCGTGGTCCGGAGGAGTCGGCTCTTCTGCCTCTTTCCTCTGACCTTTGACCTTGGCCATCCATCCGTTCTCTTGATCCCGAGCGAGCCCTGACTGTCCCGTAGCCTGACCTCCTCTCGCGGGACACCGAGCGATACGCTTCCCTGTCGACGCGACCCGACACCGGAGTCACTCTGCTGCAGGCACAAAGAGGACGATGCACCGCGCAGGTGAATAATGTCCAGAGGTCACATTTTTACCCTCATGTTGTAAGTGAATGAAATAAAGAGAGAAAGTAAAGATATAGTACATGATTAGTTTGTCTAACCCTCTCCGTAGTAACGCCAGTTCGCTGGTCAGAGTCTTGACCCGAATGCGGAGAGCGCACTCCGATGCTCGCAAGTCCTCGAACTAGCCGGGGCAGGATGGAAAAAAAGAAAAGTTAAAACCAGCCGAGTAACAAAGGAAACGCCATTAAATCTTTGTCTGTTGACCACTTTAAAAGGCGCGTAAGAGGTGCACCTGCTCCATTAGGAGTCGCTGCTCCTGGCATCTCTTGCTCGCTGAACGTTGGCTTTTGGCCCGCTCCTTGACCAGCTGCTCCTCCAGCGTCCTCACCACGTCCCTCACCCTCCAGTCCTCTCGGCCGGCTGCGGGACCACCTCCGCTGCTCTGCAGCCGCTCCAGAGCCTTGGCCATGGCGTCCTTTTCTTCTTTTACCAGAGCCAGCCTGAAGACAGTAGAGGAGGTTTAAAAAAAAAAAAAGTACCATGTCAATTCCTTTTGGTTGCAGTGAAGCGATGAGAACGTGACCTACTCTGCCCGTAGCCGTTGTATTTCTAGTTCTGCAGATTTGTTGATGCCATGAGAGGAGACGGTTCCCAGCTCCGCCTTAAGAGCTCGGACTTCCTTCTGCAGTGCCGCCGGGTCGGGCTTACCCACATAGGGCAGGGGTAAGGGGTAGTGTATCCTACAGAGCACAGTCAGCAAATCAGATGCGACTGCCGCAAAGGTTACCAAATACTGAGAAACTAAATTATTTTTAATATGTTGCCAATGTAAGTTGCGACGGAGAAACAAACCTGTCAAACTCCACGGTATATATGAGGATGAGGTATCTTTTGGCAGTGAGAACAGATGACTGCTGATGGCCATGAGGACGACTAACTACGCCTGCTTTCCTGTTACGAAGCAGCTCCAGATCCGCGTAGGTCAAGAGGTCGAGAGTAACAGAATCACTCATCTGTAGAAAAGAAGCTCAAGTTAATGGTCCAACATTAGAAATTAAACCAGTTGGGGAAAAACAACAACTTGTAATATCGGTTTTACTGTTGTATTAAGCTTCAAATTATAGTAAAGTAAATATCTTTTTCCTTTTCTGGAATATTAGAAGTTTATAACAGTTCGAAAACTTCAGTTTTATTGTCCTAGCACAAATTTGATAGTGTTTTTGTGGTCTGTGTCTTACTTTTGTTTTAGCCACACACAGCAGCAATGTCTGAGGAAACTGCACAAACAAGTCTATGTGCAGTGTTACAGATTTCTAAAAGTAGACAAATTTTTCCCATTGTTTCTCTTATTTTCCTCTGGACTTTCGCTCTCCTTTTGTCTCCTGTTTCGGAACACTAATGAATAGCAGAGAGGAAATAAGACATCTCCAGATAATTGGACGTTTTCTTGCTCAAGTGGAAACATTAAATTCGAATGAATGACTCTTGCCTCGGCTCACACAGCCTGAAGCTAAATTGTGTCTGTTCAGATCTTTCTATTTGCGCCAACACTGCATTTGTTCCACATGCAGAGAAGTGCACCTTCACACGTACCTTTCTGACGGCTGATTCCAACATGCTGCAGAAAATGGGGAATTGCTTGAAGTTGCCAGTTTTGCGGGTGAGGTCCTCAATATCTGAAAAAATATATATTGAATATCGCGAGTGAGAATACTCATAACGGTTTGGGCATTTAATCTATAATAAATGTATGCTGCTTACATGCTGGATCGAAGTCCCCTCTCCATTGATCGGCTGTCACCGAATCAGAGATTTCTACTATCAGCAAACCCTTATCAACCTCAATCTTCACGGAAAACGCCACTCCTCGAAATACAATATCCTCCATCACCTCGGAGCCCTCCTCCATTTCTCCGGGTCTGTGTAGGATAAGTCACTTATTATATGTCCACATGTGGTTCATGGCCTCAGAGTACAAAATCACACCAGCAACAAACCGGTTATGCTTCATATTTTCAACTTTTTTTAATAGTGTTATATTTATACTTCAGATGGATGGATTTTGCAGCTTTGTACTGGTAATACAATAACCTACAGGTAAATCATTAAAGGATCGATGAGTTATCTCGCTGTCTGCAGTTAGTTATTTTAAAACACATCCCCATCGTGACCGTCTTTCACCTGCGTCAATCACAACACACCGAGAGGGGCGCTAGCGAGCAAAACCCAGTCAATGTCAAAAAGGTGTCATCATCTTTATTGGGGGAAAAAGTTCTGGATGGTCGCTCGTATAGTTCGTCGAGGACTCTGCAAAGCGCCAGAAGAGAAGACATGTTTTACGAGGTAAGATGGGAATCGTGCGTCGCAATTTTGATTCCGCGCATGAATGTTTGTTTTATTTTTTTCGTTCGCCGAGTTCAAGCGACACGAAATCAGCGCAACCGTCATCTTTCACCGTACCGTTGCGTGCACGCTAAACAAAGAGCCGGGGGGGGGGGGGGTCCACGTTAGTGCTGGTTCAGGGTCATATGTGTTACTGAAATACAGAACTCAGTTAACGATAAGTAGAAGATACTTAACGTCGATAGATCAGCTAGCAAGAGTCAACGTTAGCTACGGCTAGCTAGCATCGGCCGTCATCGTCAGTTAACGCGAGTTGCCGTTATTTATAACTTGAGCGAACTTAACGTTATCGCTGCTGCGTCTTAGTCGGTGTGCGCATAAACGTCACACATTAAAGGAAAAAATAAACACCGTCAAGTTACCTTTTGGTCGCAGTAATGCTCCGTAATGAGGTGAGTTGTTAACGTTAGCTAGTTAGTCGTTGGGCAAACATCGCAGGTGCGCTAGCTGGCGCTGGGTGAAGTGCGTGAGGAGGAGGAGGGCCGCTGGATGTGCGGGACAGTACCGCCGCTCCCAATAGCGATTTTGGAAAGCCGCTGCGGAGACAGGGAGCGGTTCAACAACCGGGAACGGTTAAATTCTTCTTCTGCACTTCGCTTCGACGATGACGCCTCTTCTTTGGCTCGAGGGGGCGGGGCCGCCCCTAGTGGTCGGGAATAGACACCGCATCTCCGCACTAGAGCGAATTCAGCGACACTGAGAACAAATGGTGGTGCAGGAAGTACCAGATATTGTATCAATACAACAATATATGGGCTACACCACAAAGAGGTACCAAATATTCTTGCTGAAAAATGGAGTTTGTGTTAATTATTAATTAATTATTTAAGCTTTTTTATCAACGTCATTGATTTCGCTTTTGGTCAAAGTGCGGCTAACTTCAATGGCGTTTTATATTTTGATAGTTTATCTCTTAGCGGTCCGCAACTCTTTATGAAATGATCCCCGATTGTGTATATACACAATCTACAAAGTCATTATAAAAAAATCCATATCTCCTTCCAGAATATATGGAGGTATACCTGTACACAACATCAGATATGAGGATATGAAAATAGTGGACATAAAAGTCCTTCCAGTCGCCAAATTAGTTTGATTGTGTCTGCAACCCATTTTGCACATGACAAAACTGGGTCATGTCTCATGTCGACATTAACGCCTGTGTGGTTCGCCTTCTACTGTCGAGTTATGTGATGAATAGCAAAAAAGTTCTTGCTGTAAATGTTTGATGAACCTGTTGCACAAGTCCAGCGTAGACCTCGTCCTCGCTTCACTCACACGCTTGAATAAGGGTTTCCATGGAGACGTTGATCACTCATATTGCAAAAAGTCGAGTGACTGAGTCTGAAGTCACGCGGGAGAAGTGTGACCCAGAGTGTGTGTGTATCTGTGTGTGTGTGTGTGTGTGTGTGCAAAGGAATGAATAACTGAGGTATTTTGGCTTTTCCACGCAGAGCTCCGCATGGAAGAAACACAAAAGTTGTGGAACTTCATCACTCCTACCCATGACTCCCAAGAAACCTCCTCAGTGGCTGCAAGTGGTCGGACATGCAGGTTTGTTTATCTGGTCCAACTAGTTGGTCATTTTGCTGCTCAGAGAACCGATTTTAGTCGAATAATATGTGGTTACGCGCAGATGTGAAATAGAATTAGTCTCCCTTTCCTTTTCCAGGCAGCTTTCACGTTGGGGATTATGGGACACTGCTGAAGAGATTTTGTGAGGGGGAGCAGCAATGCTACCTCAGGCTGATGGAGGATGTGTTGAGGCCCTATGTTCCAGCCTATCACGGTGTGGTGCAGCGGGACGAGCAGAATTATAACATAATGGATAACTTGCTGACCCATTTCAACAGACCGGCCATCATGGACTGCAAGATGGGGAGCCGGTGAGTTTTGATGGTGCATGTTTTTGTGATGGAGCAGGTGAGTTTTATTTCAGGCGTATTTGACGGATGAGACCTACAGTCCTACAGTGATTCTCAAAAATGTATCCTGATTATCAATATATTAGAGCAGGAAATAACAAAATTAGAAAAAGCCATTATATTACTTTTAAGCTTCATTTAGTTTCAGTTGTCAGACAAACAATTTTATTTTTTTGGAAACAAATAGATTATGTCCAAATGAGCTTCTGTTTAGCTCAAATTATTTTATTAGATGTTCCTTTCTTTCGATATTGGCGAAAGTGCATTTCTTCAAATTTGGCTCAAACGTCCAACTGAACTCGATGATGCCATTTATTCCAATTTGGTGGTGACGGGACCTCACAAATGATGTTAATGGTCATAGCTCAGGCAGCAATTATGATATAATTATGACTTCAGAATGATGAAGAGCTAGACAAAAAATTGTAAACGGCAACTTGAATGATTGCCTCAGGCATGCAACGTTAATTCTGCTCAAAGTACAAATGGTCTTTAATGCAATTCATAATTTCCATTAACAATAATCGCGAGGCACTTCCCTTCACAGCACATACCTCGAGGGGGAGCTGCTGGTGGCCAGAGAACGGCCCCAGCCCCGTAAAGACATGTATGACAAGATGGTGGCCGTGGACCCAGAAGCCCCGACGATGCAGGAGCGATCCCAGCATGCAGTGCTGAAAACCAGGTACATGCAGTGGAGGGAAACGCTGAGCTCCACAACATCTCTGGGTTTCCGTATCGAAGGATTCAGGGTAAGTTCATCAAAGATGGTTGTGTGAGGTCCTTGACACTTGATACACTATATATATATATATATATATATATATATATATATACACACATATAAAGGGAAGGTTGACAATCTTTTGTAGTCTAGCAGCTGCACATTTTGAACTAAAAGGCCGTTTCCTTTGCAGAAGTCAAACGAAGAGTGTCACACAAACTTCAAAAGGACCAAAAGCAGAGAGCAAGTGATTGAAGCACTGGACAACTTTGTTGATTCCAATACTCAAATTGTGGTGAGTTTGACCTTCACTGACTTCCATTCAGGCAATAGATGCATTTGTTTTCCCCTCCTTTCTTATGGATCTCGTATCTTTCCCTCCAGTGGGGATATCTCAGACGGTTGAAACAACTGCGGCAGGTCCTGGAGGCGTCAGACTTCTTCAGGACACACGAGGTTAGGAAGTGGGGCGATTTTTGCAGCTCATGCCGACAATCCGGCACATTGGTCCAGTGGTGGGACTCTCTTCTAACAGATGTGTCCCTGCAGGTTGTGGGCAGCTCCTTACTGTTTCTGCATGACTGGACAGGTAGAACAGGAGTCTGGATGATTGACTTTGGAAAGACGGCGGTATTACCGGCACACCTCACCTTGAACCACCGCACTCCCTGGGAGGACGGCAATCGAGAAGACGGCTACCTGTGGGGTCTGGACAACCTCATTGATATGCTGGCCGACATGCTGCCCCTGACCTGAGCGCACGTCTGAACGAGTGGAAATTCACTCCTAACCCTTCCGTCACCACTCGTGAGCGAGTGACTGCAGATGCAGTGGCTTCTGAAAAGTTTGTGTTGTCAGAATTGGGAGAATTAACTCGGTACATAATGAGGGTGTAAAAAAGGAAGATGTGATTGACTCCAAACAGATTTTCTTTTAGCAAATTACAATAATATTGGTCAAGAGATCATCCGTGATTAATGTAAATCCCCACCTGAGCCCTGTGAAGATTGACCACTGAATAGACCTACACTCACCTGTGCTGCCACTCCTCGCTTCGGCAGGAGACGCCGACCCAGCTGTCTCAAGATTATCCTTATTTTAGCGAAAACATAGCACAAGCAATTATACGCCAAAGACGACTTGGCTGTTTGGGAAGATCTGCAGTTTAAATGTCACACTGTGTCATTAAAATGGTGCTAAAATGTTAGTGGACTTATTTCCTGCAATACTCTAAAGTTACGGTGTAACTGAATATAATGGAATATAATATTACCGCGTGAAAATAAGAATTATTACCTAAGATTGTGAACGACTTTGACCATTTGCAGTCAGGATTATGATTAGAACAACAACTGAACTTGAGTGGATATCGATGATAAGTTATGGGGCAGTTCTCCAGCTACAGATATTGTTAATATCTGAAACCAATACCAGGTTTATAGAGTTAATGGTTTCATTTTTCCGTTTAACTATATATTATTTTTACTCAGTTTGTACACCACTTCATAAGAGACCGATGATAAGCAGAGTTATGCAGTGACATACTGAGTCTGTAGACACTTGATATTTTCCCTCTTCAAGTCAAATTCAAGGCTTAAAGGCAGTTATTTAATGGATTATTCTTCTGGAAGTAAATTTAATATTTTAACAAGAGCAGTGACTACGGTGCGGCTCAGTCAAATTTACTGATCAGTTTAATATCAAGTCATAAGTATTTTATTTTGTTTTTAACAAAGACTCATTATTTATCGTTCCTGCGGCTTGAAATGTACCTCTTTTTGTCTCAGTAGGGCTCCACAGTCTCTGAGTCATGAAAAACAGCTGTTTCAATCCTCCTTTGATGCATTAAGGTTGATTCAGTTTCATGTTTTTACTGTCTTGTATCATTGAAATCAGTATTGTAGAATACTAATTATTAGTATTGCGTGTTACATAAACCGAGTGACTCATTTGAAAACCTCTTCACAAAATAATATCTTTTTTAGTTATTTAAAAAAAAAACAATGCTGTAACGCGGATCTCCGAAGTCATCGTCACTTACTGATGTACATACTCGCATGCATTAACCCATTAAAACATACAATAAAAAGGACAGATCCGCAGCACTGCAAACCTGAGCGGATACAAAAATACGAATCCAACTCTAAAGTTCAACACCTGATGCAGGGCTGACCGGTGAGATGAAGGCAGATGTGCTCTCTGTCCTCCGCACCTGTGTGCCTGTGTTATTCAGCCATCAGAGGGCAGGCGGAGGGAACCCCTGCCCTTACCTGCAGCCCCGGACGAGATGAAAGGGACGAGCAGACACAGACACAAGAGTCGTGCTCCACGAATCCTCCCACGCGGTCTGCAGCCGCAACAACAAAAAGCCCTCTGAGAGGCTGGAGGCTGCACAACACACAACCGCAATCTGACCTGCCGGCTACCGAGCAAATCCCACCGGAGCACTTTGGAGTTGAGTGCCTTGCCCGCGGGCCGTGGTGAAGATGGAGGGGTGGGTTCTATGTTTCACCGATATGCATCCAGCTGAACTGGCTACTTGTTTAATGTTTAGGCCACTGCATAATATTAGTTTCAGTAGCGGGGGGCCGAGGGTCAGAGAAGGACCAGCTGGATACAACTGAGTGATTAAAGGAGCAATTATGTAAAGCAAATCTTGTCACTTGTAACCCTTCACGGGGAAGTCAAATCGAGGCGTGATGAAGGACGAAAAAAGGGGAATGGTGTTTTCAAAATGAGGAGATGACTGCACCAATCAGTGTGTGCTGAAAGGCGCAGGGGTGGGCAGGGGATGATGATGTCAGTGTGTGACAGATGAAACATCAGGCGCCCGCTCAGTTTGCACGGATAACTCGAGAGGCTCCTCCTCGCTGGTCACTGTTCGTCAGGTCCATGGAGCGAGCACAGCAGACCGACGCCGAGTGGACGCCGCTGTCAACGGAACCAGGTATGATGTGCAGCGCTTTTTATTTACTTTAAACCATAATCTGCTTGACATAGATACATGTTATAAACTGCTATTGACTAAAATTATTTGAAATATATTTACTGATTTAGCCCAAATAGTTTGTGGTTAGATTTCTTTGGTTTAAATAATTTAAATAATTATTAAAAGGATAAAAGGGAAAAAGGGAAAAAGCATATCCAGTTGTATAGAATAAAGTTATTTTAAATTACATATCATGTAGTACTCCCACTATTATATATCTCTTTTTCCTTTTTTTTTCTTCTTACAGACTGTTCTCTTCACATGCATAACTTACCTTTTACGCTATCAAAGTACCTTCCTCATAGTGATATTCAGACTTTCAGCACTAATTTTGCAGCTCAATGCGTTGCTCTGTGTGTAAACCACAAGCGCTCCACATAGGTGGTGCACGTATGTTGTGCGGCGGGTGACGCATGCTGCACATACTGCGAGAGTGTGACCTGGTGGCGCTGGCGGAGGTGGTGCATGCGGTGTATCTGCGCTGCTGCTGTGCTCATGGCCCAGAGGAGGGCCGCCGGTGGCTGCTGCTGCCCCAGGGCGCCCGTGAACGAAGACAACGCCCGGTTCTGCCTGCTGGCCGGGCTCATCCTGGTCTACTTGCTGTGTGGAGCGGCCATCTTCTCAGCGCTGGAACACCCCTTTGAGCTGCGCGCACGCCGCCTCTGGAAACAGCAGCTGGACAACTTCACCCACAGGTACAGGGTCAACCTGGGGGCCCTGCACACCCTGCTGCGTCAGTACGAGGAGGCGAACGGAGCCGGGATCAGAGTGGACACGCTGAGGCCCCGCTGGGACTTTTCTGGAGCTTTTTACTTTGTTGGTACAGTGGTCTCCACTATTGGTGAGCTTTTTTTTTGCTTTGTTCTCTTTCTAAGATGTCAACTCAAACGTTTTTAGATCATTCTTATGACCTTTTTTTTAATTTTGTGTCTCTGCTGTAGGCTTTGGAATGACCACACCGGCGACCATAGCTGGAAAAATCTTCTTAATCTTCTACGGTCTCATCGGCTGTGCCGCCACCATTCTGTTCTTTAACCTCTTCCTGGAGAGGATCATCACAATGTTGGCGTACATCATGCGCTGGTGTCACGAGCGTCGGCTGAGGTGTGCCGGAGTCTGGGTGGTGTCGAGCAGGGAAGAGTCCGAGGAGGACAGCCTGGAAGGCTGGAAACCATCGGTCTATTACGTGATGCTGATCCTGGGCGTGGCGTCGGTCGTGATCGCGTGCAGCGCCTCCACGCTGTACAGCCCCATGGAGAACTGGAGCTACGTGGACTCCCTCTACTTCTGCTTTGTGGCCTTCAGCACCATCGGCTTCGGGGACCTGGTGAGCAGTCAGAGAGCCCAGTACGAGTCTCAGGAGGCCTACCGACTCGGGAACTGCATTTTCATCCTGATGGGGGTGTGTTGTATCTATTCGCTTTTCAACGTCATTTCTATCATCATCAAGCAAACCCTAACCTGGATCGTTGGTAAACTGGTGTGCCCGGGGCGGCATCAGTGCTGCTCCTGCTCCAGACATGGATGCTGGTGGTTCTGCTGCCCCTGCCTGAAGAAGAAAAATCCCAACCGCATGCGTCCGCTCGCACGCGTCAGACAGAAGCACTTGAAGCGCAACGCCGTGCAGCCCATCGCATCCCACCGCCCCGCGGGAAGACACCGCTGCATGGACGGCTCGGTGGAGACGGTGTGCGACAGTGAGACGGACGCCGGCGCGGCCGCCGTGGGCCGCCGCATGTCGGGGGAGATGATCTCTGTGAATGAGTTCATGGTGTCCAATAAGGTGTCTCTGGCGCTGCTGCAGAAGCAGCTGAGCGAAACCGCTCATCAGGGCCCGCGGCAAAGCTACGGCCATCAGAACGGATTCTCCGGGGGTGTTGGGGCCTTGGCCATTATGAATAATCGCCTACAGGAGACCAGCATGGATAGGTAGCATAGATCATGTGCCTTGCATCCCAAATCCGACCTATTTCCTTGTTGAGTGAATTGGAGAAATCCTCAGTGGGCCACCACAGAATTCTGCCATTAATGCCGTTCCAATTTTTACTTTGAGCAATTTCAACAGAGGTCTGTATGGACAAATGCAGACCTACTGCGTGGATTCTCGACATCCAAAATTTGATTATATTTTCTTGTCTGTGTAGACAAAAAGACAATTTAAAGACTTTCACATCCCTGTGAGGAGGGGTCTGATGTCCTGAAGTGATTGGCTCGTTCAAAAGCAATCAGATGAAAGAAGCCGTGAAGGGCCACTTAGAGGGGACTGCTGATTTAAGAGTGCTGCACATGTCGTCTGAGATGCTCATGAATATAGATGTGAGGTGGTAGTCGGTATTAGTGAATATACAGACATCAACACGATATATATACAGATTCTGCTTAATTAACTAGCTGCTTACAAAACATGCCACGTTTAAATTGTGATTTGCATTCAAACAGAGGTTCTCATGAGGTACTGCATGAGCTCACAAACACCCACAAAAGAAAGAGCTTTCTAATTCGTAAATTGCTCAGAAGTCAAAAAAGCTTGTTTTTTCATCAATGCACATCATTGACATTCGTAGTAGTCATGAAATAGCGTCGTGATCCAGGGTTTTAAATAGAGCCCGTCTAATCAAACCAGGCCCGTAGAGGACGTCCTTAAGTCAAAAGTGCTTATAGTCCCAGGATCACATCATCAGAGCTGGTAGCAAGATTCAGGCTCCTCTGCTAGCTCGAGGAGATCCTTTACTATGCAAAAAACAAACGTTTGAATCAGATTTGTGTTGTACTGCATCATCCACAGTTTTTTGAATGACAGGATGACGATTGTGAGGTGAAAAGCTTCCATTTTGCTCTAGTTTCCACGCTTGATACATTCTTTGATACTTGAGAACGATGAGAGAAATAGTGCTTTAGGGTTTTATTTGGGGTAAAAACACTGCAAGTTGTCAATTAAATGTTATTTTTTGGGGTTTAAAACAGCAATGACTCTTAACATGTAATGTCTATACATACAAAAATTCTCACTGAAATGATAAACCATCCTCCAATATAAGATGCTGATAAAACGACCCATCCCATAACTGACCCGATCTGATGCCGTTTGTTTTATCTTTACCATAAAATATGTGAATAAGGCAGCACAGTACATTTCAACCAACTTCTGGAAAAAAAACATTCCACAAACACTCTATTGGGTAAAATGTTTAGAAATATGGTTATACGAAAATGGAAAGACTTGCAAAAAATATAGGCGTAGAACTTCACGTAAAATAGATTTTGATTGGTCAGCCAATGTTAGGATACTTTTAGTTCAGAATTTGTTCACAAAAAAATATATTGTTACACGCAGTATGGATCTTTTGATGATACTTTATCAAATGATGTTAACCATTAACTCCCTAACAAATAACGTGACTTCACTTAAGCAAAGTGGATTTAATTCTATGTGTTTCAAATAAACAAGTAAACGCCTTTTCAAAAAAGATTTAGATTTTGAGTGAAATTTACCTCCTTCTTGAATAAGTGTTTGTATGCTTCAAGATTAAAATAGCAATGGAACATTGTATTAGTGTCTCTTTTTGCCACGAGGAAAAGCTAAATTTGTGCACACCCATCAGCCGCCCGGCCGCTAGCACTGTTAGCACCGCTAGCACTGTTAGCACTCCCTGTTGCAGCAGATGGATATATGTTAGCTGTACGTTAGCTTTTGGCTACCACTTACCCATCTGTTCCTCCTCATTTTCGAAACGTCCTCTTTAAAACACAACTCCACATACATATGCTCATTTATAATTTCATCCAATGACAATGTACAATTTCACAGCTAGTTATTCAGTTTTTCAGTCGTTTAGAATTCTCATCTGTATTTTCTGTTCACTGAATATGAGGCAGAGGTTTGTAGCTGGATCGCGTCTCTGAGTAAGTTTTACAAAATGTCCTCTTATATAAATATAAAATGTATTAGGCTTAATTAGATCTATTTTGCATCGTATCTGTTATGCCAAGATACTGTTTCCTAGTATGATGTAAACAAACACCTGCGTTCAACATCTCCCTTTCTGTCAAAGTGCACACATGAAGAAAACTGTTTTAATATTGAAATAAATTACAGTCCTTCCATGGATCCTCGGGTACCAGCCCGGCTTCTCAAGAGCCTCCCTGGACAGACGGTCAAAGGAGAGAATAATGGTGAATACACTCTCCGCTTTGGAGGAAATATGCCTTCTACTGGTTTCAGTGGGACAGCCTGGAGTTTGTACTCACATTTGGTAGCATGGGCCTGTGGTTCTCTCTTTGTTCATAGTAAGCAGAAATGATGCAGTTCCTTCTGCAACACACAAGCACGCTGCCATGTCACAATCCGGGGAACACACACACATACACACACAGCCACACACATCGACACCTCTTACTTGCTCTGAATGCCTCCTCCTGGTGGTAATCCGGGGATGTCGGAGGATGCGAGGATCGTGAGGACGGACAGCAGGTCGGGTTCTTCCCCTCGGACGCACAGCTCATCATAAATCTCTGTCAGATATTAAGACCAAAATGTATAGAAACATTTCTCGTATAAGCACATTTGGAAGTTGCAGGCAACTTTTTTCGGATTTGACATGTATCTAAACGGTAGATTTAATCTGTGTTTGCGATATTGTCAACAAACGAATCAACCACAAAAATTCACAAAACTAACAACAACAACTTGGAAAGTGTCTCATTATTTCATCCCTAAGCTGTTGGCGCTTGCCGTAGTCGGTCCACACACAATTTTGGTTTCATTTAAAAAAATGTAAAGTAAAAACAATTTTTTTAAATAAACATTACTCAAACTATGCGTTTATTTGTTGCACTTTTTCCATATTTGCCAGTATTTTGAGGGTTTGACTTGATACAAACTCCAGAACCCACGTTTCCCGCTCACGAAGGAACGTGTCAGTCAGTGCGACAGCGTGGCTGATTGATTAGTTTGTGGAGGTCTACGGCAAGAGAGGAATCGTCCCAATCAGGCTCCGGCTACAGTTGAGTCTGAGTTTAGTGACAACATGTACGACCACATTGCAAGTAGCCAGTATATAAACTAATTTAAACCAATGAAAAGCTAAATCATTGTGAGACAATAACATTTCACCCAGCGTGTTCCATGAACGCCGACATGTACAGAATGTGCTTGAACTGCAAATCACTGATCTCAAGAAAACGGAGCAGTGTCAAGATTTCATCGTCGCGACAAAGATACGTGCCTAACATCCACTCGGGTGTCTGTTGTTTATCAAAATGGCTCACGCACCTACTACTTTGGACTCCAGCAGGTCCTCCAGTTCGGCCTCCTGGTGCAGCGCCTCTGCTGACAGCTGGGGGGCTCCAGGGAAGCACAGCAGGATGATGCTGATATTGTCCAAGCTGCCCTGTGTGACATCAGCAGAGAGGAATGATGACGACTGACCTCACAAATGTCAACATCTGATACATTACTACATCTTGGGTGACTGGCTTTTCCCCCCCAAAGTCACCTCACGGGCGCATTGGAGCGGTGAAATGTAAATGGAGCGTGGAGGAGGCGGTGACATTTTGAGGTCATTGTGCACACCAGAGCCGAAGCCCGGTTACGCAACGGAGTGACATGATGGACGCGACGGCCAAGCAGAGTGCAACGTGGATGTTAGCGTGTGCTCCGTGCACATGTTCATGGAAGAAAACAGGGGATGAGTTGATGAAGGGAATTTGCCTTGTTTACTGAGGGAGATATTGCATGAATAAAATGATGGACACAACGTAACACTAAAAAGCTCAAGTGGTTTTAACTGGCTGATTCCATTATACTATACAGTTAGTTACCATTGGTTACTGTACAGTGAAAAACGTCCTTCAGCGAACAAAATCGGGGAGTTATTTATTATTATATTATATTATTATTATCACTGGAGATGGATGTAATCAAATAATTATTCTCCCTCACTGGTCTAAAATATTTTTTTATTTTCAAGGAAGGTAGTAATCTCACACTATTGTGCACACATAAAAGCAGCCATACTAACAGAGACGCAGCTAAAGCCGAATAAGAGGTCAAAGCTGCTTCTTTGTTCGCTTCGATGAGGGCATTGTCATGTTTAAAGTGCACTTTAATCAATATCATAACGTGGTTGCTCTTGGTGACAACCCCACCTGAATTATCACCTTGTTCTAAATCTCATCTGTATTAATTTTCCGAATGAAAATCATGCAGAAGATTGATTGTGCTTCATTTGGTGTGTGTACTCTGAATCAGATAACAACTGTTGCTGAGTTACCTTCATGAAGCTGTGATCTTTTCTAAAAATAAACTGGGACGACCTCGGCCAATACGACCCAACACAGTCACAGTTTACTGGATCGTGTTATTCCATAAAATCTATTTCCCATTAAAAACTATACAGCATAGTTGTTTACTGATACTGTAGTTATAATCAGTTCAAAGTATTTTCCCGTTAAACTACGTAAAGTGTAGAAATGCAATAAAAGAGCTCCAGGCGACATGTACACTGGTTTTAAGCCGCTGGTTCTGACCTTATAGAGACAGAGGTCAATGACTTGGCTGCAGACGTCCCTCAGGTCGGTGCAGACGCTCAGCCGGTTGTGGATGAAGGCACACAGCTCCTCGTTGCTGATGATGTCCCACACCCCGTCACAGGCCAGCACCAGGAACTCATCTGCAGGCGAGCGCTCCACCACACACACCTCTGGCTCCGGTGACACCATCTGCTGGGTGGGCGTCCGGTTCTCCGCTCCCTTGTAGCTGAAGTCCCCCAGGGCGCGGGACACCGCCAGCGAACCGTTGATCCGTTGGATGGACACAGAGCCGCCCGCACTTTCGATGCGCTCTTTCTCCAGGGGACTGTACGGTTTGTGGTCTTCAGTGGAGAAGCAAACCTGGCCGGACCGGCACAACATGGCCCTGGAGTCACCGCAGTTGGCGAAGTAGATGTAATACGGCGAGATGAGGGCAGCGACCACAGTGGTGCCGCCCCTCTCCCAGCCTTCTCGGCGTGCCGCAGCGTGCAGGTTTTTGTCCGTCTGCAGGAAGCCCTCCAACATGGCTCCTTTTACCCTTTCAGGGTCGTCCTCTGATCCCATCCCACCTGTTTGCGCAAAGATACAACGTGAGAATATATACGTCTTTATATGTATATACATTGTTACTTAGAATAGGATCGATTTTTGCAGAATATAATGAGGAATGATATAAAATAAAATTGTCTTTCACAGCAATATAAGCCTAAAAAAACGGTGTCTTGTTCAGACTAAGACAAAGGTGAGCGTCAAGATGACGACACTGCAAACCACAAGTTAAATATTTCGTACACCCTTTACCTGTGGTCAGGATCTGACCCAGCAGGTGCTGTGAGCAGTACTGTGCCACGTTGCTGCCTGCGTGACCATCGAACACGGCGAAGAAGCTCCAGTCGGCCAGCTCTCCACCCAGCTGTGGCACACAGTTGTGGAAGTCCTCCATGTTGGCCCTCCATCCCTGCATGCTTCCCAGGGCGTAGGTAAGGCCCCAGCGGGCGCAGCCTTCCTCGGTCAGCTTGTCCAGGACCGGCCGGTCCAGGTAAGGGCTGGGAATGACCTCCTCCCGCTCCCCGTCCCTTGGTTGCTCCACCTCGGCGGCTCCTCCACGGCCCCCTTTGAAGAAAGAGCTGACCCTTTTCTCCGTCTCTTTCACCAGCTGCCGCATGAACGCAGGCATCTCCACGCTGCCCTTCCTGGAGGTCCTCATGGCTTTTGTGCCCAGTTGATGCGTGCTGAATCTTCTTTTGTTTTTCTATCCCTTCCTCGGTGTTTGTGGCTGGAGCGGATGACGGAGGTGGGCCTGATGCTGGGCCTGTGCAGTGTCTGCGTAGCCCTGCTGCTCCAGGGCTCAGAGCATGGCCGCCTGAGCTGATGAATCCTCTCAGTGCTGGCTGCTCACCCCCCTCTCTCTGCTCATCTCCTTCCCTTCTTCTCTCCTCTCTGGAGACCTCACTGAGCAGTGCGCTCTCTTCCTCTCATCCTTCCTCTGCTTCTTGTTCTCTCCTCTGCGCTGCTGTGATTTCACTCTCTGTCTCACTTTTTCATAGCTCCTGTCTTTCACCAGCTCTCTCCTTGTTATTTTTCCTCCCTTCTCTGTGATTGGTTGGCTATTTATGTGCACCAATCCCCCGATTGCTTTTATCGCCACTGTCTTGTTTGAGCTCAACCACTCTCACCGTCCTCCTATCGGAAGCTGTGGCCCTCCCACATGTTTGGTAATCTCAACGTGCGATCGGTTGGGATTACGGGCTTCCACCGCAGTGGATTACAGGACTGTCGGCCCTTTGGCCCACAGTTTTATTGATGCGGTAAAATAAGGGACACGGGACAAGGTTTATGCACGCAGATGAGCCATTTATACTGATATTACAGTTGTCTGCATTGAATATGGTGATGGTGTAAGTGTCGTGTCTCTGCGGGGACTAATGACTCATCATGCTCAATTAAAAAACAGAAATTATAGCTGCATTAAGTATTGAATTAAATGTCAGATAGGACTCAGGGTCGGAATGCTTTTGTATTATTATAATTGTTATTATTGTTTCAAGTTATGTTAAGCAAAATCTGCTGTTGGTCACATCTGGTTTTCATTCACGGATGTAAAATGATCAGTAGTTTTGTTTAAATCTTTAGTTGAATAAAATAATTAGCAAAATTGGTTATTTTACGTAAACAAAAACATGGAAAAATGAGTGGAAATTGAGGGGGAACGTTTATTTAACTGTTTATTTGAATAGATATCCAGAAGATGATTATGTTTGTCATCAAACATTATTTAAAGCTTTTGTTTTGGCATCATTCATCAATTAACTGCTTAACTCTGTAGAGTCAGCCAGGATGAGATTACTGCGCTCTCGAACTCTCCCGTACTTTGATTTTAGGGCTCAACTTTAGCCGTTGGATAAGCGGTTTTAAACATTGAGCAGAAAGCCCGAGCGTGTTGTCATTTTGAAAGCTTTTAATAACAGACCAAAAAGGTGATGACATCTGTATTCTATACTTTATAGTTACTTTATAATATTTTTTCAACAAAATATACTGTCTCTTTCATGACATTTGAACAGAATGCCTCATTACTTTTTAGTATAATAACTTTAGTATACTTTAGTATAAATAATATTATTTTGACCATTTTGAGGCCATTTTTTAAACTTTATTCTACAACAATATGACTTTATACATCATACTATACAATTTATTGTTGCCATTTTAAGTCTTTATTTGACATAGCATACAATTGCATTTTTGACCAGTTCCTATTACTATTCAATGCCTTTTTCTATATTATGACTTTTATTGTGAGATTAGCCTACTGTACTTTTTACATTTTATTCATTTTTACGCAATCACAATTTTTTAAACTAGTGTTCAGTCTTTTTCAACGACTACATTTTGACTGTATTTATTATTTTGAGTAGTATGTTTCAACCTCTACCTGCACCATACACACAAACACAAATCAAAATTCTGCCCCTGCTAAGGGCCATGCACGCTGATGTCTCAGGTTCCCTATTTAAGTGTGTGTGTGAAAGTGAGAGAGAGAGAGGGAGGGAATCGGGGGTATCCAATACAGGATAAAATTAGTCCAGCCAGGCCTTATACTGCTGACGGAGCTGTGGTGGCCAAAAAAAGCCTGCAGTCTGAGCCAACGGTGGAGCACAAGGAAGCGAGGAAAGCAACCGAGATCAGCGCTGAAATGGCCACCAAACGTAAGAAAATAAATAAGAGCCCGCCAGGGAGCAGGTGCACGAAGTCCAGCTGTCAGGTGGTCGAGGGAAAGATAATTTGTTCTCTCCTCTCTTCTGGGAAGGTGTGAATACAAACCGGATGACTAGTCAATACCGAGGGCTGCATGTCTTTCAGTTGGGGGACACATGGGACTCAACTAAATGGGACAATGTCGCTGAGTGAAAGCTGTTTGTTTCATTCATAAAGGTCCACGTTGCCCGAAACAAACAGGATTTATGAGCGATACAAGATAAACTTTTCCTGCTAATGCTTTTTTAAATATTATAATTTAGTTGTGTGAACGGGTTTAGGATCAGAGTGAGGTTGTGCCACGCTTGGAAAATGACATCAGTATGGGTCTCTGTTTCTGCCTGACCAGCTTTCTGTCTAAATAGATGCTTATAAAAATGGGTTGCTGGTTGTTTATGCGTGTGTGTGTGTGTGTGTGTGTTTAAGCATGAGTCAGTTGCTTGCAAATTGTCTTTTGAAATACAAATTTTTGTTGTTAGTGTCTGTGTGTACATATAAGTGTATTATTCCCAAGTTTTTCTAAGAAACTACCGTGAGGTTTGCAACGGCCATACGAGAGAGAGTTCTGTCTGTTTTTTGGGGGGTGTTTGACAATCTAATGTGATGCTGTAATTCATAGTACAGTGATTGCATAGTAGTATTTATATTAATTATCACACGATCACGCAGATACATTTTCCTGAAATATTGTCTCTTTCTTTGTCAAGTGAAGATGTTTCTTCTCAGGGTGTCTTTGATTTGAATACAGGGCCTGCATTCCCCCAAATTAGTCCCATGTACTGCCTGCTTTTTAAAGATAGATTTGTACACAATAGAACAATTAAACGTGAAACATACATCCGAAAAGAGGCAACACATCTTGTATCTGTGTGCAGATAGCTGGACAATCCGTAGTTGGAACCAAATTCACTTACTCCTTTCTCAAATGGTGTCACTTTTCAAAGATCTTTTGAAAATTGATATAAAACTACCTGTAACAAAGTGTGGGCCTAACCCCACATGGAAAGGAACATACCTGCCATGCAAATACAGCACCAAAAAAAACATGACAGTGCTTCAGGCCTCGCTATCAGGCATCTTCACAGCCACTGCAATTTTAATTCTCTACACCCTTCTGGCATCTACCGTAGTGATACCACGGTGAAGAGCTATAAACTGGTTTGAGTGATATTGGCTTGACAACAAAAACAATAAAGAATGAGCAAAGAAATGAGTAGGTGCTAAATCAAACAAACGCATCTATTTGATTTCTATAATAAAACAATTAAGTACCTTTTCCAGATGATTAAAGCATTAGATCATCTTCACATTTCTGTCGCAGATGTTCCGTGTGTTAATGATACATCCATCGTAATTCATCTCATTTATTGTTTCTATTGTGCGTGTGTGTGTGTCTTCCTGAGTAGTTGTGGATCTGGTGTATTGGCGTAAGATGAGAAAGACCGGTGTGGTGTTCACGGGTTTGGTGATCAGTCTGGCCAGTCTGTTCCAGCTCAGCGCCATCACCGTGCTCTCCCACATCTGTCTTGGTGTCATGTCTGTCACCTTCATCCTCCGCCTTTATTACAAACTGCTGGAGCTGCTGCGCTGGAACTCCGGAGTCCATCCCTTCCAGTGAGTCTGTGGATGTTTACTTGTGTGTGTTTTTACAACCTGAATCCCGGATGCTGCTGTGTCGCCGTCGATGAGTCCACAATCCATCATGGCTCTTTGTCTTCTCTTTCTCCAGGTCATATCTGGACCACGACAGCTCTCTGACGGATAAGGAGACGGTGATGGTGGTGGAGGAGGTGGTGCTGCTGATCGCATTTGCCTGGACGGAGATCAAACGGCTGATTTTCATCGAAAGCATGATCGACTCAATTAAGGTCAGAGTCGCGCGCGTATGCACGTTGACTCAGTGGGGATCGCCTCATTTGATACGGTGTTGTTGTCATGATTATTTTTACGCTCCTTCAGTTCGTTGTGCTCCTGTACCTGCTGTCCTATGTTGGAGTCCAGACGAGCGGACTGACTCTGGTGATAACCGGTGAGCTATTTCAATCTACCAACTCTTTGAATAAGTTCTATAGGAGAACAAAAACCAGGGCCCACCACACAGATATGTTGTGCACCCCACACTTCAATGGAAATACAAATTAATACATAAACACGATCAAGGTAAGAAAAAAGTACCATAGTACTAAAATAATTTCTCCTTGGTATTTGTCTTTAACAGCTGTGATCGTTATTTTCTCGCTTCCTCTGTTGTACAAAAAGCAGCAGGTGAGCAATTCTTGTTGTCATTTTATTCTAAATACTGAAAATGGAGCAGATGGATACAGAGGTGCTTTGAAGGCGCTGAGCTGTCTGATGCTTTGCTTGTAGATGCGGATAAGGAGGATGCTCAGAGCGCTCAGAGCCTTCGTAAAGAGAATCAAAAACATGTAAGTAACCCGCTCTTTGAATATCATATTCTCATGTGATCACGCTTACGTAATATGGAAATCCTTTTTTGTTACAGGTGCTTCGGTCTGTGTGAGGCAGTGAGACCTTCTCCTGCTGCTCCACCCGCGGCGGCACCTACACCCACACCCTCACCAGCGCCCGCACCCAAGCAGAAATCCAAGTCAAAGTAACTTGCTGGTTGCCTGTCGAAAGCACCTGGGATTAGGAATTTGAGAAATGTTGGAATGGTACGTGCTCTGCTGGGCCGCTTTGAGGGGACATTTCTCCACCGTGATGTTCGTTTATGGCAGCGAGATCTAATTGATCCCGACAGCTGAAACAAAGAGAAGGAGAAGCAGTTGAAATGTATGAGGAGAGATTTTTTTGTATTTACTGAGATGCTTTCTGTGGGATGTGTTTAATTTAACCTGTTCACAGAGCACTTTTTTTTTCCCTTTGATAACAGGTCTATTTTTACATAACAGCGAGCACCGTGTTCCTGTTAAGCTGCAGATTTATTCATGACAAAGAAGTGAAGCATTATTGCTGCTCTCATTAGGGAGCAGCATGAATAGTTAGCTGGCCAGAATAAATCTGACATGAACATCACCCGCCATTAATTAACCTAAACTGTGCGCTTGCTACGTTTATCAAGTATTAAGTATTATCAAAAGCTTTTTAAGAAGCAACGTTTTGCAACATTTATGAGAAATAATGAGCACGTTGTCCTCTGCTCCTCGTGCTCATTGCACTTTAATCAACACAGTGACTCACTGCTGCTCGTGGTTAATGATTAAAGTAAGGAAACTTTTACTGTCCTGCGGTAACTTAAATAGCAGAGATCTCTTTACTGTTAAGACAGATATTTTTGCTCTTGTTTTTAACTGCTGGTTAAAATGGAAAACGGCTTTAGATGCTGAAAGCTCCACAGGGTTCACCAGCCAACTTTATCTGACTTTGTGCTGAGTGTTCAGTGGGTTTTTAAAAAATGAAGACAGCTGCATTCAGCGGTGGAAAATGTTCAAATAAAACCGTCAAAATGCGGCAGAGGAAAAAATGCTAAAGTACTTTGTAGAGCTGAACTTCCGAGTTGGGTCATGGAATCTATTGCTAATGTAAAACATATCACTACGCTGCCAGAAGCCTTTTGTCCACAAAGTCAGTCTTACAAACAGCTCTTCAGCAAAGGAACAAAGGCCAACGATTCACCTTACTTCAGTTACCCAGTTTGTAGTTTTAAACATTTAAAAGTCCTATCACAACACGCAGCTGAGAAAATGCCACAGGGGCAGTTTATCAAGGAGGTTACCGGCAAATTTAAAAAAAAATCATCCTGAAGGTACAATCATCAATTCCACAGCGTCGATAAAATTACATTTGACTCAAGAAATTCCCCAAGGATTTTAATAAATATGTATATATTGTCCGTCCGTAACAATTCAGAACTTCTAGCCAGGATGTTTTCATTTAGATACTGGATAGCTGGTCGCTGGCAAAACTGCACGCTAACATCTTTTAAAATGAACCAAGAATGAAATAACCAAAAGTTGTCTTTGAAATCTCTCCACACTGTGTCTGATTAATTGTCCCTTGATCTGACGGACATTAAAACTTCCCCAATGCTTTAGCTTACATGAGGTTGAGTAGATAATCACAAGTTTCAATTATGGATGACATCATCCTTTATTTATCCTTCAACCCTTTTCTGACAACTCTACTTATTTATCTGCCAAAAAGACAGTTTACAGTTATTTCAATGCAGATGTTTTGATGGCCAGCTGCTGTTGGCATGTCAGGTTAATGTTGTTGACCTTGTAGTGCTCTCTAGTGGTCGGTGTTTCAGACCTTGAAACTGCACTTACAAACACGTCTTAATAAACTGAATCATTTCATACTGCATCCCTCAAAGCGGGCTTTGGTCATTTCAATCCGTAATGGAAGAAAACGGGTCAAAACACCTTAGTTGTTAAAAGACAAAGTACACGGTATGATTTGTGTTTGGATTTAAGACCACTTATGAACCGTTTTCCTAAGAGCTATTTATTTGGTGGAAAGAAGTTCTGAAGAGCAAGAAGATCATTTTCTTGCTACTATTAGAAGTTATTGAGACAACGTATTGTCTCAATATGGGGGAACCGGCCCCCCTTAAAGACGCATCACGCTGCGGCCTACCTGGGTAAAAGCTGAAAGGCCGTTAATGAATTTTACTCCCTAATTCATCCGGTTTATGTGGAATTGGCATCTTTAGGAGTTATGTTATATTCTTTTATGATGAATGTTGCTTAATGCAACAGTAAATTGTACAAAAAAAACAATGTAATTATGATTAGAAAGATGTTTAAAGTAAGGCTTTTCTTCTCTCATTGTCGTCACTTTTATCTCTTCTTTTGGATTAACCTTCTTTCTATATTGTTTCCTATCATGTTGCCCCAAAATAAAAGCTTATTTACTAAAAAAGACCATTTCACTTGGTAATTATTAATCACTTCACTTGGGTCCTTTTGCACAGCGGGTCTTTGGCTTTTAGTAGAAGCACAGGTGTCCTTTACATTAAAGATGTTCTGTGTACCAGTGTACCAGTAAGATGTGACAGTCTGACAATGAGCTTACATGCACTACCTGGGCCTCAAAACTAAACTCTGCATTAAACAACAGAGGCAAATCAACCAGTCAAGTTCATGAAGCTAAATAAACAGGAGACTAAAACGTTCACAGTAAACTGCAGTGGTTGGTTTAAGATGTGAATATTATAACAGAGGTAATCTGCCACCAAGGACAGAGCGATCAACACACAAACGATATTCACGGAGTGATTTTTAAACTGCTAGCTGACAGTTATGCATCACATTAATCATCTATCAAATATCGGTCTGGATTTTTAGATTTTTAGAAAACCTCCCTGAGCCGAGTCTTAATTAGTGTGAAGGATCCAACTGTGACTTGGTATCTCCACCTCTAAAATCTTCTTTTACGACGACGGTGTCGTGGCCAGAGAGAAGTCGAGGGTCAAACAGACGTTACACTGACATGTTTGTCCACTAGGTGCTGCTCTTGAGGCGACAGCGACGCCCCTGCAGAGATGATGGAGAAACACCTTCTCACTGACTAATGGAAATAAATGAATGAATGAATGCATGTTATTCATGTTCAAACATCGATACGTTGCCGCCCTCACATATAAACGCTGCATCATCGTCACCAAATGGTTCCGGTTAATAAAAACAGCTTATCACTTTTGTGAAAATCCCAGTGGGTTCAATGTGACCTTCAGATGAATTTACCTCAGAAAGCCTCCACGCGTCAATTCAAACTCTCTCTCTCTCTCTCTCAATTCTTCAAGGACTTCTCCTTTGTCTCTGCATGTAGTGACTCATCGCCTCCATCTCACGGTGTCTTCACTTTCAGATTTAGAACAGATGATTATTAATCTCATGTTGTCACAGCGTCATGTCACTGCTACAAACAGTATGCATTTAAATTCAAATGTATTTTAATACACAATTCAAAGATGAGAAAACTAACGATATGTAAAAGGTACAGCCGACTATAAAGAGGAAACTCCCCCAAGATGTCAAATGTCAAAATGGCACTTCAGTTAGTTCTTAAGTCTAACAGATCTTACATGAGTACAAAGTACATATTCACAGGATAAACGGCAACAACTCACATACCGTGATTCCCTGATTAGCAGGAGGTTACGACTCTACAGAATTACACAAACACAGGGGCTATATTTACACGTTCACAAACCTACTATTGCTGCCAATAAGGATTGTGTAACAACACAACAGCTAATAACAGAACTGGGACAGAACTACCTTATTTCCTCCCTCTGTGCTCTGTGGTGCAGTTAGTACGTTTGTTCTCAGTGGACCGAACACTGCGGATCGGTAGTGGTTTGGTCCAGCGGTGTGCCTAAGAGTACGGTCTCCTGACACACTGGTGCCCCCTCGGAATGAAAAAGGGACAGTGTCGGGATCTAGTGGATACCTACGACCCCCCGTGGCTTTCTGAATACTCATTCGTGGCGAAGTGCAGTTTGCTTACACAAAGCGAAGAGGAAGCTCGGATCCAAATGTCAACCGTATGTTAAACTACTACATGTGCGCGGGGTGTTGTCCTCTCAGGCCGCCGGCTGTTTCCTCCTCTGGATTCACGGCTCAGTGACACCGGTGAAGAATCGGGGCAGAGGGCGGCGCCGCCGCGGGCAATGTGGGCCGCGCGTCCTTCAAACGTAGTGCTCGCGGTGGTTGATGTACACACGGTCCGTTCCACTCTCATGACACACCCACTGCAGGCGGGACGGCCGCTGGGCGGGGCTTCGTGCTGTCGGAGGTCCCGGCCTCGCCGCGGTCGGCTGCTGCCTGTCGGCCCTACGAGACTGTGGATTTAAACGGCACAAAACACATGATGTCCTCGTGGGATTTTCCACATAAGCGCATCAGAAAGTCACTTTGAGGGTGAGGAAAAAAAAAAAAAAAAGTAGAAAAGTTTTCCTTCTGGGTGAGACTAGAAAAAGTACAAGCTTACGAAAAGATTTAGCTGAGCACACAGATTAAAGATTCAAACCATCCTAAATATTGGATGAGTGCAGCCATCAGGCCTCCTGTTGAATAAACACAGGTTATGGCATCAGTCGGTACCCGGGTTGGTACTTCTTGCTATGACACAGTAGTCATCGCTGAGTGTTAATCTTTCTGCTGAAGGGCCGAGTGCGTGATGATTCGATGATTTGCAGTCTGCTGACATGGTGTTGGAGCGGTTATGTAGACGGGGTGGGGGTTTACCTGACAGAGCCAGGCCACTTGTGATGCGTGGACACCCAGGGGAATGGCCGGCGCTCTCTCAGAGTAGGGAGGAGGCGGCTTGTGTGTCGGAGGAAGGTCAATCCTTCAGAGGGAGAGAAGAATAAAACATGACGAGTAGAGATTTTATTTCTCCAGAAGGGTCAGACACGTGATCGATTAAACCAGCGGCATAAAACAAGGAGTTGAGTGAATTAGTCATTTAGAAAAGGGCCTTTTGTAAAAACACCCTTTGATTCAAATAACCCATATAATGCGTTTAGAGATGTGCCTCTGGTTTTACAGATTCATTACAGGTGTGGAGTTTTATCACTTATTGAAATCCCCACACACACACACACACAACAAAACTGAAACTGAAACTTAATCGCGGCCATTTATAAACGATGTCATGACAGGAATTGATTCTCTGACACTGTTAATCACTTGATGCTGCTCTTGGATAATTGGGATGAGAGGTGGTAAGAGATTTCCAGCTCGGTGACACACTCTCCTGCACTCATGTCCGCGTGTGATTAAGGGAGAGGGTTGAGGGCCTGCGTCCCTCCCCACCACCGCTGCTGCCCCCGCCGCCGCCGCCACACCCACCTGCACTCCCGGCCCACGGTCACACTTAAGATGCTAAGTTTGTAGCGGCATTGACCGCGGACCGACACGCTACATCGTCCTGTAGTGGCAGTTTGGTGATACAGGGTCCACACAGAGGATCCCCCCCACCCCCCCGTGTTCATGCTCTTTTCAGCCTGTCAGCAATATCTGAAGGGGGCCTATTGTCACATAATCATTCAGAGGTACACGCTGTCACTGAACTTGTATAATATGTTTATAGAAAAGAAGACAAATAATAACAATCCTTGTGTGAAGGCTGTTTTATTACAACTTTCTATATTCAAGTTACAGCTTTTAATTTTAAGATATAACTTATTGTATCAGTATCAATGTCTGTTTTTGTACATGATTGACTTTTCTGAAATTTAGATTACATTTTTAGTTTGCAGCTTTCGTTAAATGGCTCAGAAATAATATTTGTCCGGCAGCTGGCTTGTTTCCTTGAGACGTGCTTGATGAGTGTGGCCGTGTTTCCCTGCAGCGAGTGTCCTCAATGACAAACTAACAGGGATGGACGAGGGGATCAACCTGCGACCTTGCAGATATTTGCCACAGTTTAATAATCATGATTTGCGTGTCATGGGTAGCAATATTAGACACATTAAGCACATTTTTCTGGTTTTAAATACTAAATAGACGCAATAGAAGCAGCTACAATAATGGTGATACAGAACAAAGACACACACAACGATTAAACACACAAACACAGCAGTCAGTCAGTCTTGGGGACTCAGAGTAGCTACCTCTGTCAATTATTCAAACGTTCAAAAGTTAACTCCCTGAACCCTCGGATGGGCTTCATTCAACCTCACATGGCATCATGTCATCAATTAACCAACAATCACGCTCTGCAGCACGAATCACACGTCACACTTACACTTTGTCAGTGAAGGCCGGTGGCGGCGGCGTCCTGCGAGCGGTGAGTATTACGACGAGGAAGACCGCGATGAGGAAGAGAGCGAGGACGGCGCCCATCACGGCTCCGGCCACCACGACGGAGTTGGACCTCTCTGCTTGAGACTGGTCTGAGATATAGAACAGAGGGGCTTTCAGTGCAACGCCAACACAGTGATCATCAACATGAGGCAGTACAGGGGGAGTCTAAAGCTGCATACGTGTTCTAAAGATACACACCTCCACCGACAGAGGCAGCGAGAGGGACGGCAGCATCAGTTCTGACCCGCGGGAGACGGGACGACACTGTGTAAACGGCCCCGTCCGCAGGCAAGGACACTGGAAGCTTCTACGCGTACCTACACGGCGTCTGAGGCGCGACCTTCTAATTGCAATAGAACATTCTAAACTCGCAACATGTAACACATTTGTTAACTGGAGCACAGTTTGTTCTCTGGAGCACAAACTGCTGAGAGTCATCATGTTTCTTCTCCTCAAGGACTGTCCTCCTCGTCGGCAGCTCTGGAGAGGAATGGAGGAGGCTCAGTCTTAAACCAACTGGAAATGTCTTAGAAAGAAAGTGTGGTGGGGAAGCGATGTCGACGGCAAAAGAACACGGGACAATGAAGGGCCTCTAAGCTGCACATTGAGACTAATCATTTACACAACACGTTCAGCGCCCTGTATCCCGCCATGTCTCCTCACGATTCCTCCCGTCTTTTTCAGTATGTCGTAGTTGTAGTTGCGGTTTTAACGTCTGCGGAATTAGCTTTGTTTCACCATATGCTTGCATACGCTCCATGTTGTCCACTGAGAGGATTAGGATTAAATGTGATTAAAATGTATTAAACTCAGAGCAGCGCATTTTGGCCAATCAGCAGTAATGTGTAAAACTGACACTGAAGGACAAAAGGTGACAGGTGTGGGACGAGGTAATGGTCAATTTCAGTGTTAAGGAGGGAGAAGAAAAAAAAACGATAACTCTGAGATGAGAATCCTAAATAATAGTTCAATTGTGATGCAGATTGAACAAGCTGAGACTTCTGAGCTTTCCCCCGAATGCCCCTTCCTCCTCCCTTTACCCCTCCCCCGCTCCCTTCTCCTGGCACGCCATCCTCTAACAGTTAATAACCATTCGATTACCTTTGATGGCCGCTGAACTGTGACAAGAGCCTCTTGAGTTATAAAAAGCCTTTATAAATGCAGTTCATCAAGCTGCATTCATGTGACCAGTGAGGAATAACTGCCCACAGCGCATAAAGAACCGTCGATAGCTCATCCAGACAGGAGTGTATTTGAGACAATTATCAGCATGCATTAAAAAAAATAAAAATAATAATTGTAATGCTTTTTCCCCCCCATTGAACGTTTCATTCCTCCTGGAGTAGCTTGGATTAGTGGACGATCAACTGTCCCCACACTGGGATCTGCTCCAGTGCAGGGTGCTTTCTTTCTGCCTCTTCTACTTCAACACACACACACACACACACACACACACACACTTGCTCATTATGAATTAAACACAGAAGACCTCAGTGGCATGAAGAGGACTGAGGGAGTGACTAGGATAGCGCCCCCCCCCTCCTCTCCCGATAAAACCTTAACAGCAGGCAGCGGTGTCAGGGGTCATGCTATCGCCCAGACAACAGACCCCACAGGGAGCAGATGCTGGTGTAATAGTGGAGGGGGGAGGAAGTTCAGAGCTCAAGGTGGTCTGTGGTTCTTTCTGTCCGACAATGTCAATATGTTTAGCTCGCTGATGGTGACGATTTGAACCAACCTCTGTTGGGGAGTTTACAACCTCTCGCACGGGCGACACAGCCGCCTGAGACGGTCGATCACTCCACCGCGTATTGTGAAAAACGCCCGCGGAAACGGTTGTGTCGCGGGCGCGAAACGAAACCCAGCTGATCTCCCGCGCTAGCGTCTCAAACAAATTCGAGCGCCGCCGGCTGACATCATTCCCACGCTGAGCCGCTTCCCTTTTGTTGGCAGCCACCGTTCCCACTGAGCACGCCCGGCTTCAAGGTCAGAAGAACAACAACCACTGTGACCGTGAGGAGATCCATAGAAGGCACAGGTCAGCAGAGAAATAAATAAATAAATAAATGAAAAGACTTTTCAGGGAGGCCGTGCTCTTGAGGACCCGGAGTTCAAGCCCGACGGTGTCAAGGTCACATGGCGTAAGTCCTCACAGCACGGAGGAGCGCTTTGTGGTGCGGCGGGGCGTAATGGGCAATTTTCAATCCCAGTAGCTAATTCGCTCTTTCCTGCTCTGCCTTACACAGCGGCACAGTTTAACTCTCAGCCCCCCACCCCCCACTTTCTGTGGCAAGGTAGGGCTTGTAGGGAGACAGCCTCCATCAGCAGCTACGGATGAGCTTGTTGCCATGGGGACAGTCAATGGGCTGGTGAGTGGGGACTTGGCCAGACGTAAACACTCAGCGTTTGAAAAAGACACAGTTCACAAGGGAGGCGAGCTGCAGGGGAGAGCGAGGGCCCTTTCTGTCCCCAATCAAAGCAAACCAGGACCGGTGAGCAGGTCAGAGCGCGGGGGGGGGGGGGAGGAGGCGGCGCCGGTCTTCCCTCACGCCACCGTTCTTTGATACTAAAGACTGGTGAAGAGGAGGTGAAGTGAGGAAACACGATTTGGAATTACATCATGTAATTCCCCACATGTGCACATTCAGCCGGCGGGGTGGGAGGGGAGGTATGCAGCATTAGGGAGCTGGAGATGATGTCATCTGGAGAAGCACAAAGAGGCTGAGCAGTCTGAGTAATAGCCAGCTCAAAAAACCCCAGAGAGAAAAACGCACAGGTGCTAAGGTGCTTTATTGAACTAAAAAGATCTCAAAAAGATTGACAAAATAATGCTGCACTGTTGTCGCTGACAAATATTGAGATTTTCTTCTGTATATACAAAAAAACAACAACAACATGACAACAAGGTTTTTTTTACATGTGAGACTGAAGTTAATTGTTCCCCCTACAGAAAACCAAAAGCCCTGATAGAAAACTCAAGATGCTCCCACTCATTTTACATGAAAAATGCATTCCAGCTCTGTCGTTTTGGGTGTAATACCTCCATGTTCACAAATATACTACGGCATTAATGGTCACGGTGACTGGGGCAGAAAAGTGAATACGGCACTACGGAGTCCTCCTGACACACAAGCAGAAAAAAAACAAACAGGCAACAAATAAATCTCACAGAGCAACCAAACCAGTTCTTAAATCCATTAGTAAACGATGATAAGAGACCACATGTTTCTTCTACGTATCTAAGGCACTAGTTGCAGTTCTCAACCCAAAGTGAAGGACATTTAACAAGGTATAAAGATATTGATGTCTGATCTTTATACAAATACATGTGTGAGTAGTAGAAGAAATGAATTTATCCAGTGGGGGACTGACAACTTGACATCCCAAGCAAAAATAGTATATGGAATAGTGGAATTTCCTTCTTAGTGCATAGAAGCAAACACCAGAAGGCGTTACGATGTTCAGCTTCCGGTTATTTGCTGCATTTATGCAATAGTGACCAGGAAGGCAGGAGAAAATGAAACATAATCGGCCCCCTAGCAGCACAGCCGCCCCCAAAACATTACATTTAATTCAACTGTCTAAAATTAGGTTTTGTGGTTCCCACATTGCCAACTCTACACATCATTAGGGCCACCCCCATTAAAACAGTCAGTAACAATTTCTAATAATGCAGACGGTTAATGATATTCTCAGAATTTGACCTCCACACCAATACAATGACGGTAGACAGTTTGTTTGAGGAGCTTGTGAAACAAAAGCATTAAAGACACTTCACAGAAACATTGTTGGAGTTACTTGGGTGATCCACACTGTAAACTCGTCACCAGATTGTACCAAGACAGGGTTCTTTATAATAGCCAGTGCTTTTGGACACCACTAGTGGTAAGTGAGGAAATATGTTAAATGAATTGGAGTCAACGAAAACTTAGCTACTTGTTAGAATAAGAAGCTTCTTTCCGTGAGCACAAATGAGTTGTGGTGTACAGCCTCTGGAAGGAGTTTGCACAGCATGAGCTGCAGTGACACGTTATGAAATGTTACCATGAGAATCGCAGCCTACTCACCGCACAGAAATTCACATAATTAGTGAGGGTTCATAACAAAATTACTACTTCCCCATTTTGACACCTTTTACTGTATTATAAGTAAGTGGCCTAAAGCATCTTTTCACTTCTATTTCAGGCTGCAAGGCCCTGTAGACAACAGTGATACGTTAGTCATTTATATAAGCTCATGATCAGTTGTTAGCTAGTCAGTAATACTTATGTTTTATGTCATCATTATACTTATACATAAAAGTTAAACAAATATTTGGCATCTGGCAGCTAAATTGTATAAGTGACCATAAAGTTGTCTGTATTCACAAGCTAGTACGTTTGAAAGAAATTGTTGCATGTAAATAGGTGCATGAGCCAAATGAACTAAACTGTGTCTAATTGATCAAGTTCAAAACCTGAAACGTATCTTTAAATCTATAATGGCTTCATGCAAGTCTGACCCCCGACTGCTGGGCCTTCATAGCCCAACGACACAGACCTAAAACACTTTGTCCTCGCTTCACGCACAGTTCTTGTATGCCAGCAGCGCGGCAGAGACTTGATTAATAAATGCGGCTTGTTACAAATGAATAAATCCAGCTGGAAAACCATTTTTAAAATAAAAAGATAGGGTGCATTTAAAGTTTCTCAACGAATAACTACGACTCAACATATTTTTTGTCCAATCTGGCGGGAAAGCACTGTGCTGTGGCTTTGATAACACACATTCCTCACTAGCGACCCGATTAGTCTTAATGTGTAATTGACTTTCATAATACTAGTAGTATTAAATGCGTAATTCATAAAAACACAGGCTGGTGACCGTGCCGTTGCACACATGGATGAGCAACAATAAGCCTATTAATGCCTCTTTTCCAACACATTAAATTAGTCCGGTGCACTGGTGACACTCGTCAAAGACTTCTTTGTGAAACAAAATACTTTGAGACTGGGAGGCCAGCGTATGGTGCCCGTCATACTGTAGCCTGCTTTCAACAAGACCCCTGCTGACAGCACTCTTGAATTTCCAAGAAGCCTGGGTAGGTGCCAGAGTGCAAACTCTCAAACTCATCCGTTACCATCCAGTAGATAACAGGGGAATGTGTTAGAGGCTAAATCAAGAAACTCTCCCCCAAATCATTAAATTACACAAACAGAAGTCATATTATTCAAGCTTATCTAAAAGTGCAGAATTTTGTAGGATATTTGCGTCTCACGGCTCGACTGAGATCCAGTCCGTCGTTACTGCCCCGTTCATGCAGACATCCCCACTGGCTCTCCCGAGGGTGCAGAGACGCTCTTAAGGTTCCCACTCTACGCCGCCAGCTTTAGAAAGGACTCACTAGGACATCGGTGGTCCTAGTGATGTCCTCCAGCTCACAGGTCTCCCATGGAGAGTTACATAATAGGTAGAAGAGAAAAATGATAGGGTGGTCCATATAGTTTTGCAAAAGGCAGTGCAACATCTTATGATTATATGTCTGTGTGCAGAGGTCATCAGTTATGAAGTCATTCGGATTTCTCAATGGGATGAATCTCTTTTTAATTCGCCTACCGTGTCCGACTGAGTTTTAGAAAAAAGGCCCGGTGATCCTTTGAATTTCATGTGATTACTTCCAGTCATCAGTTCTGCCCATTCTTGAATACCAACCATTCATATTCGGAGGTCATCTAAACTAAGTGACATTTGGCCAATGAAGGCAGAATTTATGTAAAAACAAAAAGAAAAAATTATCTTTCGACGAAAACCATAGTTTGGTCTGCAAGCCCTCAAGGCTTCCACTCAACTGAAAGACATACAAGTAAATGCATTGGCAGTCCGTGTAGTAAGGCATAGGCCACACGTTTACATAACCTCTAGTTAGTCTCTACACACAGACTTCTGTAGGCATTCAGATGATGGCTGTTCACTCCGTCCACATCAAGAACACAAACGTTACGTCTCAAGTGTCGACCAGGAAACTACAGAACTGAGACCTCCTGCTTTGTGTCGCGTCCGTGCTCCCGCAGGACCGTCAAACGTACCACTCCCTACGCGAGATGACCGACCCGTCTGTGTGAGAGACATAATCGCCCTGTGGCCCGTTATCGTAGCAGTCATCCGACAGGCAGGGGGCGCCGTTTCTCTGTGGTTTAGGTGAGTGAGGGTATCTGGCACATCTGGCCTGCCTAGGGCTGGAATACTGCGTGTGTTCAGGGTGGGGATTCTGCTGATTGCTGGGATGACCGCTCTCCCTCATTGCCCTAGTGTAGCCATTCGAGGGATACTCCTCTCCGTTGTGGTTGCTATGGTGACGACGGTCACGCTCAAGTTTGAGCTGGCGGTCGCCCCACTCCTCCCGGTCGTGGTCCCGATGGTGGGAGCCGCTTCCAGCTTTAGTGGGGTGGAGCTCGTGCTGCGTGGGGGCTTTCTGGAGGTCACTGGGGCCCAGGCACTGTTTGGTGTAGTAGTTCCCGTGGAAGGTTTGCTGTTTCCGTAGGTAACACACGCCAACCAGACACAGCAGCAGCAGCAGAAACAAGGCCCCGCCCACAGCCCCACCCACTATGGAACCAAGATTACTCTCAGGTAGGGCTTCGAGTGTGGGGGAGCTGAGAAGGACATGCCCCATATCATCGACTAAGGTGGAGGAGGCAGAGCCAGTTAGGACAGGAACAGTAATGGTGGAAGGCATGGTGGGAGGATCTAATGGAGGGAAGAAGGGTGAGAGGGGAGTAGTGGAGGGGAGAGATGAAGAGACAGAAAAGCAGAGAATGTCAATGCCAACTACATCAGCATTTTACTAAGTAGGGATCACTAGCATCAACCAAACCACCACACATACTAAACTAAGGAGCACATGCTGGCAGCAGCCTCAGGTCTGCATCGACAATTCCTCAGAGCATAGTGGGTGCATGCTTTAATTATTAAACCATGGAAAACATAAACATGTATGCGGTACATTGGGCTGATAGAACTCTCGTATTTGGAGCAGCACTTCCATCCAACTATATAGCAATGAATCTGCGTGTGTGCGCGTGAGTCTTGACAGTCCATCCGATATACGCCACATTGGGCAGCGGTATTCTCTACTTGCACAATGCAGCGATACATACGTTACCTTCTGTCAACTCATTTTACATTTGCCTCCATTGATAGTGCTTTTTACAGTTTCTTTTTGTATATGTTAACAGTACTTGCAATTTGTTTTCGTAATGTTTTAGCATTTCGATTATCACCCCACTGTCTTTAAATAGCTGGTCAGCTCCTAAACTAAAAAGGAAAGCACTCTTAAGTTTATGAGTGCACTCAGCTCACATTAACTCTTAATCAGCCAATGTCGTCTTCTGGGAGCGATTACAGCTCTCCAGCTTGTCCTGAGCCACGGCAACCCAACGTTGCAAGCTGTGAATAAAACAGGCAAACTTTGGCAGTGGAACGCAGAGGGAAAAGCGGCTGATGGTATGCCACTATGCTTCAGTGCAATTGGCAACTGGTTCCACTGGCATATTTCCTTTTGGCAGGTGCCACTTCAAAGCGGCAGGCCATTTTTAGACAGACACACCAGTACTACCTCAAAAAATCTCTATTGGAAATGTTGTGCAACATAATAGCACAAATGGAAGAATGCATCGTTTTCTCTCATCTCTTACATTTTGGAGATTTTTTTTAAATTGAACACTTATTTAGGGTTGACAGGATGTTAACAGCCGCGCAGTACGTCAAAAGACATTGTGCAAGTATTGGCAGTTCAAATATATTTTATATTAATAAATCATATTTGGCACAATAGCAGTATAATCAGAAGGAACCATGCTCTGTCCAACTATATATGCATGTGGGACTGCCTTTCACATCTCAAGAACCGCAGCACTTCCCGTGGCACTTCTGGGGCAAATGACCAGTTGTCGGTGTGCACTGCAGTAGCATTGGCCAGGGATGTTTTTCACCACCACTTAATTGATGGGTGCAGCTTTGTATGAGGAGAGTAATGTATTTCTTGCTTTGTTGGGGAAGGAGGTCCCACTGGATGATCAAAGTACCATTGAGTCATGAGATCCAGTAAAATAGTTGTGATTAATACTTTTTTGAAAAGCAGCTGCCAAAAAAGCTGTTTACTCCATTATTGGACCGATGGCTACACATAGCTGGCTTATGTATGACCATTGGGTTAAATAGTATTTCCAAAAGCTGTTAAAATCATAGTATTACAGATACATGTAGTGAGAAAATGAGTTACTTACTGAGGTGACTTAATGACAAGACATGCAATATGAATTTTAAAGTAACATTTACAAATTATTCTGCAAATTTTATGCTTAAATCACCTGATTATAAATATTTAGAATATGCAATCGACAGAACACCAAACCTAAAATGTGCTGGACTTGAGCAATGCCCCCCCAGCCATAATCATAAGGAGCTAAAGTAATGGAAAGAATTTGGGTCTAAAAGTAATAATGGTGCTGCAAGATTGCTCCACCACCTTAAAGTCGGCGCCAGGCCAGCCAGATGTGAGGACTATTCTGAGAGATTACATGAACTCAAAGTTTGTGGTTCCCTTAGTAGGTGAATTGTACAAATCAATGCGTGGGCAGTGAACTGACACGTGTGACAACATCGACATGCGTGAGTGTGCGCGCACCATACAAGTCCTCTCAAAAGGAAAATGCAACATAGATGATAAATAATAAATAGGAGTTGAAAAGATCTAGTTAATGTTTTATGAATCTGGGACATCATCTCACAGTAGGGCTGCAGGCTTTTGCCTCTTACTGCATGACACATGCGGAAATAAAATAAAAAATAAAAAACAGAAAACGGAGGCAAGAGAGATGTGTAGAAGATCACATAATCAGAACTTCATTTAAGAGAGCTTCCACAGACAAGACAGATTTTTGTGGAACCAGAAGAGCATGCTCATCACCCACAAAGATGCTGAGCCAAAAAGAGAGCGGGGGCAGAGCTCTGTGGTCTAAAGAGGCCTTAAATATGTGCAGCTGTTAGCCCAGGACCGCCCCCTTTGAGCATCTGGAGACCCAACATTAATCAGGCTAGTCAGCACGCGATTCAGACTAAATGAAAAGGTCAAACATTATGAGTGCCAACGCAACTTGATTGACCGACTGCCGGTATGCACAGAACGGGTGAGAGGGATACAGTGTCACATTTCAGCTTGAAGGACAATGTCACAGGCAGTGATGCCCTCTGACGTGCACGCTTCCTATGGGAAGAGAAGGCCAAAGGGGTGCGCTGCGTGTGTACTCCGCTCACCTTGTATGAGAATGCGCACATCCCGACTGCGGAGGTTGATGTCGTTGGCAACCTCACACCTGTAAACCCCAGAGTCATTCCGCTGGAGGGGACGCAGGAAGAGCAAAGTGCTGTTCATTATTTCCACTCCTTCTTGCATTTCACTGTCCAATCTATGATGCACAAGAGACACAAATATTTAGACACACAAAGACACAACTACATCAACTATCCTGTTGTGTAACCATGGAACGACGTGGAGTCCAACGTTTGCTTTCAATTTGGTTTATAATTACTGCTTTCCTTCTACATTCTATTTCTTAATGGTCTGTTATCTTATTTCACTCACATATTTGATGTTGGATTTATTTTTTGTAAAGGACTTCAAGCTAAAACTTTTCAATAAAAATAGCTCATATATAAATGTATAAGTAGATAGTCATTATCATTATTAATATGAATAATGATACAAACTAAGATATTGTTTAGGCCTGTTGGTCAATTTGAACACATAAGGAAAAAGGTGTCATACAAACAGATTCAAACACACCTGATCCATCTGAAGTGATTAGCCGGTGGGTTTGCGTTGGCTTTACATGTCATTTGAACATGTTCCCGACCAACATACCAGTCTCCATCATAGCCCACAACAGAGATATCAGGAGCAACTAAAGAGAGGGGGCAAAAAAACAAACATTTCACTACAAACAATCTGAAAACAGCACACACTGATCATTTCTGCTCATGTTAAAGTCAAGTTTCCTTGTTGTACTAATAACTTTACATCATCAAACATGCAGTACGACCGTTATGTGGAGTCTGAGGTCAATCTTGGCCTTCGAGAAATGAGCCTGTGTCCTCTAAATCACACGTTACTGCCCCACAAAGCACGCCAACATCTATGGAGGCTACTGACAAAACTGACATGACTGACGGACTGACAAAAAAATCAAAATGAAGGAAACCCCAGACGACATCCTTTCCTAGCCCCAATTAATCGCTGTAAGCCGCTCGCGTGAATTGTCCTTGATTTAATCTCTGCTAATTCAAATGTTTCCAAAGTGAATTGTTGTTGAAGTGCTTCAAATAAATCAAACATCAACACTGACAAGGCCAAGCAACATCAATTAAACGCTGTTGGAAATCAAACTCCTTTATTTTTGAAATAGTCGGTATTTACTTTCTGCTTAACACAGTGTTTGACTGTTCAAGGGCAGTAAAAAGGAAGCCAGGAAACCGCTGCTATACTTTCCTTTACAATTGATGGGAGTCTTTTCTTGGACCTCATAAACGCCCTCCATTTGATATCGTATCCTCTAATGCGCCCTTTAATAGAGCCTCTTCAGGCCATAACAATACCTCGTGAAAGCCTGACAGCAGCCCCGACTCACTATCATTCAGCATATTTACTACATATACCTACGTTAACATGACACTGCAAATAGCCACTAATGAAAGGAGGCACCCACACTGCACATTGAGTTGATAGGGGATCCTGAAGTCCCTCTGCAGGGCCGGGTGGCGGACGACACAGGTGAGCGCGTGGCCCTGGATGTGACGTGTGGGCTGCCACAAGTAGCTCACTTGCGTGCTGGTCGTGCCGTTGGCCTCGTCAAACAGCTGCACTTCCGACTGTCCAAAAAGGTTGGATTCCCAGGACACCTCAGCGGGGGGCCTGGCTCGCTCCGCAATACAGGTGGCCACCACGGTGTCGTTGCCGCCGTCGATCAGAGCGGACGAACCTGCGGACACGTAGACCTTCGGCTCCACTGCAATGCAAAGGCCGGTGGAGAGAGAGAAATGTGGCTTTTTTTTTCTTTCTGAGATTATTTTACACAGTTAATTGTAGTTTTTTTTAAATAATCTTTTTTGTTTGATCAATATCACTTTTCATTGAATGCATTCAAAAACAGACTTTTTACATTTGCTACGAAGTTTAACATTCAATATGAAAATCAACCCAATGATTAATTGACCAATTGTTTTGTCTCTACTAGACACCACAGGACTCGTTACGTACAACACACACGCATGTAAAAACTCACCGAGCACATTGACAGTAGTGGAGGCTTGAGTGTTTCCGAGAGGAAACGTGGCCACCTTACAGGTGTAGATCCCGACGTCAGCGTAGCCCACGTTTCCCAACACGATGGTGGCGTCGTGCGAGGAGGGCGAGCGGAAATACAGGCGATGGAGGAACTCCGGAGGGATGGAGATGCCGTAGAGCGGGTTGTAAACCGCCACGGTGACGGAGCCCGACGGCAGCCGGCGCTCCCAGGAGCTCTGAGTGAGAGTAAGGTTGGAAGCCACTTCCACCCGGCACTCCAACGTCACGTTCTTCCCCAGCACAGCGTTCACCCTCTGAGGCACCAGCACCTGACTGCCCCACGCGCCTGCCACACACACACACACACACACACACACACACACACACTTGTAAAAACTTTAAAATGCATTACTCTTACTTCTGCTGAGGCAAGACCTTTTCACCCCAATTACTACAGTATTTGATGATCTGTACTAATCTAGATCCCCTCCATCAAAGGACTGTTGGCACGGTTTTAATTATAAACATTATTGGCCGTCTTCAGAAAAGAATCAAATAATCACAAACCTTTAATCGAAACTTAAAAGATACTTTTGGCATTTTTGATAAAAAAAATGTTATCAACCATGTTGTTACAGACTATTTTTTCCCCAATTGACCGATGAATAATTTAATTGCTGCAGCTTTAACTTAAGTTCATCAGATGCTGAAATACTAAAAAGATCTGCGTTTTTTCTTAGTTTTACAATGTCATGAAATTAAAATTGTTGAAATTCTAAAAATGATCTAAAACACTATTTTCTGACATTTTTATCCTAAACGATCAATTGATTAATTTAAAAATGAATCAAAAGAAGAGCATGATGTACAACATTTCTTGTTTAGGCAGACAATTGATTTTTGTGATGGATATTGCTTTACTCTACTCAATTGTGCACATTACATTTTCAGAATTAAAAATATCATCAATATAATACTGGGTAACGAATCGAGAGTACCACGATAGCATCCGTGAGCGAGACGAGTCAGTTGGACTCGTTAAAGCAAAAGTTCAGTCCAATCCGACATCTGTGGGAATCAGACGGGAATCAAAGCGTGATACCAGCACAGCAGGCGTCGGGCTTTTCAACCCGTTACACGCAGCTGACGGAGGGATACATCGATGGATTTGTTTGGGCTCCATAGCTCTTCTCCTCCCGACCTGAATTTGGGAATTCAAAGCAAGCTGTCTGCATGTCCTTTGTCCAAATATAACTCAAGTCACCTCCAACTCTCAGAAACGTTGCGCGTCTCAAAAGCGGAGAGCTCAAAGTCGTGTCGGGGAGAGTCAGAGGGAGATAAAGGGAACAGACCGAGAGCGGCGGCTGGAAGAAAAGACATTTGCAAAAACGCAACGATGACATCATCGTTCGAGGGGGGAGAAAATAGGGCTCTGAGTGCGGAGAGGCAAGAGGAAAATCATGTATAAAACAAATGAGAGGAAATGTATCATCAGAATTACAGCGAAGAGACAAAAAGGAGGAATTACCTTTCTGATTTAGAAAAGACAATACGCCGCTGCCAGAGCCCTCAACCACAGCTAATTGCAAAAAGCTGCCAGCAGGACGATATCGTCATAAATCATAACCTTCTGTGCTGCTTGGCAACTGACTCCAAATATTCTATTGTTTTGCCAAAAACAGCTCCGTCTCTGGCCAATCTCCCTGTAAAAAAGGCAATGTCCTCAAATTTTAATACTTCATAAGGATGTATCCGGGACGCAAATGTGTCTTGTCTTTTGGTCAGGGATAAGAATACAGTTTAACAGTATACTTGTTTCACTTGAATACATGTATTTTCCCCTCGTTTACCTTTCATGTGAGCAGGATAGAGGTTAATTACAAGGTTAGTTGTTAAGGATTGAAAAAACAGACGGAAAATGGAAAATTGCAATTAGTGAAAGCTTAAGCAATTATGGTGCGTTTGTCGAGTTCAAAACTCTATATTGTAAATGATGTCATATTGTAAATAATTATTAATCCAGTCATGGAATATAATGATTTACATAATTCATTTTCAAACTTTTAGCCTAATGGGGCTATCAAATGATAAATTGCGGATATCAAATCTTGATAGCATATTTCTTGCAGAGTACGTCTAATGAGTCATTGTTTTTCTCAAAAAGCGAAAGCAGATCAAATTAGTGGGGAGACGTTCAGCTGATTATGTACTATTCCAGTATAATGTAGTACTTAGGGATGTGCATGGGTTTCAATTGACACTAAAATGCACACACTTGTGCATTTTAGTGTCAATTGGCATGCTTTCATCATGCCGTAGATCACACAATTCACCCAAGAATTGGATCACACAACACAAAAATCTAGAATTGCGTTTGCGTTCGGTAAGAAACACCACGGCAATGGCGATCCCCCAAGGGGTTAGCAAAGATTAGGCAATTTAATCAGTTCTATCAGAACTGAGAGAAGATCTAAGGCACAGTCTTGCTCTTCTCCCGACTTGAGTTTGATGGATGATTCATTCCATCACCTGACACTTTCTTTTTTGATGAGCCATCCCTTTACCTTAATTCTAATGGCGGCTTCTCGGATGGTACAAACCACCTGGCCAGTTGAGTTCATTCTGTATTTAAAGTTGCCAACTTTGGAGGACACCCACTTGATTTTGTTACCTCAGACTGATTTATGAAGCAAACCTCCTGAGTGGATTGTTTCCCATCATTGCAATTGAAAACACGGAAGTGGGAGATCTTTGAGAAAAGTTGAGCTATTCTTTACTCAATAAGACAAGCCAAGCTTACTAACCTGTAGAAATCTGGGTTTAAAAGCTGGATAGAGGTTAAAAAACAGATTTGTAAATTCCGATTCTGTTAGCAAGTCAGTTTGAAACCTAAAATCCTGCAATGTAGTTATTCACATAAATTAGTCATTGTCTGCACTACAAAACCCTTTTTAGTGACATACTACTGAGAGCTGTTGAGTTGCATGCAGAGCAGAGCAGGCTGCCACCTGAAGTCTCTGTCAAACCAAAACGAGATCCAGGCTTCAACTCGAGGACGAAGGACCAATCCGGATCTACTTCAAATGATCACTCAGCTGCTGGAATGAGCTTTCTTTCTTCTGGATAATATTCCCTAATCCAACACGTCGGGCTACGCAAAGTTCACAACTTGATTCAGGGAGGAGTGAAACTGTTCGTAGTGTAAGAAATAGTAGCCAATGCTTGACATAGTTCATTAACATTGTGTTCGCCTTGCAAATGATTCGTTCAGGTGATTAAGTGAGAAAGCGTTGCACCATGAACTTAAAGTGTAAATTAACTGGGACTTAGGAGAACGTCAGAACGACAAGGTAGTTTACATCCTCTCCTCAAAAAAAGAAATGGGGCAAAAGTGTCTTATGAATCTTATGAACACCACAAGTAGAAACCAGGACACCGTATAATTTTTTTTTTTTAAAAGACTCAAACTTTTTGAAAGAAAGCATAATACGTGTATTTGCCCTGTGACTTAAACAAAACACACAAACCGAAACCTTTATGGAAGAGACTGTATGAAATATTGTGGACCTTTGCCTCAAGCGGTTTACTGATTTTATGACATGCGTTTGTCATGATGAGGCTAGCTGGGTACGAGGAAGGAGGGCAGCATTTTCCTGCACTGAATATGTAATGGAAGAGGTATGGCGACTGTATTAAATTTTTATTGTGACATGACGACAACGTTACATAAGCCTGCCCTCTTTTCTCAGACTGGGAATAAAAAAAAAGGTGATGAGAATAAGGGCAAAGTCTATCAGATCTTATACGCAGCCCATCTTGACATCGCAATATGAACGTTTTCTCAAAGAGACAAAGAAAAATGAAGTATATGTTCTCGCATCCTCAGATCCTCAAAGAGAGCAGCTACTATAGATACTTTCAGTTTGGTTTGAAAATACACACACACACACACACACACACACACACACACACACACACACACACACACACACACACACACACACACACACACACACACACACACACACACACACACTATATATCCTGACATCAAGGACACATTGCTCCCTTCTCACTTTAGTCAATATTACCTTCACATGCACCACTTATGTGGCACCAAGTGTATTCATATGAGCTTCTTGCCAGAGGGCAGCAAGTCTTGTTGAAACTGGAAATCAGAAAAAAAATTGTCATGGTGGAAGTAGCAGAGCAAGGTGTGCAGAGCAGGACAAGAAAGAGTCTAGTGAGGGTTTGAAAGTGGGGCTTATTAGACCTTAAAAAGACACTTTTTGCGGACGCTTTTTTTTTTTGTAACTGACTTGATCAAGCTGCACAAAAGCACATGAGCACAGCGGGAACGCGATGCACATTTAGAGTCAACCGTAGAAGGGAGCAATGCAACAGTGTCGGAACAAATCATTTCTCGCACATGAAAAGTCTACATCATCAGTACGGGAGTCTTCTAATGTCCCAAAATCCCACTAATCATCACCTGACATCGTACACTTCTCTGGTCCAGAGAATGTCAAACTGTCAATCTGTCTGAATGAGAGGGAGACAAATTGTCACGTGTCCCTCCTACTTGAATTGAAGTACATTGTTTATGTGAGTGTTGGTCTCTCTGCGTGTGTCTCACTTCAACTCTTTAACAATAGTTAGGGATCCATTATTGGTCCAGTAGCCCAGCGCTTCCCTCCTTTGCAGGCGCTCCGGTGGTCCTCTGCTGACTTCAAGAGAGGACTACAACACAGAACAGTATCTCCGCATGCACAATAAAGTCACTTCTTTTTTTATTTGCCAACGGATGATGATCAGGGACACAAAAGGATGCTCTGTGATTATTTTGCTATGTAAATGTTGAGTTTGAAAATTACAAGTGAGTGACCAGAAACATAGAAACCTTTTCTGCAATATAATGCAACTTCAACACACTGTTGTAGCCACTCTGCATCGCCACAGGGAGGGTTTCCTTTCTTTACGGTGATCTTTCAATGCAGTTTGAGGGTTTTGTTGCGTTTCGTGGGATAAATTCTTCTAGTGAACATTTAGGGATCCTTTTATTACAGAAGGATACAGCAAGAGAAACATGCTAAGAGGAACTGTGTGTGGGCAGACAACACGCACCACAGTGCACAAAGTTGGCGTGTTTCAGGGTTGAGTTAGTCGATTGTTCAGCTCTTAATTAAACCGTAATGAGCTCCACTGCAAGCACAAGGCGGCTCTACCCTCATGCAAGGAGGGACACTTCTCTGGTGACTATTATTATGTTGCAGAAGCAGCTTGCAGGACACGCAAATGTTTCTGCTAAATCTGCAATGACTGTAAAGATGAATTAAGGTCACTGCCCGTGTTCCTAAGTGGTCGCATCGGGTCGCCACCACTGCGAAGCGCTGAAGTGAACCAACCAACTTCCCGCGGTCTTTCAGCGGACACCTGCTCAACCTGCCGAAGTGGCAACTTAACAAAACCGTGGCCACGTGAAATAGCGAGAGAAACGCAGCTTAGCGGGGGCGCGCGCGCGCGGAGACATTCGGCTCTTTCACAAAACTTCTGTGTATCGTCGGCAGAACAAGTGAAGCTGCCGTAGGAAAAACGAACCGACTCACCTGTGAGACTGCAGAAAAGGTAAAATAACGCGAGCTTTCCCCGGTGTCCGAGGTAACTCCGTGGATGGGACGGAGACATTTTTGTAAAACTGTGCGGTTTTTGCAACAGGACGCGCGCGACGGCTGCACGCCAGTTTAACGGTTTGGTGTGGAACGAGAAGCTCCTCAGCAACAACTCCAGCCGGCAAGTGGACTGTACCATCTACGCGACGCGGAGCAGGGGGGCCGGGGGCTCACCTGACAATGGGAAGTAGACGCTCGCACGGCAAGATCCTACAGCAACACCCCCCCTCCTGGAGGAATGGACCATCAGCATACGCATTACGTCACCTCTGTTGGTTACCGACATACAATGATCGATCAGATCACTCAGTGACTATTCTTCGCTGTCTTTGATGGCAACTCGCGGATAATTCATTTAGGTTACATACCTTCACCGTCGTCATAATGATCTGTTTCTCTGGCTGTCAGCAGGAGGCCTTGAATCTATTTAGCAGATTCCAATTAAATTGAAATGTTTGGCCACTTAATCAGGAGGAACAGATTTAGTTGTTGTTGAGGAAATATAATCTAAAAAGCAACATTTGAAAAAAAACAAAAAACTTTGAAGTTAGAAAACACTTTTTGTTGACTGACTGGTGGGCCAAACCATGGACTGCATTTTCCAACATTGAGTATGGTCCAAACAGAGAATGTCAGAGATACGCCCTGGATTGGTCACCAGTCAATCACAGGGCTGACACACAGACGAACAACCATTCGCACTCATATCCACACACCTTCGGGCAATTTAGAGGCACCAATTAACCTGATCCCCAGAGCACGTCTTTGGCCTGTAGGAGGAAGCCACAGTACCCAGAGAGACCCACGCAGACACGGGGAGAACATGCAGACTCTACGCAGAAAGGCCGCTGGGTGGACGTTCTCGCTGTGAGGTGCCCTGTATGAAAACAGTGGATCTGAAACCTTCAGTTCAAAAGAAAACCGAAATGTTTGCTTAATTTGTTATCACAATACAATATTATCTATTTGAAAATGATTGTGGCTGAATATGTTAAACTTACAGAAAGATTATGGCCCAATTTTCCCTATGGACTTGATTAGACCATTAAAAGGCATAATGGTCAGTCATGGCCGCCTGGGTCTTTCACATGCTGCGTTTCTGGGGGGCAGCAACCCCGTTCTGCTGACAGCAAGCTAACCAGGTCAGTGCTTTAATTTGAGTCTCAGTGCTGTCTTCTGAAGAGCCACCAGGGACACAATTACTCTCCCACCATCCCATTCATCTGCAGCTCTAGTGTGAACGTATGTGCGTGCGTGTGCACGCCAGCATGTCTTTTTTTTCTTCTTTTTTTATCAATCTCAAAGTGGGTAAAATGAGTGCACTGAATATTCCCCATTGTTTTTGAGTTCAGTCAGAATATTTTGGCCTTGAGTGTAATGTATCAACATGAAAGCTGTATGTTACTGTGGCAAAGAATTTATGTAGAGAGAGAGGAGTGCAGACTGAAAGTCTCCTTCTATAATCTCTGCCGTATTAGACATAGTTCATTTTAAAATGTCCTGTTGATGTTTCCTAGATGTTGCCTTCCTTAAAGAGCAGTAGACTTTTCCATTACAGATGATTTAGCTGATGATAACCTCTACTGTTATATTTTGTTTTTTATTTTTACTTTTGATTCATATATTGAATATTTTGATCTCTAAAATGGCTAAAAAATAGTGAAATGCTTTTTTACCTTTTAAGTTTTCAAGCTAAAAATAAGCATCACTTGTGCGACCCATTAAAAGAATTGAATTATTTCTTACGCTGTGGTGTTATTTTGCAGGGATGCCTTATGTTCAGGCGTACACATCACCTTTAGCATGACCCAGTTCTTCTCTGAACACCAAAATATTAACAATCAATACATCTCTCATATTTACTCGTATTTTGTAGGCTACTGCACCGATTTGCATCATGTTGTTCATGGGTTCTTGGTGTTTGATCCCAATCTAATGTGCACAGTCCCAACAGACTTTTTACAGATAGGTTTAGTCAGTGTGCGTACTTTGGAGAACCTTTTTTTAGACTGTAATAAAGTTGTTTTTCTTTGCCACAAGTGGCCCATGAGTACACAATAGACAGTACTTTAAAAGGCTGATCACATCTCAGTCATTTAGCAAAGACAGTGATGAGCTTTTTCGTACCCTTCCTTTGTTTGAGTATTTATCTCACACATAATTGTCTTTTCTGGTTGCCCTCGTTGTGAACACAGTGTGTAAACCCCTCAAGTGCTGAGCCTGTGTGTTACCAAAAGTAAAAACTGATGCTGTGTTAATTAAACTAGTCTTTGTGAAACCAAAGCCACTGAATCCACTTCCTCAGTTGAAAACATGAGGAATTTTGAGTTCAAGATAACAACTTTTCCCTTCGTCTTTTGCTCCAAACTAAAGCTGCTCTCCGCCACCAGGTACTTTCTCTCTTTGGAATGTTTTTCAACCCTTCAAGTGCTCTTTTTGCAAAGGCGAGAGTATTGAGAGGGCTTCACGAGTAAAGATCGGTTAAATTAGTCCGCCTCCCGCCCAGACGCTTCTTTTATTCCGTGGGTCAGCGCCTCCTCGCTGTTTGCCCACATAAAATGGTCTCCCTACTTTCTGTCTGTAACCTTTCTCCTACACAAGAGTGACAGGAATTTATTAATAATAATATCACAAGTTGGCTTACCGAACATCCTTATTCTATTTTTACAGTGCATTATGCTGACATGTTTAAGACTAAAATAAAAGGCCCGGTGTACTGTGAAAATATTTCCAAACCAAAAGTGACATCTGCTGGTTGAATGTATGAATTCTCTGGATGCACATTCACATCATGCATTCGATATGTCAATAAACATATTTAGTGTCCATGTTTTGTACAAGATGAAGCATCCAAGCTTTTGTTATTGACAGCTTAGGTAATGTTTTTTTTACATGAATATTTCTATTTGAAAATGCTTATCCAAACAGATGGATATGAAATGTGTTTTACGTGTTTCAAAGGTGTTCATAGAAAATAAAATCTGTCTTATAATCAATTATAATAAATAAAAAGTCAAAATATAATGTTTTTGTAAATCTGTTATGGTCAACTGTTACTCTTAATCGTAAAAGAAAGCAGATCGATTATTATAATGATTTACCAAATTAGGACAGTGTGTCCCTTTGCGTTTAATGCCAACAACAAATTTTAAATGGTTGAAAAAATTAATGCATAATTAAATGACTCATTTACTTTACGTCTGCTTTTCAAAGAGTTCTTATTTGTTTATTATTGGCCTTAAAATGAATGACTAATTAATATAAATCAATTATTAATTTGAATTGCAGATATCTGGTCTTTTTTTAAATTACACAACTTTTAAAGATTAAAATGATAAGATACACATTTTGTTTTATTTTTCCATCGTGCAATCTAATAGTAGAAAAACAAGCAAGCAATACTACTGTACGTTGTTTATTCATTACATTATGTATATGCTGATCTTCATTTATACTGTATCTTCATGCGTAATACCAGCCAAATATTGTAGGACAAACAAACAACAACAAACTCAATTCTTTCGAAAATCATCAACGTTGTGTCATTACTAGGTTTGATCACCTCATTATCTATCTATCTCTAAGCTATTATATATATATATATATATATATATATATATATACAAATCTATTTCACATATTTATTTACATAAATACATGTTATTAGATACAAGAATTAAAAAGTACGTTGTAGTGGGGGATTATTAATTTCATATGCATTTAACACAACAATGCTTCATAATTTATTACAGTGATGACAAATAATAATAATAATGTAAAATAATGAGTGAGATGATGAGTGTGATGTGATGTGTTTTATTAATACAACTTTCACTAGAAAGGTAGTGTTGATGGTTGAATTGCGTTGTGTCCAATGTGTAATAGCTCTTGATGAAATGAAGCAATGAAAGCAGTTAGATTTAGTTTTTTTGGTAATCAGTACGTTTTCAGTGCAGCCTTTATCCATAAAAAGTTTTTTCGGCATTATTTTAGAGCTTACTGTTCTTTGAAAAAAACAATTGCTACATATTGCAGCATGTCTGTATGTCCCTTAAGTTCTTTAAACACACTAACCTGAATTAGACCAGATACAAGTCATCACGCACTTAAACAGACAAAAACAAAATTACTATAATTAAATCAAGACTTAGGAAATCTTTTGACTGAGCCGAAAGTGAAATAGTATTCAAAGACATGTCTGAATGCCTGATCTCTGAGGCCGTATATGAGAGGGCTCAAACATTTAGGTAAAATGATTAGAACCAAAAAGAGACCGTACTGAATGTGAATGGCCATTTTCCGATTTCCCTTCCACTGGTTGATGGGGTTTATCATATAAAAGAGGGTGGAGGTGACACACAGGCATAACTGAATCAGGTGCAAAAGCATTGTCTTGTGGGGCTTGCTGGACTTCTCTACAGTAGACGAGGCCGACTTGACAGCAACTATGACTACAACATATGTGTAGATGCTAATCATGGAGACTAACACAAATATGGTAATGGTGAAACCCTTATTCATAGCCAAATAAATCTGTAGCTGGAAGATGTCTTGGGAGCAGATCCTCATCACAGTGATTGTATTCTCCAGACGGACAAACAAGACGAACTGCGAGAAGGACTCCAGGGAGCCGACCGTCCACATCACGGCAACGGCCGCTCCTGTCATTCTTGTGGTAACAATACTGGCATGCCTCAGTGGAAAACAAATGGCAACATACCTCTCCAAAGACATCATAGCGAGGTTCAGGGGGGATGTTTTGACAGTGACGCGTGCCACCAGCACGACGAGAGCACAAAGGAAGCTGCTCAGTTTGATCATGGTCACGGCAAAGATGTACATCAGCATCGCCGAGAGAAGTTGGAGAGAGTCGGCGATGAGTAAATTAGCAAACAGAATGTAGCGGGAGGACTCCAGGAGGAGAGGCTTGCTCAGCAAGGCAAACAGCATGACGCCGTTTATGTACAGAAAGAGAATACACGGCAGCATCGACAGCAGGACTCTGACTGGCGACTGAAACCGCATGACTCCTGTGGTGTTGTTCATGGCCACAGCATCGTGCAGCATCTGTGAACGCACAGCACATCATCACAACTCACTGATCCTTAATCAACATTATATGAACAGTCGGGAATCTTAAAGCCTGTTCAGATCTGTTGACGCAAATAATATATTAATTAAGCATGGTGGCGTGAATAAATGCCACAATGTCAGTCAGTAAATCTATAGACAGCCTCACAATGAATGAAAACATTTCAGAAATACATGTAACCAAAAGAAGATGTCAAGACACATTACCCACATATTAAATGATTGATTTGGACTTCATTCGACAATGAAGGTTTGTGGAACAAATCTGAAGAATGAAGCAACCTCAACAACACAATGTTGTTTTATTATGTAATCCACGTCATAACATCATCGCCAATCAAAACTCTGCAATGCCATACATGACAATCCAACCAGGAGTGTCTATATGGTCATTTGGACTATTAACCCCTTGCAGAGCTACTTTATTAACTCAAACTGAATTAAAATAATTATTTTGCATTTATACAATTTAAAAAAGATTATTATCAGTCTGCAAATGTGTCTACTTCCGGTGCATGAGCCAGAGAATTAACACAAAACCAAATTGATTTGTAAAAACATATAACAAGGACTGGAAAACCCAACATAAAATATACAGACCTGCACCTTTTTTTACTTTTTACATTTATATAAAATTACCTCTAGATTGCATTTTCCTCTTGTTTGAGGTTTCATGACAAACAATAAAGTATCTTTCATATTGATCAAACTAAACTGTTAAAGTTTGGTAAAAACTTCTTGCTTAATCAACGTGAAATTGATCTACTTCAAGTATACAATGTGTAATGTAACTCCAAATCGTATAATGCAGAACTAAAATGAGGCAGTGAAGAAAATAAATGTATAAAACACATAAGATTCATCCCTAGTATTGATGGTGTCAAAGAAAAAGTTTCCTTCAGATCCATTCTATGGCGTTTTTTTTAAATTATAGACTGAAGTTCACAAAAAAGCTGCAGAGTTCTGGACATGATTAAATGGGTTTAAGGAAATAACAGTTAGACATCAGCTGGGGGACTAAACTTCTTAGGAAGGACCTTGGAATTATAATCACCGTAGATGTGTATTCATTCAGGGGGTGAGAACCCAACTCAGAAGCCCTGGTCTTGTGTCTGTTATCGCTTCCTTGTCATTTGTGTGTTTCAGAACCACAGGTGAGCAGACAGCTCCTCCGTACTGATGAGGCATGATGACAGTTGTGTAACTGACACATTCAAGATCAGTTCAAATGTGTTGAAGCTTCCTTATTGCTGATTGTTGTCAGGTTACAATGTTTTCAACAGTGATTGTGTGTGCCTGGTCACATAAAGAAAGTATAGTAGAAGAATATTGTCATTATTATAAAATAAAATACAGACTTTGATTATTGACGTGTAACAGATGAATCTGTGGCATTGTACTGGATTATATATTAATCAGCCACTTTGTGAGTTCACTTTATCCGTGACATGATTTTAAGAACTTGCTGAAGATATCTATAAAGTATAGAATATCATCGGTTAGGCCTAAAATGATATTCTGAAAAAAACTTGTTCAGAACAACATGCTTTGTTTACAGAATCACGTCTCATAACGACCTTGGTGACTGCTATTCTTCACGGGAGTCATTAATAATTCAAATATTTATGCTGCACATAATTGCAATACAACAGCGCGTTTATCCACGGAGGGACAATTAAAAAATGTTTTTCATTCCCTGGAGTGAGCCGGGCACAATGAAGAAAAACATGTCACTTCTTAATAAAGTTTAGAAAACCTTATATAACCTTTTCAACTTTAGTTTCTGCCTAATGCTGATTTTATTTTGTTAAACTGCAGGAGAACGGGTATAATCTTTTATTTTTAGGGTGGCTTGAAAAAAGAAATATTTATGTAACTGGATGTTGCCAATATCACCTTAAAAAGAATAAACATAAAACTAATATTTTTCATAAAAAAAAAAAAGTTAATTACTTTCTCTAATCTCTAAACTATAAACAGCCACACTAATGGATTATACTTTAATTATTTTGTTGCGTGAGAGCTTTTCTTTTATCCGGCAAATTGTTTGCGGCCTCGAGGACAAAGTCAGTGATGCAGAAAATAAAGTCAGTCATGCATAAACTGTTCAATGAAGATTCAATGTGTACTGGACATCAGAGCTACATTCAACAGATTTGATGTTAAACAAACACCTAAATGATACTCTTTTTAAAGTTTAAAAAAATACTTCAAAAGTACATCTTTCCTGATTGCATCAACCAAAATCCTTTCTTCAGCTTAGGTCAATTTGAGTACTCGAGCAAATAACATGCTGCCTTCGACACAGCAGTGAGTGGAAACCAGGCTTCATACTGAACCTTAGAAACAAAAGTTGTCCCAACACATTAAAGAATGTCTAATGTCCAGTGCAATTCAGGAGTTTAAATGTGTGTTATAATATCTGGATGCTAAACATGTGAATTACAGCAAACGCAAGATTCAAACAGTGATACTAAACAACAATAAATGTATTTTTCTGCATGTTTAAAAAAAAAATATATTTTAAATAAAACCCCACAATTAAAATAATGACAATGATATTTTATTACATTTACCAAATGTACAAGCATGGGTGACATTTTAGCTGCTTTGATCTTAAATCAGTTTGAATTTAAACATTACAAACACATGATGCAATCATTCAAAAGAAAACATTAAACAAGGAGCACATTACTTAAAAATATATATTGTAAAGGAAAAATCAAATCCCTGTTTTAAATTAGAAATAAGGCAACGCTCAAAAAGCAAATTATCTACATTTCAAAAGCAATAATAATAACAATGATAATAACAATGTTGTAATAATGTTTGTTGTATTTTCCTTACTTTGCTGTCAAATTGTACCAAGATGTGGATGAATTCGGAAATATATCTGTGGGCGGTAGCTAAATATAGACTCCAAACTGAAAATTAGCTGTGGAGAGAGTGTTACAATATGATTACACAAAATTATATCATTTATATTATAAATATAATGTATAGTTTTACTGTTCTTTAGAAGTTTACTTACCACAGGTATCCTTCCTTAAAGTCAGTGAATTTGTGCCGGACCATAAATGTTGCCAGAGCATCTGCTACCTAGCAACAGATGATCAGAGTACTACATTACAAAATGACTACAAGCTGAATCTGGATCAAACAGGGACAACTCAACATGCACAAAAACACAAGCACATCTACCAAAACAAGAAACTACAATGAAATCAACAATTTCTCAACGTGTGCATACGGTTCTTTCATGTCAACAAGCATCATGCGGTAATTCGGACCGTATCGTAGGACATGTTCAGACACCCCTTACTTTTTCAGGTGCGTCCTCATGGACAGCATGACCACACTGAGGAAGGACCTGCATCTGAAACTTCCCTGTGGACAAACAGTGAGATTTGGGATTTATTTGAGTGTCCTCTAATGTATGACAACATTGTAATGTGGAGAAAACTATGCACAAAATCTCCATTTGTCCTTCTCACCTTGCATCTGTCCAATAGTAAGGTCTTTGTCGAGCCTGTCCACTCCTGTACAATGGATTAAGTCAGGGGTGAAATTGTGCAGTGAACAGCAAAAATCATTTGAATTCATCCAAACTGGTGGGACTGCCCAAACCAACACTGCAAATCCAGACACTTTGTTTTTGTATTTGGAATACCAATTAATAATGTAGCGAGAAACCATGAGAGATCTAACCTGCAAGCAGAAGAAGTTTAGGCACAGGGCAGGTGAGGAAGAGGGCGGACAGGCCTCTGAACCAGCCCTCCCAGTATTTTTCCGTCTTTGACAGGTCTACTCGCCAGGTGAAGACACTTTCCTTTTTTATCTGTATAAAGTGAAATTAACCCGTTAGTTGCATTCTAAACTCTCACAAACGCATTAATGTGACAAAAGACGAGAGAAATGGTTAAAGACAAAACCTCTTGGTCGTCCTCCTTCATTTTTTTCTTGTTGGACTCTTCTACCACGTCTTCCTCCTCTTCCTCTTCTATTATACCTTCAATGCTTTTAGACACAGCGGGACTGCTGGTGGGTTCCTCACATCTGTGAACATTAGAACAGACCAAATGAACATACACTACTGGAGGAATCAACCTCTTTGTTCTATAATTATATTTAAAACACTGGACACTTTATTGTGAATTTGATTGTTCTTTTCCTATATTTTTTTTCCTTCCTAAATGATTTCTCACGGTTCTTTTTCTTGCACCGTGTACATGTTTGTTGGTGCAACGTACTGTAAGAAAGAGTAGACCTACTTCTTCACCTGTCCTCCCATTGACACCCGTGCTGACTCCATGTTTCGGATCTGGCCACTCTTTACACTGATAACAAAGGACAATACATTTTTTCAGAAGGAAATGAGGTCATGCAAACTTGAAAATCCATGTTCCAAGAATGAAGGCAATCATAACTGGAAGATCAAATATCAAAGCTAACTGTTGTCCAAAACAATAGGATGCTTTCAAAAAGGCTCTTATTGAGTAAAAGTAAAAGTGTTTAACACACTATTTGTTGACTTTAACCAAATTGCAGATAAGTGTAATGTTTCTTGATTACCTCCACTCAATTGCATTCTCCAGAGATTTAAAAGTCTTCGGGCGACTCCTGAGGAAATTCTGCATACTGTTCAAAGCATCCATTGCTGTTCCTAGGAGAAAGTGATAAAAATAATGTTTTATTAATACACCCAGTAACATAATACTGAGCTCTCTGAAATGATTTCATTATAACCATTCATCGTACAAATTGGTTGCTAATTTAAAGTAGTAAAGTCAACCAGTTATTTGGTCAACTAAGAATTATATATTGCAAAATATCCATTTATTATTATCTGCAAGCAGTTACCTTCTACAACGTCAATGACACAGAGGCCGAGCAGAGATTGTAGGTGATTGGCAGCGGCCGTGTGAACTGCAATGGCCCCACCCATGCTGTGTCCGATAATCATGATCGGAGGAGGGTTGTCTCCATAGAGCACCTCCACCACTTTGCCAATGTCCCTATAAAAAAAGAAAAAAAAGAAGGATAACCCATTAATGGGGTTTCTTTTCTAGAACAAATCAGTGTTTCTGAGAACAGGGTCTAAAACCTTTCTTGCCTCAGCATTTTTTGGCCTCTGCTTCAAAAATGGTACACCCATTATAAAAAAGTGTAATCACTCTGGAAATACTGTCTTTCTGTAGGATAAAGGGGAACCCCTGAAGTGTTCGGGGTACAAATCAGTTTATATGGTGAAGAAATAAATCAATATAACGCCCACAAAAAATCTTCGAATTCTGTGAACCACCTGAAATAAAATCCCTAATAGCCCTCTAAATCCTCTAAAACACGGAGATAGCAGACTAAAAGCACATCTACATGATAGCAAAGTGTGTCGACAGCACACATGTAGTTTCACATTAATAGTCAGGATTACTACACTTAAGGAGGCTTTTGTGAAAGCCTCATGGCCACTGAATTTAGTGGGGAAGCTGTAGAGATCGGAGCTGACTGTGCGTGGCTTCATTCTCTTGATTGCGTTTCAGGCAAACGCTACTTATTGTGAGCGCATATTTAGTTCTCATAAATTCCAGTGTCTAGTTCAATTGAACATAAAACAACTCACTTGGCCATTGTGTCTGCAGACAGATCATCCGGGTTTTTCACCTTGGTGTCGCCTGTAGGTAATGAGAGAATTCAATTTAGCTACTCTTTCCACCGGAGCACGTGGATATGCAACTCATCTTAATATACAAGTTCGCCATTCCCATGCAACAGATCAAGACTTTAGAAGTGTTGTGCTTTTTGTTTATAGTTTACGGTGTGTGCGGTTGACTAATCATGTTTGAGCCGGCTTTAGCTGAATGCAGGTAACAGTCCACAGGGAGCATGAAATAGGCAGAATGCATTGGCCAAAAATACAATCTCAGAAACCTCCGGCCATCGTCTGACAATGAATTGGCTTTTCATTGGTTTACTACACTAAAATAACCCTAAAATCTGATAAACAGTACCAGTCAAACGTTTGGATACATTCTCATTCAATTGAATGGGAGGGTGTGTCCCAACTTTTGATTGTTTTTTTTGTTATCCGTAGAAAAGATCAAGCGACCGCTGCTTTATTTCAGCGCTATATTATTGCTATAATAATCAAAATTAGAAGCTTCTTGAACAAAATTATCATTACTTAACCTAAAGGGTTAGTATATTACACTAAAATGTGTAAACGGTGAACTGAAGGTATTAGGATGCATTGTTAGATCTATTCTTATTTAAAACAACGGCTGCCATAAATTTTGCTTTATAACTAATGCAGTACATTTTACCACTGAATGACACAGACTCATTATTTAACAACAGGATTAATAATAATACCTAATCAAATGACAAATCCTTACTATTCATATATACTTTAACTACACATATTTACCATGAGCTCGAAGGTCCATAGCCACCACCCTGCAGTTGATCCTGCTAAATATTACAGCCTGCAAAACAAAAAGGGAAACCATTGAAATCTAATTGTATACAGCAAACATGCTGAAATGAAACCACAGCGCCATCACTATTCCACATAATGCTGGTTATAAAACATATGCCTTATCAAAGTCAAGCGGTTAAAGAGTTTCAGTTATGGTCCTTGTGCTCACAGTGAACACGGCCCAGGAGAGTGCAGAGTGTCCTCCTCCATGGAGCAGCAGCAGCACCGGACCATGGGCACCGCTGCAGTAAACTCTGAAAATGTTCAAAGCGGTCAAGGAAATGGATTCCAGAGCTGTGCAAGTTACAAAATAAGCAGATGCTGCTGAAGAGGGAATAAACATCCATTTCATAAACTGCACACCTTCTATTTTAAGTTGGATGAAACATGGGTATAAATAAGTGTCTAAATCTGTAATGACCTAGTTGGATTTGAATGCTCTGGGTGATACACAATACAGTTTCAATAATTCGTGCTTATTTCTTTTGACAAAACACAAGCAGCAGTCAAGGATATATCTTTGCCATTTTCGTTTTCCACCTCAACATCTTCCATGGTCTCAAAGTACTGACTCCAGGACAGTGGGGAGAAATCTCTCTTCCGTCCAGGTCTGTATGAAAACATTCAATTCAGGAGTTCAGGAATTCAGGAGTCAATTCAGTCCTTTTTTTTTTTAAAAGGACAAATAAAATGTAAACTGCAGCCAAATTGTACCAGGATTATTAAAACACACATCGACATCTACAACACGCAGATACTCAGGTTTCATCACATTGTTTATGTACCCAACATTACTGCTTCATTCATAACGACTGAAAACGCACCTACTGAACGTTTCTAATGCTTTGGTTGCTGGCTTTTTATTTGACAGGAAAACTGTGACTGAGGAGGCTTTAGGATGCGTAGGGAAACTGGAGGTGGTCCAAACCCTCCAGCTGTATCGCCGACAATCAAACCAAGACATTAGGATTGTTGTCTTCCGACCGGTGCTTTTCGTGTGACGTCATTATATCTAAACCTACCCTGACATCTCTATTCTAATGTTGGTTAAGATCAAATGCCGCCTGGTTGAATTGAGGCTAAGATAAACAATATATAACGTGGTAATGCGTGGGTAGTAATCAAAATCCAGGGGCTAAATCGCAGTTTATCCGCCGCCGTCGGTCAAAGCACTGGCAGCCAGAGCTAACGTCAGGTTAGCTAGCTGCGGCTGCTAGCTGCCAGCTAACACTTTCCTGTCTTTAAGCAAGCTGAGAAGACACGAGTCCGACGTGACAGAGACACTGACGTGATAGTGTGTCGTAAATCAATAACGTCAAACAGTCAGCAGAGTTGGTAGCGTGCTATTCAGACCTCGGCTAAGCGAACTCACCCCATTTTCATCTTCGAGCTGGACTGAAATCCACCAGCCATCGGAGGTCTGGAGGGTAAAAGGTTTAAATGCAACTGTTTTTCCATGTTAACGAAAGCCGGTGCTCGTTCTCCGTCAGGAACTGTTCTCTGCGATCTTCCTTCTCTTTCGCAGCATAGGATTGGGTTTTTTCTTCGGAACCTGCGCCGATGCTGTTAGCCGGGCATTGGAGAGAAGTCAGCTGAGGCTGGAGAAATACGACAAACAGTTAGCGCTCTTCTTCTGCAGCTGTAATTATTTTGGTCGGTCTTTTCTTCTACGTTTTTCTTTTCCAATACCTCAGCAGGGAACTTGTGAAGCTCTACTGCCACCTATTGACTACACAGTCACCTGCGACACATCTGGGGTTCACAACATTCTATCGTTTGCCCAACAAAGACGGGGACAGATTATATAGTAGAAACAAATGCACCGTCTTTTAGCATTCATTTTGAACCACATAGCAGTTGCAAATGACAAAACTGTGAGTGAAAACAAAAACAAAAATCACATTTCAGATATCACATTCCTTCGGCTGAAGTAAATATTTCAACATATACAGTAATTTTCCCAACATTATTCTAAAGTTATAGAACTACTACACACAAGCAAAAGCACAATTTAGGATAGTGTTATATCCTTTGTCATATATTAGTCTTATATTGTACACAAGGTGGTGCTAGTAAACTTTTTACCCATGTGAGAGTGAGACAATTGACATAAAGTGACACTGCACAGTGGCTTCTGTAGCTCTGTATACGCTTTGTGTTTACCAGCTAAGCAGGGTCTATTGAATGACACCATTGAGTTGCTCATGGCAAATGTAGTTTTTAGAGAGGCCTAATTGAGGGTAAAAAGTCTGGATGTTTTAGCCTAGCTGCAATAAAACAGTGGATTTTCTTTTTGAAAATTGTGTCTCACACAAGTCCATCAACTGTATGGTATTGTTCACCAAAGTGATGAAGCGCCCAAGGAACCGACTTGTTAATGTGTGAACAAAACAAATTTAAGTGCAATTCAGAACAGTGTCTCCCCTGCTATGAAAACTTCCATAATAGAAATACTAATGGTAATGGAACTACTTATTTATGAATTCTAAAGTTGCGTCATGCGTCATTGTTATTCAACGGGGGGCATTTGAGTGAATGTTAATTTAGTTACAGGAAGCGTATGTAGAGACGGCTGGCTACAGTTGCAGACTTCCTAATTTGATTGAGAGAGGCACAAGAGAGGACGCAAATAGGTGACGGCGAATAAGGCAGTTAAACATTGGAGCAAAGATACCTTCATTGATTTTTAGAATTATTCCGTTGAAAATCATCTGATTTGATCAAAAGCGGCAGAGAGCAAAACCGGGGAAATGGTCATGACGCTGAAGCTGCCCATTCTCAGCAGTGTGTCAGCAACACCAGCAACAATCACACTTGTATTAAAAAAGCTGTGAACGAAACTAAGTATATATAAACAGAACTATTAAAAGTGACGTGTTTTATTTCGGTCAGTTGGCATGCCTTGTTTCATGCTATTATACAGTGATCGTGTTGAAGTGTGCTACACAATTTAAAACCATGTATTTGTTTATCCATTAGTTTGTTGCCTTTCTGTCCAACTAAATGAGTGGCTGAACATTACAGTAATGGCCAACAGAGCGCATGAACCAATACATTCTCATGTGTAGCATGTGGACCACATTCAGATGGCAGAACATGTGTGTTCTCTGATCGAAAAAACATTCCATTGACAGGTGCTGGAAGGCGCTTTGAGATTCAGCATGGAGGTTATAAATTGGACCAAATTAGGGGTAATGGAAAATGTGTCTTTTTGTAATTTTATTGAAATGAACACATTCATTTTTATCTTTAAACGTTGTTCGATTTGGATGACATTAACATCTTTATAATTAAGTATAATTAATTCTGTTACATATCTTTGGTGTGATGTGTTTCTTGTTTCTTAATAACTTAGTTTTAGCCAACAATAGCCTTTCGTTACCTACTAACTAACTACTAACTGGTTGAAATAAAATTAAGCCAGAAGTTTTTCTGTTCCTCAGGAAGAGAAGTCACACCGCGCACCACTAACTTTACACTGACGCAGCGGCTGACGTTATAAATAGTGTAATGATCTTTATTTATAGTGTAATGGAGATTGTTTCACAGCACTGTTTCAAAGTTCGTGGTATTTAAAGTGCAGGCGGACACTGAGCAGGCAGTCGTCACGGGCGTCTGCCTGTTTGGCTCAGTTTGATTTGGACTGTGGGCGAGGTCACTGTAAACTGGTTGAAGCCGGACCAGCAACTTGTTTACTGGTCTGACCGTCCTTTAAGGTTATGTTCTTGTAAAGCTGCTTTTAGTGCCAACAAAGCAGGTGTTGAAAGCCCTTCACCTTTTCTTTGAACCATTATTTAGATTTAACGGTGTCCCATCTTTGTGCCTTCAATCTCTTTGTACAGATACGTGCATTGCGGACACAATTTATTCAAATTTGCCATCTAGATTTAAATATAGATATAGAAAGGAAATGTAAAAGTTCTCCCTTAAGTTCTTTTTGCTTTGTTTCATAATTGTTAAATTAAAAATAATTGAAATAATACCTATATATACTGTATATGGAATATGAAATAAAGTTAAACTGTACACAGTTGTGTGTATACATAATTGAAGGAGGCAGATGCAGCATTTAGCTAAAGAGCTCAAGAAAAACAGGGGGAAAAACAAGTGTGCATGTTCCAATGTGAAGAAATACCTGTGAAGTCTTGGAACAGAACAATATCTTTGCACACGAAGCAGCAGGTGAAACATGAGTTGTGAAGTGACAGTTTTGCACAGTCAAATAACGTGACACGACTGACGTCAGCCGGAGTCCTGGCCTCTGGCTGCTGTGGAAAGTCACATGTGTGGAGGCATGCACATGCAGCACTCTACTCCACTGCAAGTGTCTTCCCTGTGAAACCCTTCCCATTGGAATGATGCCTATTTGACTGATCGGAAGCTAATGGATAGAGTGATTACATACAGATGCTGTGCATTTACCCAGCTTCGTTCACCGTATGGATTGGCTAAGAAGCATGGAGGTTCCCCTCGCCTGGAACATTGTGTACCTTAACCAGGTGCAGGGAGGAGGGCTGAGGGAGTTCCTGAAACTCCTCAACTAGTTTTGCGTTAGAACGCGGGGCAGTAACTCCAAGGAAAGGATGTGGGACAAAAGTCATCTACCACAGAGCTCTTGTTAGCTAGTTAAATGCCCCTTGAAAACATTTAGGGAATCCAGACAGGCCTCTTTGTCTGATTGGCCACATACACCAACCAATAGAAACACAAGGTATGCTCCTTGATGTCAGAGTAGTAATATGAGCTGATATTCCCACATTTTTATGTGTGTAATAAAACGTAAACTTCAATGTCTCGGTTTAAAGATGAATATAAAATATATTCACAATATTGCCAGCACGTTTTAGCGTGATATTAGACGTGAAATAACATGAAAGTATTCTTAATGTACTCATAGTGAGTCAGTTTGTGGCAGGCTATCGTGATGACACAGTTAGGAACAGATCAACAAGGGCTCAGATATCCGGCTGTGTTCCACAGACTGGTAAACATGAGATACACATAACAGGTGGGCACAACTTGTCATGCTTTCCGGCGGTCACGGGCTAAAGGTGCTTATATAATCAGCAGCTTCTTCAATATCGTTCAAGACAAACCACACAGCATGAGACGGGAACACAGAAGGGACTAACTGCCTAAAGGATTGTATATTTTTTCTCTGAACTGGATTATCACTTTCCTGAAAAACTATCTAGGTAAAATCTGAAAAGAAAGAAAACAAGGGTTTAAGAAATCTCACCCTACATATGTCACTTGATATTTGGATTACAAATAAAACTAATATAAAACAAATATGTAAGTGTTTAAACTATTCAAAGTTCTGCACCTCTGACTCAGTTGTATTATATTGCTTAGCTATCATACGGATAACCAATCAAATGTGTGAAACAAACAATACAAACTCTACTAGGAAATGATAGATGCTTGTTTTTGAAGGGAACATGTTGGCCGACTCACTTTAGATGCTTTTATGGCCAAATGCATTTGCTACTGCAGAACCCATCCTAATGACCAGAATACCAGACACTTCCAGGCATTAGTAATGCTCAGGATGAACATACACTTTTGTGCTCTCGAGTACAATCAGATTTAATCAGAGTTACTGTAAACATGTGGCTGTTGTATTCAGCTGATCAAATGTGAGATTCTCTCTGTCGCTGGTTGATGACTTTTTTGCTTTATTTTATTTGATATAAAAGTGCAGATGTTTTCCATTTTTGTCAGTATCCTGTACGTAGAGATGGTTGGCATCAAGCCCAAAGACGTGGCGCCCTGTGCTGCGGTCAAGTTCTTCGGAGCAGGCACGGCGGCCTGCATTGCCGACCTCATCACCTTTCCACTGGACACCGCAAAAGTCAGACTACAGGTTAGGAGCTGGAGACACATTTCATCTTCAGAATCTGCTCCAAAAATATGCCCCATCAAGACTTAACCTGCTGTTAACAATTCTTGAACGTTACTTCATCTTCCAGATTCAGGGAGAGTGTGAAGGGTCCGGTGTAGTGAAGTATCGGGGGGTGTTTGGCACCATCACCACCATGGTGCGCACAGAGGGGGCCAGCAGCCTTTACAATGGACTGGTGGCAGGACTCCAGAGGCAGATGAGCTTCGCCTCCATCCGAATCGGTCTTTACGACTCCATGAAGCAATTCTACACTCGAGGAACTGAGAGTGAGTCGCGCGACCCGGGTGTGTTTGTGTCGCACAGGAAACAAGTGGTTTCATTGTGACTAAAATACTTACGCTGCGCAGGTGCTGGAATCGTTACCCGGATCATGGCGGGTTGCACCACGGGAGCGTTGGCCGTGGCTCTCGCTCAACCAACAGACGTGGTGAAGGTGCGTTTCCAAGCCCAGGTCCGGCTGGCCGACGGTGGGAGGAGATACAACAGCACTCTGGAAGCCTACAGGACGATTGCCCGAGATGAGGGAGTACGGGGCCTTTGGAAAGGTGCTTGTCGTGTTACTGTAAATATGTATTAAAAAACATTATCTTGGTTTCTTATTATGGTATCGAAGTGACCATCCTTCTTTTGTTTGTAGGTTGCATACCCAACATCACCCGCAATGCCATTGTGAACTGTACAGAGCTGGTGACCTACGACATGATCAAAGAGCTCATCCTGAAGTACGACCTGATGACAGGTGCGGTGGCAGAGCAAAGAAATTATCACAGAAGCTGAACATATTACTCTTGATCCTTCTTAAACATATTGAGCTACTTCTCTCCTACAGACAACTTCCCATGCCACTTCACTGCTGCCTTCAGTGCCGGCTTCTGCACAACGGTGGTCGCCTCTCCTGTGGACGTGGTCAAAACGCGGTTCATGAATTCTGCAGACGGCCAGTACAGGAGTGCCAGCAACTGTGCGCTCAGCATGGTTAGAAACGAAGGAGCCAAAGCCTTCTATAAAGGGTAAACCTTTTATGAAAGAGCAGTGAACCGAGCCGCAGCAGTAAAACCTTTTTTGGACACTTCACCTCACTTTTCTTTCCTTTGTCTCCTCTAGGTTCATGCCTTCTTTCCTGCGACTGGGGTCGTGGAACATTGTGATGTTCGTGACCTATGAACAAATCAAAATAGGTATGACCAGGGCACAACAGTACCGGGAGTCACCGTTTTGACCTCCGCGCGTCAGGAGGTCTCTTCAGATGTGACTGCACAAACCTCCATCCCGCTGCAGAGGTCACCCAGGGCTGGAAAAGGATGTTATGAAGACTCGAGGCAGCAAGATGAACCATCTCACACTTCCTAAATAATCAGGCATAGTTGCAACGCCACAACGATTACAGGGTGCAAATGTAAAGAGACAATTCATGGTTTGTAATGGAGAGCGTTTCCATTATAAAACGCCTACGACGGATGTGAAATTATAATTCCAGAGGGTTATTGTACGTTTAATCTCTTTTCCACAAACTGTACATAAGATACTAAAACCTTGATCAACTTGTCTCTACACACCTTTGAAATGGATGTTTACAAGAATGATCTGTTAGATAATGTGAACAGTGTTATTGCGTTATATTATTTATTACTCAGGAAAGGTTTTCCGTGATGGCAATGGAAGCTGACCATTTCTATGTTACTTATGTTGCTTTCAGTGTCATGGTTTACCATTGTTTGTATTTGCCATAAAGGACTTTTAGTGCAGGTAAATCAATGTGCTGCTTATTGTAAATAGCATGAATTCATTGCTGGTCGATAAGTCATTGCTGTGACAAATCATGCAAAAACGGATAAAAGTACAATTTTTTCTTCCGTCTATTATTGAATTTTACTCTTATGTTTTGTTAGCAATGTCAGATCAGTCAAACATCAAAACATGTCCTTGTCATTCCTCTCCAAGCCGCTCTGTCTAGATGGCATTCAGTTGGCCCTAAATATTTCCAGCACACACTTATCATAGATGTATCGGACAACATGTACCACTTCATTTACAACATTGCATATATTCCATATTACATTACCTTTTCTTAAACAGCCTCAACAGCTTCATCTGATAATGCAAGGCTACAGTGCGATGAGGGGTCATGCCTTGTTTAAAAAAAACTAAGCTTTGCAGACACAAAAGGTCTGAACATACGGATCAAATTTGGTGGGTCGGCTACGTGTTCTTGGATAATCATCATGACTCAGCATTTTATTTCTCTCTGTGCATCCTGTACTACAATACCATGTGCAGACCATGACACAGATAACTGATGTTTTAACCCAAAAAATGGTTTAAGAAATTTTGCAATGCAACGTTTAATTTTCACAAAACATTTGATTCTCGTTATATTGAGCCGGTCTCATCAATCACAACCCTGCTTTTTACTTTTTGTTGTGATGTTGTTGTTGGTCCGAGGACACAATACAGAAGAAGCTTGAGTATGAAGTCAAGAAGACAGAGACCGAATATGTTCCAGCACATACAGAATCGGACAAACATAAACCACAGACTGTCTAATGTAGACAGGTTTACGGTCTTCCAGGGGACAGGCCGTGTAGATGCAGTGGGGGAGGTGCCCCATCGGCAACACATGCCATGATGTAACAAGAACAAGGAGGTATTTAAAGCGACGGCTCTCTTCCTCAAACTACTGCGTCCGCGTCCATTCAACGAGTCATTAAGCTATAGTCACTGCGAGAGGCAGGCACCTAACTTCTACATCGCAGTATATGTTATATTATGTGCAGATTTACACCATTATTGGACTTAGTCTAGTTCAATTGTTTGTTTTTTTACCTTATATCTGGGCAGTTATTTTAGGATTTGGATTATGATTTTAAGGCTCATCAGTTCTGAAAAATCTTCTATGGAAAAACAAGGAAAACTAATTATAGCTGGCACGAAGTTCAGCCAAAGAGACGCCTGCGTTTCTTTTCTAAACTGCTCCATTAAAGGTAAGAACGAATAACCCAAACTCACACTTCAAAATAAGTGTAATGTGCTTCTGATTATGTAAACCCAGCATTTCACTGACTGCAAACAATGAACTGAACAGCTGTCTCTCATTTAGCATCACTAAAACTTTGCCTATGCTTAATGCAGGTGTTACATTAGCCATTCAATAGGTCAGGGCACTTTTCCATAATATACATTTGGCTGAAATGTGTTTTGGGGTCTTTTTCTTTTCAGATTTTGAAGGAGCGTCTTGTGCTGTCAACGTAAGCAGCTCATCAATCCATCCATTTATCGAAAAGAACATTTGAAAATGGTTGGATTTGGACCCGCAGATGTGCCTCCATCAGTAGCTGTGAAGTTTGTAGGAGCAGGAGCTGCAGGCTGCGTTGCTGACCTTATCACCTTTCCCCTGGACACAGCCAAAGTGCGGCTTCAGGTAAACTGGCTTGTTGGGAATGTGAAAGTTAACTTCCCCTCAAACTTTTGTATTGAACGTGCACTTATGTAGGTAAACTGTATGTAACGGTCCCTCGTCCTTTCTTATCCTCACTTCTTATCTTGCACAGATACAAGGAGAGGGCATGGCTCCAGCGGCTGCAGGGGGGGGGTCTGCACTGAAGTATCGTGGAGTGTTCGGTACCATCACCACCATGGTGCGTACAGAGGGGCCCAGGAGCCTTTATGGTGGACTGGTGGCCGGACTCCAGAGGCAGATGAGCTTTGCCTCTGTTCGCATTGGTCTCTATGACTCTGTCAAACAGTTCTACACCAAAGGCTCTGAGCGTGAGTATCACAGAGTATATACCGATTGTAGATAGCCAAGGGGGGGGTGGGGGAGGCTGCTCCAATCAGGCCTGACACAAGCCCCCTCTGTGGTTCAGATGTTGGTATCGGCAGTCGACTGCTTGCAGGATGTACCACCGGTGCCATGGCGGTTGCTTTTGCTCAGCCGACAGATGTGGTAAAGGTCCGCTTACAGGCACAGGCCAGGTGTGCTGGGCGTGCGGGGCGCTACTGTGGCACCATTGACGCTTACAAGACCATTGCTAAGGAAGAAGGCATGCGTGGTTTGTGGAAAGGTACAGTAGCTCTAGCTTAAGATGATTACTTAGTTACTCAAACATCTCCTTTCATTTTTTTTTTAAACATTTGTTTCACCCAATCATGCAGGTACAGCTCCAAACATTGCACGAAACGCAATTGTCAACTGCACTGAGCTGGTGACATACGATTTCTTTAAGGATACACTCCTTAATTCCACTCCCCTGACAGGTAAAACAACGAGTGCGGTACCACATGATGCAGAGGCATAACCGTGAGCCCCGGTGCTCTTGTCTTTGGAGAAGTAACGTTCTCTTTTTGCTCCACAGATAATCTGCCATGCCACTTTCTATCAGCCTTTAGTGCTGGGCTGTGCACCACAGTGACGGCCTCTCCAGTCGATGTTGTGAAGACAAGATATATGAACGCCGCTCTGGGCCAGTACAGCAGTGTTCTGAATTGTGCTGCTGCCATGATGACCAAAGAGGGGCCGCTTGCCTTTTACAAGGGGTAAGCGTTGAGTGTGTGGACAATATTGAGAGGATTAGTGAGGATAAAGGTCACTTCTGTTTAGAGAAAACAGAGTTGTAAATAACGTGCAAATATCAGCTGTGAATCAATCATATATACATTTTGTTTTTCTTTGAGGTTCACGCCATCTTTCTTACGTCTGGGCTCGTGGAACGTGGTGATGTTCGTGACATACGAGCAGCTGAAACGAGCCATGATGGCTGCGAATCACAACTTCACATCTACACAGTAGCCTTTATTGTCTGTGAGAAGGCGCGTATTGTAGCACAGTGGTGGTGTTTACAAATGTCTTTAAGACTCCAAGTGTACATTTCAAGTTCAAGTTATACACATTGTGTTGACGCGTCTCCATCACGTGACCACATTAGTCATGAGTCACATGATAGAAACACATGTATTAGAATATGTTCAACATTAAGAAGGCAGAGCATGTTTAATCAGATGCTTGCTCTCAGCGGAGAGCTTCTTGGGAAACACGATGTCAAAAGTGACGATGAGGTTTCCCCTCTGGGAAAGATCCTGGGACAGTGGCATTCCCGCTCCAGTCACCACTTTGTTGTACGAAGGGCTGTTGTTTTGCAAAACAAATCAGAGAGGAAAGTTTCAATTGATGCAGAGGTTGCACAAACCTAAACGTCTTTTAATCAAGAAACGTCTTTGTAAAATATTGGTGTACGGTTATTATAAACGGATGGAATTTTTTCACGTTTGGCTCTGTCCGTTTTGATTTATATGTTTAAGTAAGTTTTGAGAGTGTCAAATTAATAGGAATGACTAGAAAAGGAATTCAGCATTCCACTTACTGCACAATGTCATTGATGGGGATAGTGATTAGCCTGCCATCTAGTGTCTGCACATCCACGGAGAACCCCGTCAAGGCCTGTCCAAAAGATTCCGTGTTTATTCTGCTTAAACCAAAGTATGCCAGTAATTATTCTGTCCCTCATTAACACGACTCACCATCTTCAGAGTGATTTGCACCTTGTAGATCAGGTCACTGCCTTGTCTTACAAACAGGGGATGACTCTCCTGACGCACTATGAACACAATATCTGCAGGGATGCTGTTTGGTCCCTAAAGATCGAATACAGCACATGGATAATGATGCAGTCAGGTTCCTACCAAAGCAAATATGAGAGGTAGAGAGAATAGGAGAGTCAGTAACGGCATTGTTTTTAAATAAGCATCAGCTGAGGCCACCTATTGGTGGCATTGCATCAGATCCAATAAAGTCCAGTAGTTGATAAATCAGCACCGGGGACAGCGGCACAATTTTAACATCAGGCAATGACACATATTTGCGTAAGAAATTCTGCATCAGGTGAATAAACATATTATGCCCACAGCTTCACTTCACTTTTATCGCAAATGATCTACTGCTCAACTTTTTCAACATAATCGTAACTAGTGAACACGTACAACTCTCCTCAGCCATTTTTCTAAACGTTCTCACGGAGGCAGCAACGGGTCAGAAGAGAAGGAGAACTTGAAACAACCGGTCAAATCCCATAAACAGTATTTCAACACATGGTCATCAATGACCACTAATACAACTTAAATCTTAATGTTAAATCTCAAAACCCAAAATCACGATGGATTGTTCTTTTACCTGATCTCCCTCTTTGGGGAAAATAATTCGTGTGCCTTCTTTCCACCCAGGCTTCACAGCTATAGTCAGGATCTTGTCTCTGATACTGGATGTGCATCCATCCTCATTAATGACCTGTTTAAACAAGAAAAGGCTAAAGTGAATAACTGTATGAATGAGCTGTGGGACGAAAGAAGATGCACCTCACACACACTAGCTCTTACCCTGCGAGATATCTTAACCTTTTTTGTGCACCCGTTGAAGAGATCATCCAGGGTCAAATGAAGATCTCTCTCCATGGGAGGATCTTGTGTCTTCACATCTCCCGGTTTCAGGCCACCAAACTGAAGTCGGGCATCATTTGTAAAGAAGTCTAGTAAAAAATTAAAAAAAAAACTTGTTACCGTAATTGGTATTCAGTTGAATGAATACAGGGTCTGAATCCCTCACCTGCAAAAGGGTTGTCGCCTCCAAAGAACTCTCTGAACGTCTTCTCTGGGTTCCCATGGTAGACATACTTAGATGACCAAGCCCCAGTGCAGCCAAACTCGGGTGGGATCCCACCTTTTAACCCCTCTTTGCCAAACTTGTCATATGTTGCCTTTTTTCGGGCTATCACAAGGAACATACGGTTGTGGTGGTAGTCAATGGCCGTCTCGTGCGGTTGAAATGACGGTGTTTCGGTGAGCGATGGAGCGTTTGCCGCTTGCGGGCTACTTACGGTCGCTCAGCACGTCGTAGGCCTCCCCCAGTTGGCTGAATCTCTCGGTGCTTCCAGTTTGCTTGTTTCGGCCCGGATGAAACTTCAATGCGAGACGTCGAAATCTACTTACGTAAAAGAGGAACACTTAACACACACAATAAGCACGAACGCCTGATCCTGTTGTTCTATATTTAGCGTTATATCAATTGGTGGCTGTAATTTACCAAAACTTACGCCTTTTTTATTTCTGCGTCTGTTGCGTTTCTGTTTATTTCCAGCGTATCGTAGTGGTCGCTAACCATTGTGATGGTAAATGCGCAAAACAAACCTGAAGAGTTAAGGAAAGATAAATATGTCTCAAAATAACCAAAAGCTCGACAGAAGCAGTTGTGGGTCTCGGTTACCACGGCAACAGCTCTGAATGTTCTCAGGGGAGAGCGATGGGTGATTCTTTCAAGTCTCGCGAGAGTAGGAATCCACACAACGATAAACGGTTCGAACTCTGAAAGCCGCAATACAAATGCTGATTTACTGGTAGTAATTCCACTGCATCAAAATTAACTGAAAATGAACAGATCATCATAACTGCAATACTATTTTATATTTCATTAAAAAAAAAGATTAAGATATTATTTTTACTGTGTGTATCTGTAGGCAAACAGTAACACTCAATAAAACATTGATGAATACAAGCAGAAGTGTATTTTTATTTTTTCATTTAAAACCATTCCAGACAGAAACGTTAGGGGCTATTATGCTATACAAATCGTACTGTCCTCCATATAAGTTTGCACAAAATTGCACCGTATTATGAGAAAGATCAAATTGCCATCTAGAGGTGTTTGAGGGAACAGCAGAGGCGCGCCACTCTTCTGCTAAAGATGGATGCGTACTCTACTATCAATTCAGTTCTTGCATCAAAGGTGTAGATATTAATAGCCATAAAAAAGAAATATGAATCAAATTGAAATAAATATCACAAATCATTGTGGATTAAATACACATGTGGAATAATCACTAACAAAAGATCAATACCAACAAATCAACCAGCAAAAGAAAAAGTATTTAGTGTTCAGATACCAAACTAAATAAACCCCAAGCCAAGGAAGCCCTCTACAATTGAACTCCAAAAGGCATATCTCCATATCTAATGTTTACAGTGGGTTTTATGATTATTACTTTATACGAGAACATTGTTCTCAGACACTATCTTCAAAGAAATAGTTTTAAATCTATGATATCTGCAGTGTTTAAAAAAAGAAATTAAAGACCTATTCAATTGAAACGGTAATAGAAAACGGAAGCCAAGGTAAACATAACCCATCGCCAGGGATGAGTGCGGGACGTGAGGAAGGACGGTAATGAGGACGTAGTGACAGTGCTGCTCTAGCAGTGCGTGTGTGTGTGTGTGTGTGTGTGTGTGTGTGGTGTGTTGGTCTGAGACAAATGCCCTGAGCTGTGACAGTGTGCTCATGTGTCGCATCTTGCAGGTGCATGCTGGGAGAACCTTGACTCAGCCGTTACCGGCACCACAAAGCCCACTCAGTTTAAAACCTGCTGCAGCATCACAGGCGTATAGTTTACGTGGCCCAATTGATTCACCTCAATGCAACTTAGCAACCTTTCGCACAAATTAGTCCATAGAGTTCAAACTAAGAACGGACTTATGACTTAAACTTTGCCAGACAATTGCGACAGCAAAAATTATGTTAACCGACAAATGCGCACTTCAACCACATTGTGCGTATTAAGCTTAAAGCAATATTTGACTTTTTATAGAATATTCTCACCCAAAAAACAACCTTAAAACCAACCTTCAATGTCCTAACTCATTTTTGTTTGGTTCAAAAAAAGTCCTCTTCAGACACAAACTACAGGACTGTGACTTTTGTTTGAGATGTATTTACAGCTGTTTGTGTCAGTGAAAATATGCTCTGCGAGTGATTTATGACTTTCAGAGCAGTAACAATGGCAAGTATAAGGGATTTAGTGTTGGAGCTCTTTTCAGGCCGGGGAACAGAAATGGGTGGAGTCAAAAAGCTACAGATACAGAAAAACCAACTGGGTTTGATAAAAATCCCGAGGAGAAACATCACGCAATGAGATGAGCTGCCATTAGCAGGAGCAGCCACCCTCGCTGGCTGGTTGCTCTGGTGGTTTCTCCAGCTTTATATCGATCACTGAGGGGTTTAAGAGTCAAGGAAGATCACATGCATCTCTCGAGCACAGCACTGGACCGGAGTAGTAAAATAAATGTAAAGGGACACACGTGTTACACAGCAACCGGTAGGTGTCACACTGCTGCACTAGATTTGACCTCTGGAAGGCACCGGCCAAACGACACAAAATAAAGGAGCGAGGAGGCCTCCTGACTCCTTTCAGACATGAGGGACACACGCGTTGTGTACATGAACACAAAGGATACTGTCCTCTCTACTCTTGTCCTGCGTGGTATCCATTCCAGGGAGAGCTGCTGCAACACGCCGGAATAGCTGAAAGGGAAAGGAAAACCAGATGCTTTGTGTGGCACAGAAAGAAATATATTCAAAGCATGACAGAAGCACATGACAAAATTAAAGTAGCTTTCCGTGTATAATGATTTCGAATGTCGTTCGCTTGAAGACCACCAGAGCTTTCTCCCAAAATTATGCGCAGCAGAATGGTCAAAAGACGGTGTGGCTCAATGAGACCTTCCATGGATAGAGCATGGAGGACTTCAAATGATTTAGAATGATTTTTTTTAAAAAGGGACAGTGTTGAGTTTACGATGATGGTCAACATGCCTGCCTGCCCCCCCGTAAAACCCATAACATGGGACCAGACTCCACGCACATGCAACAAAAACTGCTGGTTTTCTGGTCATCCGTGTGGCGCAATTAATCAAACAAATTATGATCCCATTCTATTGAATGCGTCACAGAGATTGCAGTGAGCCAGCATACAGGACACGCCCATCTAAATATAACAGGCCAATAATAATTGAATAAAAAGTAAAAATGTGCTAATGTGGAAAGGGCCAATTAGTTTTCAAACCCTGACCTGCCGGGCTCCTTGATCAATGGTTTGAAAAATGTCCATACACCTCACTTGCAAACAAAGTAAGCCATGGTTTAAAGCACACCTTCATGCATGCATGTGTTAAATGGAAGCCAATCAGAAGAGCGCATGACTATGAAAACACACACAGACAGACACACACACACGCTCTACCTGTTTGACATTGTAGCCTGTCTTTGCACTCGTTTCAATAAACAGAACATTCATGTCTTTTGCTCTCTGTTCTCCCTCCTCTGTGGTTATCTGTCTGATGAGCCACAAGTCATCGCGCACAAAACACATACAGGGACACGCACACATCGGCCAAACACATCGACGAAAAGACAAGGGGAAAGAAAGTACAGACTGTGAGTACATTGAAGTGGATTAGGAAGCCGTGCCCCTTCCTGGTGCTACTGCCATCTGCGCTCGAGGCCAAAAGTCAGCTGCCCCTCAACAGAGAAAAAACTTTACATTTGGAAAGAAAATGAATAACGAATCAGCTGGTAAGTTTAAAAAAATAGCTATTTAATTACAGTATTCTAGGAGGACTCGAAGATGCAAAAAGATATATCCACCGAACACCTGAAGTGTAAAGACAACCTTTTGGAGGTGGAGCACAGGTGGCAGCATCCGGAGCAGGACGACAGAGCACGACTCTCACACACACACACACTCCTACCTGCTTTACGTTGTAGCCCGCTTTCGCACTAGTCTCAATAAACATAACATTTAGTTCTTTGGCTTTCCGCTCACCCTCTTCAATAGATACTTGCCTGCGGTAGATAAGGGGGTTAAAAGATTCACAGCGAAAGACATTGTACAACTCGCTACTTCAAACAAGAGGATAAAGTGGATCACATAGAACACACTTCAAGATGAAGAATATCAATACATTCATGAGCTTGATCTGTTAATCAATATCGTCAGGCAATGTGGGTCGAAACAAACAGAAAGAGCCTTTCTTGTTAAATCAGATCAATGAGAGCCTTGTCATCCACAGAGGGCAGAGATAACTTGCTCTGCCTCAGAAAAAGGGCTGAGGAACTCTTTCGACAGAGAGCAGTAGCGATCAATGACTTCATTAGAATGCTCTCGCTGGAGAAGACTCAGTTACACAGAATCAGAGGGAGGAAGGAGGACGAGATTACCTTTTGTCTGCCAGGTCTGTCTTGTTTCCCACCAACATGATAATGACATCACTCCCTCTCTCGGTTCTCACATCATCAATCCATTTTGTGGTTTGCTGGAAGGAGTTGACATCTGAGAGAGAGAGAGAGAGACGGCAGAGAAACAGGAAGCAGCACATCAGTATTCAGGAGATGAAAAGCCTGCGGTGTGAAAACAGGCCAGCTAGTGATATGTAGGAAGTTTACATTTTGACCATCATTTTCTTTATTTTAATCAAAATAAATGTCTGCTTGTGTCACATCACGCAACAACCATTCACCAACAGGAGTAGGCGATCAAAGGGATGGTTTAAAAGACGACTACGCAACGTCGCCAGAGTGCGCAGGTGATCCACCTACTTGTGATGTCATACACTACGACCGCGGCAGCAGAGTCTCTGATGTAGCTTGGGATGAGGCTACGAAACCGCTCCTGCCCCGCCGTGTCCCACAGCTGCAACCTGATCTGTGGGGCAGGAAGGGGGTGGGAAACAAAAGAAGAGAAAAAACAAAAACAAAAAAAAAGGATGAAAATAAAACAAGAAGAAAAAAAAAAAGTTATGTTGACAAAAATAAAAAATTGAAAAATAAATAAATCAAACGGCATAAAGTTAGACGAATGGGAAAAGATAGAGGGAGTTCAGAGAGAAACTAGTGCATGCAGGTAGCGAATGACCACAAGAAGGAGCGAGCTGTCTGGGCCTGAGGGGAATAAATAAATAATCACCATTCACTTGTCATCAACCCTCCTCTCTTGATCAAGTAAGGTGTTTCATTTCAAAACAGGAATGAAGACAATAGGTGGAAGGGTAGGAAGGAGAGAAAAGAAAACTTGTGACAGATGAAGAGAGGACGGTCTGGGGAGAGAGGGTTAATGGGGCGGCATCCAGCTTAGACTTGGAAGGCAGTACAAATGCGGTCTTTGTGTGTTTGTCACAGAGAACACAAATGATTTATTGAAGAACAACAAAAAAAATGAACAGGACAATATTATGTCAGAAATCAGCATCTGTGTCTCCTTTGATACAAGTTGCACCAAAACAGGGTGTCATGAAGAAAATGTCCCCCACCTGAACTAAGAGCAACCAACAATCAATGACTAGCTGGATAGTCGTCAAAAAAACAACAAAAAAACTTACTGTTCGGTCTTCAAGGTACATTGTTTTCGACAGGAAATCTATTCCTATCGTGGCCTGAAAATGGGTGAAAAGCAGTTAAATATGCATGACCTTACTCAAACCATCAATGCTGCATTATAGATAATGGACAGTATCAATTAAATCAGGTGGATTCATAGGTCTCACTTGGTAAGTGTTGTCAAAGCTGTCGTACATGAACCTGGTGATCAGCGAAGTCTTTCCAACTAAAAGACAAACAAGCAATAAAGTACTGTAAGTGCAATGACCTTTAACCTGGTTGTGTTTGTTAACCGGTTGTAATTCAGAGTAACCTAATTAAAGTGGCTATCATGAGTGTTTTCCCTACCAATACAATCATTTACGTGCACACACTCCCACCAGCGGAGTCCGTCCGGACCCACCCCCAACACTGTCTCATGTACAACCTTGCTGACATTTGGAAATGTTAGGAATGCATTTAAAAGGGACGACTACTATCTACTGTGAGACATAAAGAGTCACACAGCTGAGTACAGTTCATGAGCCACAGAGTAAGAACCCCGATAAAGGACTGAGGCTGAAAGCAGCGCGTCATCAAGCTCTCGCTACCCCCTGAAAGGGTTGTCGATAAAAGAGGCGTGGCTCACTTATTTCTAGGAGAAGTTGGAGGGTTGAGGAATGTTGAGAGACGAGAAGGGTTGGGATCCAGGCTCCCCGTATATATCTATTTCACTCGTAGAATCTTTATCTTTGCTGTGCCCTGCCCTTAACTGACCAACCTTTATGATATGTGATGCTCCTGCGCTCTCCTACATTCTCTAAATAAGTTTTATTATCTTATCTTATTATCTTATAGTTACAGTGACACACTGTAGCCCCGAGCCTCAGGATGTGCTTGTGTTACATTACCAGTTACAGGGCGAGTCAAGTGATGATGGCAATGCCAAAGCCCACACAGTTGATCATACAAAGTCCAACACGAACACACATGTCTGGCTTATATTGATGGGGGTGGAGAATCACATAATGCCTTTAACAAATGAGTCACCATTTTAATTAAATATTGTCACGGAGCTGATCACTACAACATACAATTTGCATATGCTTTGAGGGAAATTAGAATGCTGTAAAAAGGATTGGATGTACGGCATTGAACTATAGACAACACCACACCTTTACCCCTTGTTCCCCCCGCTCTCTCTTCTACTACAAGCACACCCTGTGTTCAGTTTGCCCGGAAAAGGGCAGGGAGGAGGCAGAGGGGGGTAAACGAGTAGGGAGAGTGACGAAATGCTACTGGACAGGTTTGGTAGTTGGGATGCTTCCCTCCTTCCCAGCAGATCCACTGAGCTCTGTAATCAGGGACTTGACTGAGATTTACAGCCTTCTTCTGAGCACAGCTGTAAATACAGTGCGCAACGTGGCCTCCACCTAAGGAGTACTGCTTGGACAACATTTAACGTATGTTATTAACATATATTTTGAACTACTGCCCATCTACTTTACGTTACTTTGCTAAACACTCACATTTGACACCTGTTAACTTTCTAGTAACGTTAGCGAACAGCGCCTCGGTTAAAGAGCAAGTTGCCTCACCACGGAGGTTACGCCAGCAAGTCCATTACACAGACATGACTCAAACGAACAGGAAGGGAATGTCTTTCACAGCCACGAAGCAGACGTGGACCCGCATTTGGAATAAGTTACGGTGTCGCAATACCGACACCGTGGACAGTTTAACGTAACGCAGCTAATGCTAGCTAAGCTAACCGGTTGACGTTAATCGCCCCGTCGAAGCCATCAAACTCTGCTTGTTAGCTTGCCAACTCAACTTAACTTAGACCTCAATGAAAGCGTCACACATATTCGACGTCCCGGCAGCGTGTAACCTTTACGTCCCACTTACCACTCTGTTCCCCGAGGAAGACCAATTTAAATTTTCTTAGAGGGTTTCCGAAGTCTCCGGCCGAAGACATGACTGTACGAACCAAGACCCGACGTTACTTTTCGGCAGCTCCCCAGCTAGCCAGTTAATGCTAGCTAATGCTAGCCAACCAGCGGATGACAGATATCAGAGGTCTGGGCTCGGTTAACTTTGGCTGATTCGACAACCTCAGCCACCAGACCACCCGGGGAGGTTTCGTGCTCTTAAGTCCTTCCTATAAGGTCCCAGACACTTGTTGACAACTCCCTAACTACTGCGGAGAAGTTAGCAATACTGTCAGTGCTCTGACATGTCTGGACCAGAACTTCTTCTTCTGTGGACGCAAAGTTAAGACTGTTAGTTAGTCGGCCGTATTGTTATGCTGCCCTCTACTGGCCGAGTGAAACAGTGGTGCAGCCGTGCAGAAGAAAAACGCATTGAAATAGAAATAGACACGTATTAAATTATTAACCACATCTGCGTCACCAGTCAGACGTATGTGGTCAAACATACGTCTCACCATATACAGCATACACTAAAATGCAGAATGGAAATTGATACATGTATATATGTCCACAAGAGGGCGTAACCACCACACTATGATGACCTCACTCAGGGTAGGTCGTCCCACGAGTCTGATATTATTTTCGCTTTATATTTCCTCTTAATACTAAAGATCACTAATGTACTTACGTAAAAAACCCAGGTTATATATGTATTGCTTTTCTTCCCAGTTGTTATTGATGAGTCAATCCATTTTTGTTGGTGTATGTGTGTAATACTCATGTAGGCTTGCAGTTATTTGTAACTTAGGCCTCTTTAAAATTAGCCAGCAAGGCTTGTTTAAGCACATGCCAAGCCTTCATTTCTGCAGGCTTCTTCTAATAATCTTTCAAAATCAAGCCAACTGCCATGAGTATCCAACGGAAAGTAGTACTACCTTGGTGTGAGAGTGATGTCAGACAAAATTGTAGTGTCACAGGAATCAATGTAGCATCCTGTTTGATTGCTTATGATCTCCAGCTCACCGGGCGGCTGCGGTCTAGAAGGTTTAAGCCCCGTGGCTACTCACAGGGGGACACTTGCTTCATCCAAAACAATCCACTATATCATATATTTGGATTAAAACAGCAGGGATATTGTTGAGACACTGGGTCTGCTGTTTCCGCATTAATTTGTGCACTAAACCCAGATTCATCACAACGTTATTCATATTAATTGCAAATCCCCTCTGATTTCCACATGCCATCAAGCCCCCTCATTATGAGGATAATATCTTACATATGGGACACATACGATCTTATGATATTGTATCCCTGCAGAATATATTGTAGGAATGCCAGGTTTTACATTTACACTTCTTTGACTATTACATTTGCACTTTTAAAGACACACACTTGTATGCTTCTTCCTACATTAGGACCTTTATTGCATTTTTATTATTGTTAATGTTATGTATTCGTCGCGTGCTTGGCACTGGCCGCTCTAATTTACTGAAAACACATCTGCGTCTCTCTCTCTCTCTCTCTCTCTCTCTCTCTCTCTCTCTCTCTCTCTCTCTCTCTCTCTCTCTCTCTCTCTCTTATATATTCATCCTGATTTGAAATCTCTTCTCAGAGCGCCAACCGGCTGATGCCAGCGCTTCAGCATGCTCTGCTTGTGACCAAGCATCGCCAATCTTGAGCCATTACACTCCACTGCCCACCTCCCCTCCATGGACTCTGCCTAACAGCACTGCTACACCACCATATGTCCTTGGTGAGGGAAAGACCCCAAGTCCCCGCCCCCCCTGCCGAAGATGCTGAACAAACAGAAAATCCTCTTTTGCTCTGTCAACCCCACTCAGTCTTTCTCTCCAGCACAAATTACATGCAGAGGTGTTTTTTTAATCATGTTTTAATGCACGTACACAACTGAACAGATCGATTGATGCACCATAGACGTTGTTGTGGAGGGGCTCTGGTTGTGAATTTACTCACATCAATTTGCTGTTTTTTTAAAAAGTAAAGGTGGTGTCAAATCTTCCAAGGGGCCCCAAAAGAAGGCACCTTATATTCTGCAACAAAAAAAAACTGTCAACTAGAAAAGCATGTCATGGAAAATCAAAGACGTGTGACTAAATAGAGTTGCAGCACAAAGGAATTGAACGTTTTCACCTCCAGCCATGAATTCATTCCAGTGTGCTGGTCTCTTGTCATGCCACTGCATTCATTTACTTGAATCAGTGCTCCACAAAGGGAAAACCTCTCTATGACTCACACCCAAGAGTAAAACAAACAAACGTGTGGTTCTTTATTGTTTGCATACTCTCTTTGAGATATACACACGTGTTGTACTGTGTCTATCCGCCTGTATCTGTTGGAGGAGTCCTTCTCATTTTCACACCACCTTTACAAAAATCCATGAATGCAGCCTTCAATGTCATAGCAGAGTACTACACGGCAGAGGGATCACAGGGGGCGGATGGTGTTGGAGGAGGGAGAAATGAACAGAACGAGGCACTGAAAGAAAGAGACGAGGGGAGGAAATGCAGGACGGCCATGAGAGTTGCTGATAGGTGTGATGTTGCTCTCAACACAGTGAGATGGAGAAAGGGGAGGGGGTGGACGGGGTGGAGCAGCGCCACGATTCCCCTGTAAACCTCCTCCCGGAAATATAGGCCTTAATGATGTGTGACAAAGAGAGAGGCAGGAGAGAGAGAAAGCAAGAGAGCACTACGACGGATTGCATCGGAGGTACAAGGCAGAAGGCCCGGTTTGGATCTCGACTCCCCCCCTTTCTGTGCCACATCAGGCAGGAACAGACACAGCACGGTGTGGTGGGAGGCATAATTGCAAGCACAAGTAAAGCAGCGATCACGGTAGCAATCCAAGCACATTTACCAGAGGAGCTGGGGAGGGAGGGAAGGAGAGAGAGGGAGGAGAGAGAACAGATCTACCAGAAGAGGAGAGAGGGAGGGGGTGTTGCGTGCTCGCAGTGTGTGACAGAGATAGAGCGGTTCCACGAGAGAGGGAGAGCACAAAGCAGAGACGGGGACAGAACACCGAGGCAGTGGTAGTTTTGCAAGACCGAGATCTGCACACACGAGCGTGAGCAAAGGAGGGGAAGGAGGAAGAGAGAGGAGGTGGGAGGAGAGCAGGGAGAGAGGGGGGAGCGAGAGGGATTGCAGGATGATGGAGCCCCGCAGTAGGCTTCTCAGGACAGCGTTTTCGTCCCCGCTCTCTGCAGCAGACATGACTCTGAGCATTGGACTGTGCTGAAAGTAGCCGGGGGGGACAACACGGGACAGCAGGTCTGCAGCACACTGCCTCGGCTCAGCCTCACTGGATGCAGCAAGCCAGCTGATTTATTACTGATGCGCTGGGTGGCAATGTGTTTACGTGTGACGCTCTGAGTGTGTGCGTGTGCGTGTGTGTGCAGGTTTTTTTTTCTTATGGGTGCTTGTGGTGCTCCGGGCCGTGTGGGGGGGAGGTGGGGGGACCATTCCTCCTGACGTAAAATGACGTCCAGCAGGCAGGAGCTGTGTGTGCCGGCGTGGATCTGCGGTCCTCAGTAGGAAGTGGGACAGAGCGGGATTTTGGAGCTGTCATCGAGTGCGCGCGCGTGCGTTTACGGAGGAGGATCGGCCGCATGCGGAGTGCGGTGCGTTCGCGTGCGTTCGGGTTGTAGCAAAGGGTGCAGCAAAGGCAAAGATCCCACACAATGCAAGGACGAGCGCAAAGCGGCTCTGATGGCAGGGGGTGCAGGTAAAGTACAAGGAGTGCCCTGGGGGTAGGGTGGAGGACGAAGACAGGGACAG